GCCGAATTCATCACCGCACCAGCACTCCCGTCCGTACTCTGTACCAAAGTACTTGAGGCCCTCACAGAAACCGCCGCAGGACTCAAGAGTCATTGAATCGTTGGCGTACGTCCGAGAAGAGAGCGCACGGACGCCAGTTCCCTCGGTATAGCAACCTTGGAAGAGCCAGTCGCCGACCCTTTCGTTGGCCGGAGGCGCAGTCGAGGTCGGGGCGGCTGATGTGGTCGTGGTAGCGCCAGTCGGGACTGCGTTCGTGGGTTCAGGCAAGGTGCCGTCGAGCTTGTACAGGTTGAGCCTGGAAGGACCACCGCAGTACTCGGTGCTGTTGTCTGCGCAAGCCATGCTGCACTCGGTGGCAGCGGCGGGGACCGAGGCAGCGGCCAGTGTGTTTCCGCACCAACACTGTCTTGTTGTTAGTGGAAATGTTCTCGAAGTCTTTCATGTCAAAGATTTATCACTAACCTCTCCTCCGTACTCCAAGCCGACGTAGGTATACTTGCTAGCGGCACAAGCCTCGATACACAGAGCGACAGTCTTCTCGGTTGTCGCGACTAGGTTAGGTAGGGCGCGCGTGTCGGCAGGCTCGGTGTAGCAACCCTCGCTCACGTATTGACCGACACCAGGGTTCACCTCAGGGCCCGAAGGATTCGGGTTTGGCGTGGGAGTTGTCGTGTTGCCGTCCCATTGAACCGAGTCAGCAAAGACCGAGATGTAAGCTCCGCCCTCGTTGGCTCCAAATCCGTTACCACCGCAGATCTGGTTGAGGTCGCCGCCGCAGTCAAAGTTGCAGTTGCGCTCGTCGACCTTCTCCGTAGGAATGTTGGGGCCGCCCCAACATTCAGTGTGATACTGCGTACCGCAGAAGACGACTCCCTTCTCAGCGCAAGCAGCGATACACTTGCCGTTAGTGCTCGTAGCATCACCGTACAACTGGTTTGCGAGTTGGCGGCCCGGGTTGTTCTCCTTGTAGCAGCCAATGTAGCGGTACTTGCCCTGACCATTGCCGAGCAAAGGCGGTGCTTGCTCGGAAACAGCAGTGCACTCAAAAGTGAAGAAATGCTTCTCGAAGTTGGGGTCGTTGGTGTTCATGGTCCAAGGCGCCGTGCCACTGTACGAGTCGGTGTTCCATTGAGCCTTGGGAACAGTGCACACCAGGGTGGCAGTCGCGCTCTCGCCAGGAGCCAGAACAGTTCCCTCGGCAAGATCGACCTGATTGGCGGCTTGGATGATACCGGCAATGCCAAAAGGCGGCTTGGAAACGGTGAGAGAGAGCTTGACGCCACCCTCGGCAGCGGCGTTGGTGACACGGAACTTCAAAGCCCGGGAAGTGTTCTCAGTGACGTTGCCGAAGGTGAAGTTCTTGGTCGCGTCATACTCTACCCATCCAGTGCCATCAGGCGTCTGGAATTCGACGAGAGCCACGGGGGCAGGGCCTGCAGAACCAGCAATGGTGAACGCCTTGGTTCCGCCATCGGAGACAACCTGAAGATACGCGCCGAAGGTGCCGCTGACAGAAGAGTCGAAAGCGATGCGAACGGTAATGGCACTGTTGGCAGGAATCGTGGCCGGAACGTTGGCGAGGGTGAACTTTCCGACAGTAAGAGTAGCAGTCGCTCTATCCCAGCTGGTAAAGGGACCTTGTGCACTGCTGGTGGAGAACTGGACGTCGGTGATGGAAAGCGCCGAGTTACCCTGGTTGGACAAGATCACGCTCTCTTCTGTTCCACCCGCTTGACCGGCGATGACGCCCTGGAAAGTGATGGTCGGGGGAGTGATGGACAGCAAAGGGCCCGCGCTCTCGCCGGTACCAGTGAGTCTGATATGGGTACCTTGGCTGTAGCCCTCGGCAGTATTGGTTGTGTTGACAACGATGTCGGAAGATACGAGGCCAACGGTGGTAGGCTTGAAGGATGCGCCGATTGTGAATGTCTGACCGGCAGCCAGAGTGAGAGGAAGTGTGGGAAGCCCAGAGAGGGTAAAGTCTCCAGTCTCATCTAGGCCGACGTCCGAAAGGGTAACACCGATCACGGCCGTGCAAGTGATGGTGCGCGGGTCGCTCGTGGATCCGACATCGACGACGCCGAATTCGTTCGTAGCAGTGCAGTTGATTGGTGTCGTGACCGGCGAGCCGAAAGCGTACAAGTAGCCTTGGGTAGTGCCTTGATACATGATGCCATCACCAAAGACGGCTCTGGTGAACTTGGTGCTGCCCGGAACACTGAAGGATTTGATCATGTTCAAGTAGCCATCCTTGGGGACGGCTTCGAAGATCTTGAGCTGGGAGCCCTGTACATCCAGCGTCCAGAGAAGACCGGTGCCAGCTTGGCCGTTGAGGGTAGTGACAGTGCCGTGACTCACACCGAGGATGTAGGCGTTGTTCTGAGGGCTGTCGGCAACCTTGGTGAAAGAGGGGACTCCGGCCTCGCAGGAGAACTTGAAGACGTGGGTGGGGTATTGAATGACTGTTCTAGGTTAGAGACGTTCGAATACACGAACGTCATGAGAGATCGAAGGGAGCTGTTGCTTACCATTGATGTAGATGTAACCACCTTCGCCGGGGTACACACCAGCACCGGCGTACACAGAGTTCTCGTTCTGGTACACCTGGATCACGTTATCAAGGCCATTGGCACCGTTGCGGTAGCCACCCAAGTCGTCCAAGTTGAGCCAGTAAGTCTTGCCACTCTTTCCAGTGACCACACCAATGCGCTTGACGTCGCCACAGGAGAATGTGCTGGGCAAGATCTGCAGGGGGCTCGTTCCCAAGTCCTTGTCGGCACCGTCCAGAGCCTGCTTCTCCCATGGCATAAAGAAATCGACCAGACTCAAACTTCCATCAGCGTTGATTGTCATGTGAACAGCGGCCTCTTCCAGAGATGTCGGGGGTGTGCGGCCGTTGACGGGAATGGTGCTTAGCTGGGAGGCGTATCCGTTGCCAGTAGCGTAGAACAAGGAACCTGCATCGTCGGAAGCAAGACCGCCGCCGGACATCCAGACACCACCGCCACTGGTATCGACGGGAACACCGTCACCTTCAGTAGCAAAGCGCTCGACATTGGCACCACTGGTCTTGTCGAATCCCATGATCCAACCTGTGAAGTTGTACTGAACACAGTGAGAAGCGAAACCAGCGTAAATGTAGTTGCCTGAGTGCAGCAGTGCAGGTCGCTGATGGTGGATACCGCCGTTGAAAGAGCGAATAGGGTTGTTTCTGGCTACGGTGCCTTCGAGGTTGACGGGGAAGTTGGGTTTTTCGCTGAGGTCATTGACATCCAGGGCATGAAGATAGTAACGGCCGGCAGGTTTTCCTTGAGCAACGCCGGTCAAGGACTGGTCGACGTACGTCTTGAGAGTGAGGTAGAGGGTGTTGGTCGATGCATCGATGACACCAGTGGACGTGACTCCGACATGAGGCTGGATATCAACGCAGCCGTCCAAGTCGGCGGTCAAGAAGGGAATGGCGAGGTTGCGAGAAGCGATGATGCCACCCGTCTTTGCATTAATTTTGTAGACATTATTTTGTGTAGTCGCAACGTAGACGTATTGCGTACTGTCGCCGTCAGGCGTATAAACGAGTGGCTGAGAAAAGATCTGCTCTGCGACGCCGCCATAGTTGCCGGGAAGAAGCGTGCGGAAGAGCTGACCGAACTGGGAGCTCCCCACGACGGACGGGTCCATATTGTGGTTTCTTTATGAGATGTTGTCGCGTTAGGTCTGTCTTCTTGGTTCCGCAGGACTGATTGCGTTTCCCCCACCCAGCGAATCGCTGTCAAAGCCGATCGACACCGGGGAGGAAAGGATGGAGATACGGGGTTCAAGGAAATGAATCGTGAACTTACGTCTGGTACCCGGCTCTCGAATTGTCGCCTCCCCAGGTGATGGTGTCTGTTGAGGCCAGGCCATTGGCAAGGCCAGCAAGGGCCGTCACCACCCACGTCTTGAAAGCCATGATGAGTGGCTTGTGATCTTCACTGGCGAGATGGCCGGGTGAAGCTGTGGCGGTTTGGCTCTAAACGAAGGAAGCACAAACTGGCGTGAGGGGAGGATGGGAAAAAGCAGAATCTCCATCGGCCTGGAGGGGAAGACGAGAGGGCGGCTCTCGATATTATCTCTAAATTGGATCTTTGGCTCTCGAGCGCGTCCGGCACCAAAGCTGCTGACTGCTGCGCCGACGGGCGACGAGAAGCGTGAGACCCATGCAGGGCCGACCCATGGATGATTGGCGTGGCATCAGCAAGCCCACCCATGATGCATCGCATCCCGGCCCGTTCTCGAAAGCTAGCGGACAGACCTAACGTCCTAAACCACCCCGGACGGTCGGTCGATGGGGACGGAAGCACGGATCTGACCAGTGAGCCGGCGTCTTGTCACCAGGCCGCAGGAGCTGGGCAGGCTAGATAGGTCTGGGATGCAGTATGCGGCAAGGTATGCGCAGGCGAGGCCGGGGATGGAGGGGATGTGCCAGTCGTGGACCAAGTTCGAGGCTGGCCTCGAGCCATATTATCATTGGCTTGGCCCTGTGCCAATCAATGCCTTTGCCATTGGAGTTCGCCGTGCAGCTTGAGAGTATCCGTATACTCCGTAGGTGCCCAGAGAGAGTGATAGAGCACAGAGTATCTGTACAAAGTCTTGATCTGTGAGATCTGAGCTGCCACCCTGTCATTCGTGAGAGGCGACGAAAGGCGAGCAGCCCCCCCCCCCCTGACAATCGCACGGAAAGCCTAAAAGGTACCCAGAACTTAGAAGTGTTGACCAACTTGACACGACCCTGTCTGCCCGTGGAAGGGAGACAGTCCAGCCTCAGCACTAGAAGGCGACACGAAGGACGTGCTTGCTGCGATGCAACGACCACGGCTGTCGGCTTCGCTGGCGTTGGCTGGTGCCGCGAGCGATGCCGCGGTGCGATGCTGCAGTGACATGGTGGTATCTTTTATTGGGGATCGGCGGATGTATGCGGGCTGCCAACGCCACGGCGTCCGGTGTTTTGGGGCAACACTACACTATTCCAGGCCAGGCCAGGCCAAGGGCTGGAGCTCGAGAAGGTTCGGATGATTTTTGCTCAATTTTTTGCTGGCTTTAGCGCAGAGGTCCCTGGTAAGCCTGGCTTGAAGCAACGGCTTGAGAGGGCGGACGGACAAGGAAGACTCGGCAGTGGCCTGAGCGATACACGATGGGAGGCTTGGAGGCGTCTGACGGCGCCTGGCGAGACGGATGGGAGTGTTGGTGCCGGAATGATTCAGGTCGTGTGTGGGCGAAGAAATGCATCTTGTTTGACGACTTTCCTGAAAGAGAAAGAGGCAGCTGGTGGTTGTGGAGAGCAGCGACTGCCCAGTGCCTGCCTGATGGGCCCAGGTACGTACCCAAGATACGGTTAAAATGAGGCACCGTGGGCCGTCTCCACCCCGCGAAGTACCTAAAGACGTACCTCCAGGGCTTTGCCCCACAACGCCACCTGCGCGCTGCCAGAGTGGCTCGGTTTAATCGCCGAAGACCCGACCTGCCCCACGCCGCCCCACCGTATGTTTTTTTGCTGGAGTTGGCCCTCCTCTCTCTGAATCCCTCCTGTCTTCCCTGCCATTGTCTTCCAGGTTCCTCGTCCCTGTTGTTCATCATCAGTCTGACAGTCCCCGAATCTCCAATATCCACCGTCATCGCGCAAAAGTGGTTCGTATCATGGTCCGAGGTGTCCTTGTCTTTTGGCTTACCTTGCTCAGGTCCAACGTATCTCCAGGTATCTGAGGGAGTCGACCTTTGTCACCGTTTGCTTGTCTATGCCAGCACCCGAATGATCCTCCATTCTCGCTGCAGGGACCCGTGTGAAGAAGACCCCAAAGACTGGTAGCGAAACACCGCCTCATCGAACAAAGCAGATAACAATGTCCCATCCAGCCTGAATCACCAACGGTTTGCCAAGGACATCGGACACCTACCTACACACACTACGAACACTCTACGCATATCTTCCCAAGAATCAAGACATGATGCCATGCCACCGGCTGCGCGTCTTACAGCATGAAGCAGGCTGCTGCTGCACAACTGTATTGCAGCCAATCCCCAATGGCCAAGGCCTGAACGCTGGAAATAGCACTCTTCAAGTAACCTAGCCCGCAGCTGCCCCTAATCTCCCTCAAGCCTAGCGCCGCAGACACGCGAGTCTGGCAGAGACAGGTCCAACTTGCAAAGACGATTCTCGACGTGCAAAATTCCTGTTCCTGACTTGTCTTGTCCTGGATCTCGTCAGTGTCTGATGTCAGTTTCTTTTCCAGTGGACTGATTGATGACTTGAGCGCCATCTTTCAGACTAACGACACATGAAGAGCCCAGTGCCCCATTCGTTTCAGGCTGGCAAAGAAACACCAAACAATGCACTAACAAAATAGTACAGGTACCAACGCCAAACGAAGGAATCCAGGAACAGATCGGACCTGAAGATGCCGCTACTCGTTAGCCAGACGCCACTTATGCATTCTGGCTCTCTGAGAAACAGAAACGGTCCATCCTCTGGATTCACCAGGCCGTCGCTCACGATAGACATACTGATAAACCGACAACATACAGACAGATACATGGCTAGCGCTTCTCGTATTCCATCCCATCGCCGAGACGTCATCTCTCCTTACCTGTACCGTGTACGGTGTCCCTGGCTGTCGTATTCTTGCTTTTGTTCGCCCTATCTGCAATTAGTTCCCACTATCTTTCGTCAATCTCTCACTATTCCCCATTTCCGGTCTCAGTTTGCGTATTCCTTGGCCCCCTGATTTGCGGTGCGTCCAGCGTTGTCGCGCCTGTTTCCTCGTCGCCATCACCTTTTTAGTTCCCAACCTTTCTTCTGCGGCCGAGAGTCGCATTTGTCTTGACTCTTGTCTCATTGGTCCCCTATTATCCGTAATGTCTAAGGGTAACTATCCTTTTTCTGTCTTTCCCCCTTTGACTTTCCTCCGGCCGGGCATCTTCCGCCCGGACAATATCCAGCATCGCCAAGCGCTTGTCAAGCCTGACTTGCAGGAGACCATTGATTCCGTGCCTGGGGACTGCAGCCTGTCACCAGAAAAGACCTCACCGAGCGACCAATCTCGGTCAGCAAGACGGACGAAACCTGGTGTTCAAAGTTTGCCCGTTTTTCCAAGACTTGCTACCCAAGATGGATGCACCCATTGGAGGATGTTGATCTTTCTCTCATCAGGCCACACAATCTCACGAAACTCATCTCCCTCATGCACTCCCTTTCTCGACCGCCGTAGCAGGCTCAGCTGCTCCCCTACATCGCCTAAATCCAACACCACCCCGGCCCTCCGTCCTTCCCAAAATCGACAAGCACCAACAAACATCGGCACACCCGCATCACGGGCCGGACGGCACGGCGCCCGGCAGAGATGAAGCGAAAAGCCACCCAACACCACCCTACTCGCACTTCTACCTTATGGACAAGAGCCCATTCGAACGCCTCATCGCTACTCTCACCGTGTGGCGTCAGGACACTGACCAGTGACGCCCCAACCCTTGCTTCTTATTGACTCGCGACGTATTTTCGCTCAGACGCTGAGGTGCTTGTCTACCCTTAGCGTTTCTGACTTTCTTCTTTTCGTCTATTTTCCTATCATTGGTGCTTTCGTCCCAAGGGGACGGATGAACCGGCAGAATTGCTAGCTAGGCTAGCTGAACAGCTGATATTTTGGGGACGTGATCAGATGAAAGCCAGAGACAAGCGACGACAGCTTCACACGCGTCCTTTTGGTCCCTGCGTTCGTGGCTGTCTTGCACGTTGCCTGTGCACCTGTCTGTCTCCCTGATGCCGCGAGCTCTAGATATGACAAGGTGGATTTTGATTTTCCTGAATAGGCCAGTGCCGATTCAATCAGCCGACTTTTGCCGTACGACGGCGTATGCTGCAGACTGCTGCAGATTGCAGGCACCTTCACAGTCTGACCATGCGGTCAGCACGACGACCCTTGGAGGTTGGAACCTGCTTATCAGAGCGTCTCACTGCCAAGTGCCTGGACCGAGTGGCGATTCTGGCGAGTGAGCAGCAGATAGGCAGTTGAGCTCCGGTTGTCTGGTGGCTGGCCGTCTTTCTGACCGCCTTGGTTTGACTATCAGAGAGAAAGGGTGTATCTCGCGGTTCATGTTTACATGAAAGACCTGTCAGAACTCATGGGCCGATCGTACGTCTGACTTCTCCCCTTGCATCCCATCACGATGAACTGGCGGGTGAGTCATCGCGATGCGCCCGGCGCATAGTCCTCTGAAAGAAATTGCTGGACAAGGTATTGCGCGTCGCCTCTCGGTGCTGCCGCAACGCCCACGTATCGTAGTGTTCCTCCCCCATCTTCTCCAGCATCGGCAAGAACCGGCCTTCTAAATCCTTACGTCCACTATCAATGGCTCCTCTTCGGTAAGTGACGAGGGCGTATTATGGTAAAAGAAGAGAGGCGAAAATCGGTCCGGACGTAACAAAGGATGGCGAGGCGGCCCCTCTATACGCCAGTAGCAGCGCAGAAGCCCGTCCTCTTGCGGCTTGCCGAGGTTCAAGTTCCCGAATCGCGTCAGGACTTGATCCTCGTCGACGAGGCTTGGTATGATCTCTCGGCGGTTGAATGGCGCGAGGAGCAATTCCGGGACGCCGACGCGGTTCCATTGCCCCCCGAACGGAAAGGCGTCCCAGTACATGGTCAGGATGCGCTGCCTTGCCAGTGCGTAGATCTTGTCCCAGTCTTTGAACTGGGTGTCGAGGGTTCCTATGGTGGTGAGGGAGCCAAGGAAGCGCGCCACGTCGTTGGCTTTTGCCCAGTGGCAGAGGAACGGCGCGTGCCACTGCTGCCAGAAATTTTTGTCGTCGACGACGGGTTCGACTCCTCGGCTCTGGGGGCATGTTAGTCAATCACAGACTTGTGTATGCATGTTGTCGGGTCCATCTAGCTCGGTGGGAATGTGGAACTGAGTAGGAGAAGACTCGTGAACCATTGGAGCTTGAGAATTTTGACACGCTGGAGGAATAACATACTTGATACCCAATCACCATGAATAGAAATCCGCTCGTATGTCTAGGGACATGATTCGGTGAATACCACGGCGCATCAACAGGAAACCACGGTCCCCGAAACTCAACAAACACTTTATTAATCTTCACCGCGGCTCGGAGCTCCTCAAATACGGGGTTATCCATATGATTCACGTGAATATACCGCGGCGCAGGAAACCCCGCGTGCGTATCGGTATGAGAAGCGGCGATGGTGATCCACTGGTCCTTGCGACATGTCGCCGTGATGCGAATGGTGAGGCAGGGGATCTCGCCCGCGGGAAGCTGATACCGCGCAAGAATGGGGGGTTCTGGCGCACTTGTGAGGATTGTGGGCTCAAGGATCCGGAAAGACCCACCGTGTATAGCTGCAAGTGCTGGCCTATGCCTATCCATGGAGCGGAACATGAGCGTGTGGAGGCTGAAATTGAATTGGTGAGTGATGAGGGGCTTCATCCAGTGGAAGTAAACTTGTGAAGACTTTCGTGCTAAAGATATGTGTAGAACGACTTCATCGGCAACGACCATGACAAGTTGATTTGCTTCGGCGTCAGGGAGGAGCGCTACTGGGGAAATTGCACCAATAACTTTCCTTGGAACAACTAGACGGCTACGATAGCAGCTAGGAATACAGTGATTCAGTGAATCAAGACTCGTAAGCATGAAAAACCTTCGCAATTATCTTCCAACCCCCATCAATCTTGATCAACGTGTGAAAATCCGTATACGCCGGTCCGTCGGGGGTATTCTCCATATCAACCTTGACGACGGCGGTCGTGGGCGTGATGCCAATGACGTCGCACCGGGTCCTGAGGGACGCGCTCGTTCCGTAGGTGTCGAAGAATGCGTGAAGATTGGTGTACGAGCCCAGCGAGAGGGTGCCGTCAGCCGGGGCCCAGCCGGTCATTGACGCCTCCTTGTGGAATGCCAGGTCGAGGAGGGCTCGGTCTGCTTTTGCGATGCTGTCGACGTAGTGTTGGACTGTCTTTATGACATGGTCGTATTCTGACGTTGGAATGGTTTTGATGTTCTTGGACATTTTGAAAAACAAGGTCTGGTTTTTTGAGGCTTGAGGACTTGGGTGTTGCAAAAGGCCACAGGCTTACTGAGGCATTTGAAAATTGGTACAAGATGTTTAGTTTTTGACCCGACTCTAGGTCTAGCGCTCTATTAAATACGTGCCTTTCGCATGGAAAGCTAACACTCGATGAGAAATCATGTCCACCTAGATAGCCACACTTGCTTTCAAATCAAGGTCCGTGGACTAGTACATATTCTCCTCGTACCAAGGAAACCACCATGGGCACCAACATGAAAATCCGCGGAGGGCCGAAGACCTCACAATACTCCACATACCGTGCCCGGAGTGGAGCAGCTGCCAACCATCTGGTCATTGTCCCCGCCGAAAGTTTGCCAGAACGAGTGGGAGATACATATCAATCACCTTCACGGCGCGCTCGAATATTCTGTCTTGGCGTCGACACCGAGCTGGAAGTTACAGGCAGAAAAGAGTTTATGTAAGTTCGATGCCGTCTGCTCAAAGAAAGAGGTTTTTGTATAATTTGGGAGGACTCGGAAACAGTGAATCATAAAGAACATCAAGAGACCGGGAAGCTAAGTCAACCTACCCACTTTTCGCCATCCCCCCCTTTTCGCCACCCCAAAAATGCCTCCCAGCCTCCTCATTATGATCCTACCCCCATTGTTCAAACAACCACAACAATTGCAATTTTCGTCCAAACACACTCTGTTTTGGCACACTTATTTATCGATATGTAATGGTCTCGTATACCGAATTTGAAGTGCGGCTGTTACGGCCAGCTAGTCGTAGTGAGGTATGTTTGCAGAAGTTGAGGCTGCGGAACTACTAAACAGTATCGTAGGCGTGGATAGCTTTAGGGAAACTTATGTCTATCCCATGGAGTGCGGATGGACAGCACTTTCGCCAAGACCACGAAATACCCACCATTACCCCGCATTTAAAGGGGTACATGACGATACGTCACTCATCCCTATGCTCTTTTGCCTATTTTCATCACTATTATTACCATTTTGGTTGATGCTGTGATGTCTTTTGGTTATTCTGATACCTCTATTACATCTAATGCTTCTATTACTTCTATACCTAGCTATATAGTAGTTGAGGTCCACCCAGAAGACCTTACTGCTGCCTATCCCATCGAGTGCTGCAAGGCGACAGTACATTGAGATGCGGGGGAGCAGCCAATCGGGCCACTTCGGGCCCCTTTTTCCAACCAACCAACGTAATTGATAATAGATACTTCCAATTACTAGAGATTCTGCGTATGAAATCGGTACCAGCAATCTTCTGAGTTACAGAGAGCTACATCGCACTCGAGGCAGCCCATCCTCGTGTACTTCCCAGGGATACCGGGCTCAACCTCCGGAGGCTCGCGGGGCCGAACAGTGGCATTATCACATTGCTCCGGCGTACAGTCGGCAGTGCAGGCGGCGGCGAGGTCCTCGGGCAGCAGGGCAAAGATACACGACTTCGCCGAGCCCGTGGAACGGCCAGATCCGTCAGAATCGTCAGAATCCATTAATTGAGTATTGGTAATGATGGATTTGGTAGATGTACCGGAGTGGAAATCATAGGGGCAACTCAAGCAGTGGATGTACCAGATGCGGTGCGGGGTAAAAGGGGGCCCGTTATGTGGAGCCAATGTACTGTCGCCTTGCAGCACTCGATGGGATAATACAGACTATACGCCCGAGCGCTGTAACGCAGCTATCCCATCGAGTGCGGAATGGCGACAATACATTCGCCCCATAATATGGACCCTCTTTTTCCCCTCACCACACCTGGTACATCCACCCGCGTCACATACCGCTATGTTTTTCAATGTGGTACTTCCACCCAAACCAACATTGTCAAGAATGCTGCGATGGATTCTGACGATAGTGTCGCCTCTGGAGCTTCCACGGGCTCCGCGAAGTCGTGTATCTTTGTAATACTGCCCGAAGACCTCGCTGCCGCCTGCACTACCGACTGTACGCCGGAACGATGTGATAATGCCCTCGTTCTCTTCCTCACAACGGTCTTCCGAGAGACATCCGACGTTGTTCGTAACCGTCGCCGGCCCGCTGGAGATACTGCTGCTAAAAAGGCAGCACGGGAGGTCTTCGGTCCTGACGTACGTAAGGACCTCCGGATCCCTCTCGCGATCGATGAGTACAACCACCGTATAAACGGCGTCGATACGAGTGATCAAATGCGGTCCTATTACGACTTTAGTAGACCAGTGAGGCAGGGCAGTTGGCAAGCAATTGCCTGGAACTTTCTCCTCGAAGTCATCATTATCAACACGTTCCTTTTACAGTACTGGGGAAGTCCCGAGTGGCCTCGGGTTGAGAACCAGTACGAATAGCGTAGACTACTATCTGCCCAGCTAATCCAGAGGTTTGGACCATTAGCAGAAGGTCGACGTAAGGGACGTCCGAGGAGAGCAACAGATCGAAGGAATAAAGCCGTACCATAGCAATTACACGTACAAGGTCGTAGAAATGCCAACTCCCCTTGCGTTAGCTATAGCCTCGTATAGCAGATTAAAGAGAGGACTGCGCTGGGCGAGATAAGTGGTAATATTCACACCAGACGGCCGCGGCGGAAGTACACGATGATAGGCTGCCTCGAATGTGATATCGCCCTATGTAACTCGGATGATTGCTGGTACAATTTTCATAACCAAAATCTCTGATATAAGGAAGTACCTATTATCAATTATGGTAATTGGGCCAAAAAGGGGCCCACAGATGTCTAATTGGCTCCGTCTCCGCATCTCAATGTACTGTCGCCATTCCGCACTCGATGGGATAGTCCGGCCCCACGAACCTCCGGCTACTCAGCATAGTCCTCCGGGCTCTTTCCGGCCCTTCAACGTGCCGGCCCGGGCCCAAGAGATACGGGGGCTGCCGGCAAGCCCACTTGAACTGTTCCTCCAATACGTTCCGCAGAGCCTCGTAGAGCAGTAGGCCCAGTGGACGAATACAGCACCGTTGTCTAGGGAGGGCTCAGCAATCATGGAGATCCTTAAACCGGGACCGCACATTACTCGCATACCTATCCTTGAACAAAATTTCGGTCTTGACGTTCACCACTTTTCCAATACAAATACTTCTCATGCTGTTGCCACAGCTGAGAATATTCAGGATGGACTCACGTGGTCCTAGCTCCAGGCACACGGTGGGAGATTGGACCGTTCTCAAGGTTATTGGTCGAGGCGATACTCAATGCACTGAGACCTCACGCAAACACCTTGGAGTCTTTGGAACTGGAAATTCTGGAGAATGCTTTTCGTTCAGGCCGTCGACAGCAACTAGAGTCCATGCGAGAGTTCCAAGCTCTCAAACACTTGGCACTGGACAGCTTCTGCTACGATGAGAATCTGATGATGATGATGATGATGTATTTAACGTCTAGTAACAAAAGGACGTGCCGGGCGCTATGCCGACATGGTACGATGAGAATCAATCCCTAGGCAGCATTCTCCCAGGCAGGCTACAGACCATAGAGATCACATGCGTGCGGGGATCAATGCATGAAGATGTATTACAGTTGGCGCGTTCGGCTGAATGGCTTCCTGACAGAATCCATGCATGCTTATATGCGAGTCATAGGCATAACCCATTCGCAATGGTCTAAACATACTGAAACAGGCCAGACTGTCATTTCCACCTGGTCCTAGCTCTAGAGACGTATTATATTAAGGTAGCATTACGTTAGGCCCATAAGCCTGTGGTAATCCTTCCACTCTTTAGTACGAATAGACGCTCTTTTCTGCTCACTCATATATGCATATTCCGCTGGCCACCCTGACTAACCGTCACTTCCCAACCTCAAAACAGTTGAGTTGTATCCTTGGCCTAATAGCACGAGATGCCCCACGAGTATCCTCAAAATCGCGGCCATCACTAAGGAATTCTGACGAAGGAATGTAGTATTCTCATTCTCTCACGGAATTTATCTCAATAATGTGAACAAAAAGACGCGTAACAACTTTCTTAATCGCTTGGTCTCGTGGTTTAATCGTAACGACACCATTGCTGGATAGCTTGAGACGACCAGGTGGAGGCGCATCATACATCATACCGACCATCGAAAATCATCGCAGCGCGACCGGTCCCGGATGGTTTTAGTAGCAGTCGAAGCAATGTATTTATTTTAGAGCAAATACAAGTTATAGCTGAAGTGGGCTTATTGAATTGATGTTGAGTTAAGTTGCAACAAAGTCTTCATGCTACGTCAGAAATAGGGGCCGAGCAAATCGACGGAGAAGTATATCTTGATCTCCAAACCACCGGAATCGCAAGTCCAACGCTCCTTGCCCACCTGTACACGCAGTCCACGTTCAATTAAAGAAAGGAAACTACCATGTGAAAGCCTCGCAATTTCTTCTCAAAGGTGGCCATTAACACACAGCTTGCAGTTGTTTGACTGCAGATTTTGTAAGCCTTCTGACCTAACCGACAACAGTTGAGAAAACTCACAGCTGACAAAATGGTGGCTACAACAGCAGCTGAGCATTTGGAGTCTTCCTTCACATCTGGTCTAAGGTTAGAAATTGACAATTGAAAATTCACTTTCGATTGTCATCATGTTCATTGTTGCATCCTGAGAACTCGATGAAAGGGGTATCGAAGGCGCAAAGCAGGGAGGATTCAGGGTGGCCACATGATGCGAAAGCTTACCGAGGCCGCGAGCAGCAATCGCCCACATGCAGGTGACACCGCCAGGGGTCACAGAACCAAGGCAGCCTTGAATATTGTTAGCAAACGCTAGACCATGTGAGACGAGTGGATTCCTTACTAAAGAAGCGACGCCATCCACAGTGCATGAACGGCACGTCACTTCGCTTGTCGAGATCTCTGTTCTCAAGGTCCAGATCTGTGTCTATTTGAGTTGTCAGTCCTCAACCTTCAGGTGATCACCTGCTGTATCCAGTATAAGAATCAATCTAGTGCAAAAAGCCATACCTTTGAAGTAAGCCTCCATAGCAGTCTTCCAGTCCTCGGGGAGGTCATTCGGGAGTTCAATGTTCTCAGCAGCTCTGAGGGCAAGAGCACTTTCCCCAGAAGACAGCTCAGCTGGGATGGCCAAAGCCAAGGGACCCATGACAAGGCAGGCGACGAGGGAGCTGAACTGCATTTTCGAAGGTTTGTGATGAAGAAGCTTCAAAAAATTGTTGTATGAGAAGACTGACTGTTGCCGCTCATGGTGAAAAAGCATGTCATGAAGAAGGGTGGCAGAGTGTACTATTTATGTGATTTTCTTGATCAATCGCAACATCTCAGCTAATTATCTACGTGTAGCATTGCTAAAATTGTTGGTACCTATCACTATTGGTGATGCCTGACAGCTAGCCATCAGTCCCGCCGCCCAATGTGTCCTGTTGTCTTTACTGAATTGCACGTGTTTATCGTGGATTGCTTCCCTCGCCACGCGCATTACAATCAGCTTCTTATTGGTCATGAGAGAGAGCTCTTTCTAACACTGAGCCAACTGTGGAACTTTTTGGAGAGTTCATCGGAAAATAAAAAGTTTCTCATATTTAATTAGGTTCAAGAACTGTATTAGCAATTGTGTAGTTGGCTGGTAGATATGTCGGCAAGTCAAGGGGTAGCCGAACATCCGAGCCCCAACTGACCACTTGACGATCCATGCGCGAACTCAAAAAAGTCAGAGACGGATGAACTATGACCTGAGCTTTTGACTGTCCACTCAGAATGTCGAAACAACTACACGAGTAGTTGCTCTCATTAAGCTCTGTCGCATTTGTCGGCTTCTCGGAATTTAGCCATGCGGGTTTGAAGAAAACAGCCATAGACTTGATAGGAACCTTATTTCCGAATCATTATGAAGCAACGCAGGAACGTGGATGCTGGCGAGAATTCCATAGGGTGACGGTCAATCAAGAGACAATACGAGTTGAAAACTGCAATTTGAATGCCGGGTTGACACTTCGGGGAGTTGCGGTCACAAAATTGAGAATCGTCACGAATGTCACAATGAAGCACTGTCAAACGCAACACGCCATGAAAAAGACACATGCATATAATGCTCAGAAGGAACCCAATGTAATGTAAAGTCTATCCATACCAGCAAGAAATCATCACCGCACACTCTCAGCTCTAAGCTTTACACTCGAGATCTCTCTCAAGTTTCACATTCACCAAACTCACAATGGCACACTTCAGCCGTCCCGTTCTTTTCATCCTCACCACCTTCTTCCTCTTCTACGGCTTCAGTACCGCTTTCCCATCTCTCACGAGGGCTCTCGAACCCCGCTGCTGGCGCAAAGCCTGCGATCACTGCGAGCGTGTCACCGTCACCATCGATCATCCCGGGTCTTGCAACAATGTCAACCGCGATAATCTTAAGGCAGCCATCGACAGCACTTTCGTCAACTATGCCGGCAACTGCAGAGGCGAGGAGGCTGGTTTCAGCAACCAGGCGATTGCCGGCATTCAAGGAATCGGTTGCAGAGTTACTGTCAACTTTCCTCGTGGCAACAAGGGTGTCGACTGGGGCGGTTTGATTGGGTCCAACTTGGTCGGAACGGGAAGCTGGGCTGTCTCTGGCACCTCTACCGATGGCAGCGTGCACTGTGCCGGTTCGTGTCAATGGTAGTTGCATCGAAATCACAATCTCGCGATATCAGCACTGCGTAGTTGACTCACAATACGAGGGCTCCAAGACTTCCGCATACAGCACTTAGATGGAACGTGTCACAGGGGTTGAGGCCAAGTCTCACAGATGAACTTGACCGCACGGACATCAATATATTTCGCCTTCCTTCGATGTGCATTTAGCACCTACCTCTTTAGTCAGTTGATCATTCACTTTTAGTTTCTGGAATTCATTGTCTCTGCCAACTATCTCAATTTGAGATCATCTAGACGAGATTGCTGTGTCATTTAGTGAAGATAGTTGAGCCTACCAGGCACTTGACGGAGCTGTAGGGGGGTTGATACAGTGCGATCCTGCTTTTCGTCATACCTTGGCCAGATAGGCTTGTAGACGCTGAGGCCAGATTAAGTGAAGTTATTGTAGACTACCTTGCCTTGTCTCATGCAGCTTGTTGGCCAAGTCTCCGCGTCCCGCGGGCTGCACATCACTCTTGGCTGCTGACTTGCCAAGCAGGAGCTGATAGCCTGTCAGCTTTGAGATTCGTCACGGAAGCGAGTGCGAAATCACTGCCACAAAGGGCGCTGTTACCTGTTAGGCAGTTTGAGAAACCGTCAAATTGCTAAAGAAAAAATTCATTTAAGACGCCCTTCTCTTCTGGGTTACAGAAAGATTTGATATAGCATTCAATTTTCGCTAGCTGTTTCGCACTCTGCTAGTCATCATTTCCTAAAAGATTCAGCCTCCTCGCAGTGAGTACTGCCATTGAGGTATTCGAAGACCAGAGCCTTCGGGATTTTCAAGATTACGGCCTTTTTTTTTCCAACGACTTTTAGTCAAGTACGGACATGCCGGTTAGCATACTCAGTGAAAGCAAAAAGTTGGCTTCCCAAGCTGCCGCCAGCTTAGTACAGAGCGTTCTGAAAGAGCGGGATAAGGTTGTTGTCAGAACTGGAGGCAACAGCAGAGAGAAAACGCATGGGCTTGTGGAAGAAATCGCCCAATCGGCGGCAGCAGGGATTGGCACCATCTCTGAGGCCTTACATCACAGAAAGGAGAAGAAATCCGGAGCACTGATTTCAGTCAAGTCCTCAACTCAGCCAAGCAGTGTGAACAACACGGAATCTGGACCGACACAGCTTGGCGAAGGGACAAGAAAAGCGCATGCCATTGGCCATGGAGTATCAGGGTCCATGTCAACTTCGCGACCTGCTAAGGACACAGAAGGTCTCGCCTTCGCCTTCATCAAGCGACACCCTTTGACAGTTCCTGGAAGTTCTGAGGGCAGGCAGAGGCTCGCACTGCCAGTGCTTGTACCACAGAGACGGCCCGAGAAGCGAGCTCGGGGGTTCATCCGGGCCTACGCACCAATGTTAGTCAACGTCGGCATTGATCAAGACATATTCCTCGACTTCATTGATACGTTCAACAAGTCATTGGAGCCCAGCCCATGGATCAGCGCTGTTAATCTGGCGGGGTTCGCAGGAGAAGCGCTGCCCGATCCCGCATCGCTGCTCTTCGGATTTGCCGTCGAAATTGCTACAGAGGCCGTCATGGAGGGACAAAGTCTATTCTGCTCTAACAGATTCTTGGACTGTATTAATGCAGAGTTCTTCATCCCGCGAGGACTGATCTGCCTTGTCGTCACATGGCAGCCTGACAAAGACCGCGGTCAACTCGCAACCAACATTTCAGAGGAAATAGATGTGTCTGCAACCAAGCTCGACTTACTTCAGGGGTTATCAGACGTCGCCGCAGGGAAAATGAAGTCTTCAGAGGGGCTGCAAGAGATTAAGACACAGATGGGCGGCTTGATGAAGCCCACACGTGGCGATTTCAGCTGGCCCGAGCCAGCGCCGCTCATCTTTCCGAACTTCAAACGCAACACCGAGAAAGCTGATGTTGGAGTCAAAGACAAGAACGCCTGGGACAGAATGGAAAATTGGATCAACGACCACTCGGACAAGCGCGCCCAAGCCAGCTGGATCAACGAGAACAAAGATCGGCCAGCGATTAGCTTGATGCCAGAGCATAAGTTCAAGTCGCGATACGCTGATCCAAATCACCAAGCATCTAGCGGTGATCTTGTGTCTTTGGTTACAGCAGGTCGTTGGAGACTTGCTTCAGATGAAAAAGCAGAATCCAGCAAACAGCTAAAGAAGGCGGCTAATGAGGTCTGTATTAAAGAAAAGGAGGATAAGAAGAGGAAGAAGAAGGACCAAAAGAAGAATACGAAGGAAGACCAAGAGAGAAACATTCTAGAAGCAGAGCAAGAGAAGAAGGTCGATGGCGAGACAAGAGCGACAGCAGACTATCGGCAGAGGAACTTGGAGACCATTGATATGAGTATGGGAAGTCATCTTGAAGAAGAGGGCGGCGCAAATGAGACTGAGAAAGTTGATGAAGCGAAGATGAAAGACAAACATATGAATAACGAGGTTGGAGATGGCCAGGCAAGTGGTGGCGGGGCCAAAAGGCGCGTCAGGAAGGCGAAGAAGCAAGCTGGTTCTTCAAGCAAGTCTAGAGATGTCTTCAAGGGTCTGTTCCAAAAGGCGAGCGCGACACCCCAGCACAAATTGAGCCATCATGCTAATTTGAGAGAAAGGACGTACTCTACATGGCCATACTTGAAGTGCCACCCCAGAAGAGATCGACTGAAGACTTGCTCTGTTAGCCTTGGCAGGGAGTTTTGAGCAAACCAACAGAAACCTCAAACTTTAGCGTTTCGAATGGATGGCGGAGATCAAATGGTCTGATTGACCTTTTGAATGCGCGCGCGGATACTAGGCGCTGGCAGCTTCAGACCCTGTCGTTCGGTTTGATGTTCTTGCCAACAGTCACTTCCATCAACCTCCACGAAACATCTCTCCAGCTTGGCACGGGCTGTTAGTGCCATGCTAAGGAGGGGCCCCAGTCCCTGCGGTTTGCCGCTGCGCGCTGGGGTGGATTAGCTATACGCTAATCAAACCCTTAACAACGCACATTTTCCCCTCGAATCGAGCCGACGATTATTCAACCTAACGAGCCGCCGTCGACTCGAATTCGCCTTCCGCAGGCTAGACGAAGTCTTCCTGGTAGGGCAGGGAGCAGAGGTTCCATCTAGCCTCCCGAAGGAGACGGGCGACTTTCTTTCCCGGCGCAAGTGGCGCTTCCGGGCCCAAATTGAACATCGACCGACTTTTCGACTTCGCTCTCAGCACCTTTGCCCCTTAAACGATCGAAGACTCCCTCGAAGAGACGAAACGACCATTGGGTAGCGATGTATAGCCACGGATATATACAGCTATGCTCGTTACAGAACCTAACAGCAAGCCCTACAACCTAGTCTTACGAGGTTTTGCCCCTTGTGGTTTCCCTTGTGGCGGCGGTATTACCTATTACGATATACTCCGGACGGTTACTGGAACGTTGTGTAAACCAGAAGCCTGCGGGCTCTGGGTCGAAGGATAGGAGATACTGGCGGAATTGCGTTCTAGGGACGACCATAGCACTGTCTCGGGCAAGCCAGCGGCACCCAGAGACAGGTTAAACACATAGTTGCCTTTGGGCACGATTTGGAGGACGAGCTGGACTGTATCTAGTGATAGCTATAGGCCTACGGCCCTCCACGCCATATACCCTTCGGGAGGTCTGCCGCAAGGGCGGCTGCGCCCTTGCCGCTACGGCGTTAAAATACAACAACAAACAACACTACTTGAGCTCTCAAGATGGCGACTACTACCTTGACGGCAAGCGTCAGAGGGCCACAGCTTTCTGGTACGCACGATATTGCAGACTTGAGTTCGTCTCTTTTCCTAATACACTCCCAGCGTCGCAGTTTGGACTACCATCGCGTGCGTTCAAAAGCTTAGATTCGGTCCAGTTGCGATTCCTGCACCATGTGAACGGTGTCACAACCTTCGTGTCAAAAGATCGCCCCTTAAAGCTGGAGGCCGGCGAGACGACTTCCGCACATTCATTCGCTCAAAGTTTGACTTTGAAACTGGCTCTGCCGATGGGTGCCGCTGGTGTACTGCTGTTGTTCAAACCCTTGACCGCCTCAGACTCGCGCCACTACATTACCAGCGAGTTGTCCTCCTCATGTTTAAGAAAGGAGGTTGCCAGCTAAGCGTGCCGACGGCGCGTGTTACTGTGCAGTTTTACACCCCAATCGGTGAGCCTTTCGAGTTTCGCAGCTATCTCTGTCAATGCTGACGATTAACCTTACCTCAGGGTATCCTTCTGTCTGGGATGGCATCACACAGGGCTACGAGATGAGTACCTGCGGAGATGTTCACCAAACGGCTGATTTCATCCGTACATGCATCCAGAACTGCGATGAGAATCACGCTTCCTGCAAACCTCAATCGCCGACGATGCCAACAAGAGTTATCTATGTCGGTAACGCCGAAGATACTCAGGTACGGCTAGTTGAAACCGCTCATATTCATGCTAGCCCCTATACCGCGCTCAGCTACTGCTGGGGCAAGAGTGGGAATTTTGTGACCATGAAAGGAAGCATCAATAGCCACAAGGCAGCTCTTGGTGTGAAGGATTTCCCACAGACGGTTAGAGATGCTGTTGAAATCACCAGAGGACTTGGCTTGAAGTATCTGTGGGTACATGCAATCTGCATCATCCAGGACTCCGCCGAAGACTGGGAAAAGGAGGCCGCAAAGATGGCATCTGTCTACAGTGACGCTTACTTCACGATTGCCACTGCAACCGCTCACACCTCTACTGAGGGGTTCATCTCCCAGAAACACGAGGAGGCCCTTCAACAACAGCCATTTCGAATGAATTGGCGTACCGATCGAGGAAAGCGGTCTATCCTTGCAGCTCGAGTCATTCCAGGGGCAGATGCTCGTATGGCTACCGTGACTGGAGATCGCAAGCCGAAACTTCCGCTCATGACGAGAAGTTGGACCCTGCAAGAAGAACTTCTCTCACGCAGGACAGTGACTTACACAGAACATGAGTTGTGGTGGACCTGTCAAACTGAGAGGGATTGCGAGTGCCACACCTATAGCGAAGTTTCTACGAACACTCAGACGACTCTATTCCCCCCAAAGATATGACCAACCCCCAAGTTGCGTTTGGACAATGGCGCGATCTTGTCAGTGAGTTCCTCCAACGGCAACACACGTTCTGCAGTGACAGACTACCTGCGATGTCTGGTTTGGCAACTGTCTTTCAACAGAAAACAGGATCCTCTTACGTCGCCGGGTTATGGAAAGACAATCTCATCAACGACTTGTTATGGTATATGTTGGATCTCTGAGCAGTCGGCAGAAAAGGTGGATCTGGAAGGCGGTATGGGCACTTACAAACGACCCCTTACATACCACTTCTGAGAGGCCGTGGGCTCTGCCCACAACCTCCTCCTTCCACCTCAAGACGCAGCAATAATAGACCATTATTGACACTTCGTTCCAACCGTACGGTTGCCCTGCTGACGTGTATACCAACAGTATACGCCAAAGAGAAGAATTGAGGAGTTGGATGATGCGAATGCCCAAGACAGAGTTAACTGCTACATACCCACATTCTGTTGGGCGTCAGCTGGTGGCCAGATCGACTTTTTCAAAGGGACATATGTTGAACCAGGTTCCCAGGCAAACCAATTGGGCCCCCAAAGCGGTTGTTATCGCTGCCAGCACGACTACAAGCATCAACAACCCTCTAGGGAATATGAAGACCGCTCATGTTACTTTGCGTGGTCGGATCATCCAGGCGACTCTTGAAATAGTCGCCACACGCCGCGGCAGGTTCAGGTCGTATGGAATCAAAAACAACGGAGAATCGGTTGATTTCCATCCCGATACGCGTCTGGAGAGGTTCCAGTTGGGTGTGGATGATACAAAAAAAGGTGAAGACGCATCGGTTCGTCGATCGCCAGCTTGTTCTGAGGCTGAACCGGCTGGGTCAGAGTCGCCAGTCATATTGCTCCATCTTGGAGACTGGTTTGTCACTGAGGAGAAGCTTGTGGAGATGACGTATCTTGTTTTGGGAAGATCGCCAGTGGATACAAGTAAATATGAGAGACTGGGTCTTGCGTACCAACAAGTACAACTTGGTTGCGAGGCCATCAGGCATGCATGGGAGGGAGATGTTACTGTCTTGTAAGGGGTTGCACAGATGTTGCGAGATAAAACTTGTGGTGATTGAAGCAGTTGTTGTGGAACGGTGTTGCTGTTCGAGCAAATAGGTAGGCATCGGAGTTTGGGAGTTCGAGTGTTCATTATCAATTTTCCTTTCAAGAATTCGAGTCGCATTCGTGGGTGAATTCAATGCAAGATTCGTGTTGGTGAAGTCTTACTCGTTCTTTTGACCACTAATGACCCAGCATCTGGATGCCAGACTTGACTAGTGAAAACACTTTTTGAGCAAGCTCTTGCACCGGATGTCAAGCGGTAGGTAGTGTATACAATAACAGAAAACCAGGCTGAAGAATTTTATCACAAAGCGAGGTAGCAAGTGGAAGACTTGTATGGTAGAAAGTGGCTTGATTCCTCTAAGTGGAAGACCCGTATGAGGGTCCTATCTATATACCGTACAAGACGGGTAATCGGCTTGTGGAAAGCGGTATCGTACGGCAGTAACCGGCAGCGCCACGTGTGGCGCTGCGACAAATTTTCATGACGGTTTCTTCAGGCTCGTATCGAAATCATGAAAGCGGAAGGGATGGGAAGATGATGGATGTCAAGTTATTGCTGTCTTCTAAGTTTGCGTTGAGTGGCAGTCTTTGCCGCCGAAAGCCTGGGCTCGCTTAGAAGAGTGGAGTCGTCTCAACTCAAACCCCATACAATTTGCTTGAAACAACCTTCTCCTGTTGGCTTGTCTACCACGAACATTGGACAACACCATCCAAAGTCATATTCGAGAACTTATGATATTCTCAAAGCCCTTCGCTAATATTCAATCATGCATATCTCGGGCGAATTGTCGGGATGCTCGTGCCGGAAGGGCGCAGGATCGTCCGGCCGCCAGTTGAGCGGTCACCCGAGCTGACATGTCGATCACAGGCACAGCCGACGCATCCCACGGGAACCTCAAGAAGCTTAACCGGTGATTTTATATCTGTTGGTTTGCGTGTACCACAGGTTAGTCACACAGGTATTCCTGGTATCGCGATCGGTAGCAATATCGTTGGGTTAATCTGGTGTTCTTGTTGTTGTTATTGTTGTTAAGGAGAGTATCTAAACGCGAAGGCTCGTGATATGGAAGGAGGGAGCTGAGGTGTGTCACGTGCCGAAGACACGTGACATAGCTCGGCTCCGTGTATACCTAGCGATTGCCGTTTGTTCCCACAATATCCTTTGTTGGCACGTCCTTTTGTTACCAGACGTTAAATACATCATCATCATCATCAACAACAATATCCTTTGTCAACGGCGACTGGTGCAAAATCCAGTCTGACTTTACCGCCAAATAGGCAAGTATCGACAACTCCTTCGCGATACGACGTCGCAATGCATGGTTGCGGGGGTTAGTTGCAACCTTCGGCCTGATGTGCCATTAAGTTCGGACGACAGTAGTTCTGACCCCGGCCTGAGTCGACCCTAGACAGTTCGTGTTTGCCCTGGACTTTTGGCAGAACAACCCCTTTCAGGACAAGAATGCTCTCCAATATGTCGTTCGCCGTGACAGCCGTCTAAGTTTAGCGGTACTCGGGTCGTCATGTTAGGGGGGGGGCCCTGCGTCGGAGTGTTTCGCCTCTTTCCAAAAGCGATGTTTCCAGTCCCTGGCAGTGGGTGGAAAAACTGACGGTGTGGAGGTCAGTTCATCTATCTCGAGGGTTTGGCGGGGCTTTGACAGGGAACGTGAAGCCGAGCTAGCTTTAGACATCAGCCGACTGCCATCAACTTGAAGCTTGGTTGAAGAGGTATTTGACCAAGCCCGTTTCCCGCCTGTTCGTCTGGACTTGCACTCGGAGCCTCATCGCCCATCTCAAGTGCGAACAAGTTGCCAATCTCTTCTGCAAAGATGGTCTGGTTCAACCAAGCCGCCCTCCTCAGCAGCGCGCTGCTGGTGGCAGACATGCTCCCCGTCGGGGCCGTCCGCACCATCATCCCCAAGACGAGCTTCGACTCTCAATCCAACGTCGACGCCGACTGGAACTACCTCTACCCCTGGGGCACCGACCACAACGGCGGCGCGCGCATGACCAAGGATAACGTCAAGTTTAGCGGCGGCACGCTGACTATCACGGCAAACAAGGTCAGCGGGCAGTCGCAGGCAACCCACGGCGGGCAAAAGATCAACATCAACTACCTCAGCGGTGCGATCCACGCAAAGGAGCACTTCAACGTCTCCCGCGGGGGCGGATACGACTTTAGCGCCGAGATCAAGGCGACGACGACAAAGGGCACGTGGCCCGCCTTTTGGCTGACGGCTGTCCAGGGATGGCCGCCAGAAATCGACATGGCTGAGTGGAAGGGTAGCGGCAAGGTCAGCTTCAACACGTTCAACACAAGCTCCATCATCGCTGCGAAGGATGTTACGTATCCCAGCCCGGGCAACTTCCACTCGTTCAAGTGTGAGACGAGGGATCTCAACGGCAAGGACGTGCAGGCCAAGTTCTACATGGATGGCAACCTCATCACGACGCAGGTCGGCGCCGGGTATTTTGGGAAGCCTATGTATCTGTGAGTGAAAATTTGGCTTCTAAGCGTGAAGTCTATCAGATTACTGACACGAGGGGATACAGGATCATCAACTTGCAAATGGAGGGGTCTTCTGGTTCGCCCGGCCCAATGAGCAGTAAGCTTTCCTCGTCAATTTATCCTGAAACTCAAATCGCTAACAACCCCACCACAGATACAGAATATCAAGTCCGAAACCTCGAGGTATTGAGTTACAATCCTTGAAATGACGAAGACGAATGATTCAAGCGAAGCGGCATAGTTTATGGGCATGTTGTGCGTTTCATTTTTCCCTGTATCTATTTCATAACTGGGAGCATGCTCCACGTACATATCTTTGCCATAGAAAAAACTATGAATGGCACTGTCAGAGCAATAGTTGGGGACTTGGGGCCTTCTACCAACCTGTGACAATAACTGAAGTGTCTAGGTTGCACCATTGCATGAGTGAGAGGATTGCCCAGCGTGTATGGAGTTCCATCGCTGCACCATTCTTCCTCCCGTACGTGTAGCTTTTAGACCTTGTGGCAATACTTACCCGTGGATGCTTCTACTTTGGATACCTTAGGAGATGAGAGATACCTTGGTTTCTCCGTGCTATCTAGGATTCTACTTGGCCAACCTTGGTCTAGTTATACATGCATTCCCACAAGCTATGCATTGAGCTGCATGATGAGTAGAATGGTCCTTCTGAACCATGGTTCTGAGTATTTGCTAGTTGATGCTTTGCCCCCGCTTGAACTAAGAGCTTTGTGGTCAAGTTGAGACAAAGCCGTTGTGTTACCTGCTGCATTTTGAAGAGTCCTTACGGTGAGTGCAGTTCACAAGGATCCCACTAATACACGCAAAAACCCCCAGAAACCAGGCTTATTTGTACATAACAACCGTCTTTGTGTTTGCTTTCCAGTTGGACAAAACTGTTGATTCTTAAAGAGTGCAAGCATTGCTTGAGCTTATTATTATCTTCTCTTCAGACCTAGGTATCTTGAGAAGCTCTTTCCTTGCCAGCAAGGTGTATCCGAAGCAAGCGCGGGAAGACAGAAAGGTGACGGTTAGTCAGGGTGGCCAGCGGAATATGCATATGTGAGTGAGCAGAAAAGAGCGTCGATTCGTACTAAAGAGTGGATGGAATCACCACAGGCTTGTGGGCCTAATGCTATCCTAATAAGTCTTGCAGAGCTAGGACCAGGTGGAAATGACAGTCTGGCCTGTTTCGTGATGGTCAGACCATTCCGAATGGGTTATGTCCATGACTCGCATAGGAGCATGCATGGATTCTGTCAAAAGGCAGGAGCTGGGTGGTCTGTGCCGTCACTGGCTTACATAAGTAAACTGCGCTGACAAAACAAAGCCAGTCACGTGGTACCGTGCTGGCCTCGTGTCTGATCCGCTCGCGTGTCCTCGACCCCTGCCCTCTTTTTCCTCCCCCCCCACCTTCTTTGATTCCCTGAATGTCGCGTCATTCACGTTGCTGTTCATCAAGTCAAAGCCGACCCCACAATGAAAGGTCACGATGCCGCGCTCCAAAACCCTCCAAGGGGCAGAGAAGAAGGCCATCGAGGGCAATAACGAATCGCAAGACAGCCAAGCCATTTTCGACCGATATGTGGCAGAATACGGGATCGGCGTGGTACGTATGGCCATATTTGCTTTTTCTTGGGTGGCGTTTCCCCCCAAGTGGAGGCGTATTTTCTGCCTGCCCTGGGCATGTTTGGTGGCTCTGCTGCTGGCAATGGATTGGATTGGACTGGATTGATTGCGACAATTTAGCGCACTGCGACGACACAGGCCTTGCTGCGACCTTGCGCTAACTATTTTGGGCACCACCACAGACAAGCACCTCGCCCCCAAGAGCATCGTCCACCGCGTCGCGACATGCTTCGAGAAGCAGCAAAAGGCATCGCGACAGTCTCCTTTCGCGTCATTCTGATCCTCTGAGCCGAAGCGAAAGTCAGCCAATTACTCTTTCATTCCCCAGCACTGCTCCGCTGGCAACGATTACCGAAAACACGGTTTGTCACGCCCCCACTGACTCGACAAGGATGTCTCACATGGAGCTGGGATGGCACTGACCAGAATAGCTACCCCAGCACGACCTCGATCACGAAACTCCGGTACCCGCGTTGTCTGTTGCCGCTGCCGCTCCGGATGCCGTAGGCCCAGATTACGGCCCAGACTCCGACGCAATTCCTGCGAACCTACCCTCGACGAAACTCAACAACGGGAACGATTCAAACTTCCTCGCGGCAAATCCAGTGCCTAATGTCGACGGCGACCCGATTAACACGATACCTGACGTAGCCCCCGCACCATGCACTGCCGACAAACCCGCGAGGAAAGTCAATGCCCTCCCTAGAGCCTCGGGCCGCGCGCTCTCCACGAAAGTCAAGATGGACGTCTCGCAGCAATCTCCCACTCAAGATAACGACGATCGGGACTACGAGAACTACTATGAAGGGCCTTCGTTCGTCGAGACAAGTCCGATTTCGCCAGAGCATAGCGCCGAGCAGCACGCGATCCACGAGGAGGATTCGGCCGTTGTCGACTTCGGCAACCTGGATCACCTGATTCTGGGCGACACTAAGGGCGACGAAGAGCCTTCATCCTTTCCCGACCATGCCGCACCTATACATACCCGTGGAGCTTGGCGAAATCGCACTTCCAGCTCTCAACAACAATCCTCTGTTCAGCGTACCGACGGCCAATCCCCTCTGTTACCGACTGCCCCTCCGCCGCAGACTCCAGCGCAACGCCATAACCCTTTTGCTGGGAAGAAACTAGGTGACCCTGCTCTGGCAGGATCCCAAATTTTCGGCCAGACACAGTTCTCATCCGCCGTTAAGCATTTCAGCCCTACCTCTTCGAGACCATCGCCGCAGGTTTACGCCCACAACTCCATCTCACCCAACATAGCCGAGACGTCACCTCTTAAGAACCGGTACAACGTTACATCACCCCCTGATCTGCTTTCCTCCAGTCCCCAAGTTCTGCGAGTAGGAGATCCGGCGCCTCACGACCTCCAACATAGCCCGGGCGACTCTGGGCCTCTCGAAGATGGCATAATACCGGAGTCCCCGCAAATGCCCACGGCCAACACGCGAGGCCTACCAGAACCGATCGACATTTATGAGAACATGCTGGAATCCCAGGAGAGAAAAAGAAAGAGTGCTGAGTTCGAGGCCGAAGTCTCAGGAGAAGAATCCGACGACGTGGCCGCGAAAGTGGAGCGGAGGAAACGTGCCGCATTGAAAAAGAAGGCGGCTGCCAGGGATCTGACGACTATTCCTGTGCAGCGGGTAAGCTCCAATGGGTCTGTGGAGGTGCCCTCAACGACAAGAAAGTCCAGGAAACCTCCGCCGAGGAGGATGCGATACCGTGCTCGACGCGTTGATGATGACTCGACTGCATCTGAAGATGAGATCGACGGATTCACAGTGGCCGATTCCCAAGGTCACGCAGCCGACCCGCAGACTCGTACCAGAAAGTCGCCCGAGGCTGTGGAAGCAGGAAATGGCGCAAAACTTGGCCTTGTCTCGAGTAACGATGCGGTGCCCGACAGCGCCGGAGCAACACAGAAATCTGCCTCAAATGGCGTGATACCTGGCACGGAAAGTTCAGGCAACGGATCTCGGCCCAAGGACCTCATACCGGAAACTAGTCCCAACAATACCCAGTCCCGGCCAGAGGGGAGAGATGATATCCCGCCAGACGTATTAGTGGAAATCAAGAAGTCACAACAGGCTGAGGAGCCAAACGCCCCGGTGGCCGAGCCAAAGAACACTGAACCAGAAGCCGAGCTTTTGCCCGAGACTCCTGAGCCCTCCCTCCCTCGGCCCTCTCGCAGATCGAGCCGCAAATCCAAGCCAACCCTCAAAGCACAGATTCTCAAGGGTGCTAATAGTGCCGCTGTGTCCTCAGATGCCGCCGGAACCGACGAGGCCGTGCCGCCGACCAAAGTTGAGCCAGATGCAGGCCGAGCCTCGCAGGAAACCGTCGCTACTGTGGTCGACAAGGCAATAGCTATACCGACGGATGTGATCCCCGAAGTGACAAATTCGATAGTGAACGGAGAACCGCCTATGCCATCTTCGCCGCCGCTTCCAAAGGCTGTCAACAGTGTTGGACCTTCAGACACGGTTTCCAAGGACAGTCATGCCGAACAAGGTCCGGCGACACCCGACGTTCGCGCCAACCCTGCCGCTCCAACTGCTCCTGGCTCAACGACATCAACACTCAGCGTGCTTACAACTACGCCGGTTCCATCCTCCAAGAGCCCGACTGCATCACAAGAATCGGTGGAACTACCATCTCTCTCACCAGACAAGTCTAAACGTGGACGCCAGCCTACCAAGGCCTTGCCCAAGCTCGCCACCGGATCGAGGGTCACCAAGCAAGGTACTCGGAAGCTCCGGAGGGCAACTCGCCTTGATTCCGCATCGACAGATGAGCTGCATAGATCACCTTCCGTCAACGGATTCGAGAACAGTATCATCCAAGCTCCAAAGACTACCGCTCGGGGCAGCCGCCTATCTATGCTCTCTCACACTTCGAAAGACAATGCTAGCAAAACTCCTATTTTTGCCGGCATGGCGTTTGCGATATCTTTCCAATCGAAAAAGGACGGCGAAAAAGCGGATCATTTCGAACAACGAATGAGCCAAAGCCGCGAAATGGAGAAAACGATTCTACAGTGCGGAGGCTTATTGTTGAGCAATGGCTTTGACGAGCTCTTCGAGCCCAACGCTCTCGGAAGCACGGCAACCAGTCCAGCCTCAGAAACGAGGGACGAGAACCCACTGACGCTGACCCCATTTGCGCAGACCATTGGTTTCACTGCCTTGATCGCCGACGGACACTCTCGCAAAGTCAAGTACATGCAGGCCCTCGCACTTGGGTTGCCGTGCATTTCAGATCGTTGGATTGCTACTTGCGTGTCAAAAGGTGCCGTGGTCGATTGGCTCCCCTACCTGCTCTGCGCTGGTCAATCCACCTTCCTCCGTGATGCCATCAGATCGCGATACCTAGCGCCCTACTCAGCCTCCGAAGCCCGACTTTCCGATGTCGTGGAACGAAGACCAAAGATGTTAGAAGGCAGTCAGATTCTTCTTGTGATGAAGAAGTCGAGGGCCGAGGAGAAGAAGATGCCGTACGTGTTCTTAGCCCACGTCTTGGGTGCCACACTTTCACGGGCATACAGTGTCGATGAAGCAAAGGAGACTCTCCGGCAGCGAGAACTGCTCGAAGACCCATTCGACTGGGTCTATGTTGATGAACATACCGGATCAGAGGAGGAATTATTCAGTACTGTTGTTCCAGCGTCGAAGCCTTCGAAGGCATCGAAGAAACGAAAGAGGGCTGCGCCGGCGACGGATGACGCTCCTCGGCCGCCAAAGAGAATCAGGACTTTGAGCAATGAGCTTGTCATACAGAGCTTGATTCTAGGACGGATGATTGAAGAGGGTGAAATGGAGGTCTGACTCACATGAGTGACCTGAAATGTATAACTATGTGAGATCTGGGACGGAAAAAAGGACGAAAGGAGTTGGTAGAGGGCACTTTTACGGCGTTTGAGCATGGAACGGAAATGTTATGGAGATGATACCTATAGGCGGGAGGCAAGCCTTGATGTGCTTTTGGTCAGCGACCAATACCACCACAGTTATTCGAGATGAATCAACACAATTGAAGCCATGAGACACGTCGTTGCTGCCCGTCCACCTGGATCGCCCATTCCCTTTCGCTATAAGGTACTCCGTATCGTACCTAAGGTATGGTTTCCGCGAGATAATGAGTGAGATGGACGATGGATCACAAGCACAAAGTGAAACAAATTATTGAGCGCGAAACAAGTAATCAATTGAATGGAGCCATGGAACCAGCCATGCTCTCAACAAAACGCCAAAACTCCCGATGGTATCTTCGTAGCTAATAATTCCTGACCAATCTCGACCTTTTTGGCATTTTATGCCCGGGCCGGGGTCTTCTCATTCCAACTTCCTGCTGCGGCTCGAGCAACGGCTGGGCGTGGGAGAAGGGGTGGTAAGGCCAGTGGTGGCAATGGTGGCCTTCTTCTCCGTCTTCTTGGGCTCCGCGGTGGCCTTGGCGCCCTCTCCGTCTCCTTCCTTCTTGATTGGCAGAGGGAGTGCCGAAGGAAGGAGGCGGATGTTGGTCTTCGCCCCCAGCCGAGAACGGTGGGTTGCCGCCGCGGAGCCAAAACTGCCGATGGCCACGAGACCCTTGGGAAGCTCCTTGCTCTTCTTGGTACGCTTGGTGACCCTGTTGCTGCTCTTCATACTGGTGGGAATAGTGGCAGGATCACCAGAGGCCTTGTCGGTTGCCTTAGCCTTGCCTTTGCCCTTAGGCTTGGGCTTGGACTTGGGATCGCCCTTGACCTTGAGATCAGCCTTGGTCTCATCCGAGGTCTTGTTGGCGATCTTGTCGGCAGTCTTGGTCGACGTCTTTCCCTTGTCGGCAGAAGGGGACGACTTTGTGACGAACTTGCGCTTCTTCACTCCAGAAGGAGCGGGCTTGAGGACCTTCTTCTCCACCGGCACGCGCTCAATCCGAATGTTGGCGGAGCGAGGGGCAGGCTTGAGGATAGGCATTGTGAGTAGCGATGAAGGGGTATGTAGAGATAGAAGAGAATAGGTTTGGTTGGTTGGTTGTGATGAAATTCCTGAGCCCTGTAGAGTAGAAAAGTTCAGTGTGAGAATTACTGATTTCCTGGGTGGTAGATGTCCGAGCAGGAGAAAACGAACCGTTGGGAGGGAGAAGTGTCTTCTCATAGCGACCTAGCAGGCCAGAAAGGTCGTGTTGATGGCTTCGTGGATAGAAATCCCGGCGCAGAGAGTCGTTGAGGGTGAGAGAAATTAAGGGTCTGGCCGTCGAGGTCCGAAAGTTACCAGACTTTTGGAGGAGGTTAAATAGGATACAAGGAGTGAATGTTAGCTTCGCTCGTTCCTATCTCCGATGGAAGTATCTTACAAGGTGTCGGAAAGAGACGTAGACGGACGAGAAGCTAGTGGCGCGTACGGCTGAGGATAGCGAGGAACAAAAAGGTACCTGACAGAATTGTCGAAAAGAAGAATAAGGTTGAGACCGGCTCAGGGTATCGCGTATTATGTAATAGTAAGTAGTCGACGAGGAGGAAGAAAAAGGAGAAATTGGTGGCGCAGTTGATTGAATTGGTGAGGGAAGATGGAAAAAAAAAGATGGAAAAGAAAAGAGGAAGAAGAGTTTTTGGGCACTTGGAGGCTGGGGGACGGAAGAATCTGCGTCGGAATTTTGATAGCAGACAGTGAATGTGAAGTTGTGCCCCCGCTTCTTGTTCGAGGCCTTACTCTTGAGGTAAAAATCTAAAAGGGAAGGAAAGGACTGGGTTGAGATAGATTCATGATCGAAGGGTGGTAAGATGAATACGCAGCGAATATGTCACCGTTCAAGCCACACTGTCGTGAGGCTGGGAAGGGGATCATCACGACCTAAGGTGAAGTCCACGGCTCAAGATACACGGCGTCACAGGGGTTCAACAGAGCAAAGAACTGCATGAACAGTCCTTCGCGGTGGTCGAATATGATAAGATAGACATGTGCAAAGCTTCTGCCAACTTGATATGAAACGAGGGGAAGAATTATTACTCGGCCATTACGAGTTGATTCAAAACGGTCTCTGCTCGTACTACCGGTAAGATTAGGGTCCATTGCGCTCGTTGGTGTTAGAACATCCATAAGCCGTGAAATTCATGCGCTTCGACTGGATTACCTGGTGCCGATACACTCCAAGCAGCCTTTAACTACCCCTGAGAAATGTTCAAAAACGCATGGCTGTAGTGACATGATGGCTCACTTGCCAGTGAGCTCCCTTCGTCGATGATGCGACTACAATCAGCACTTTTATGCCGTTTGGAACACCCGTCTTCTCACAAACCGACAACCTCATGTGTGATTGGTGGTCTTGCTCTCTTTAAAATACCACGCCAGCCGGCCGACCTGACCTTAGCAACTCGCTCAATCCGAATGTTGAATGAACGGGGGCCGGGTTGGAGGAAAGGCATCTTTGCAGATGAGGGTTCGCAGTGCGGCGGAACCTTTCACTAGACAGTGCTTGCTACGTCTCTTGCGTCTACCAAATATCAAACTCCTTCGATCATTGCCATTCCCACCATGGTAATCTATCGTGAATACTGTACTACTAGAGAGCCACGTCGTTGAAGACATTGAACATCTCATTGTCCTCCGCAACACCCCGGCGCGTCTCTTCATCCTTAGTAAGGAATCTCATCCAGTAATCGACGGCTTCGATGAGCTCCTTCATCTTCTTGGTGTAGGACCCCTCCCTCATCTCTTCGCTCTCGACCAGATCGCGGAGGTAAGCCTTGCGGCCGTTGACGAAGAGCTCGTGGAACGCCTGGCAGGTCTTGGGCGACACGTTGATCGTGTGTGAAGCCTGGCCGAGACCGCCGCCGACCATGCCCTTGGCGCGAATGTCATCCGAAACGGCCTTATAGAACTCTTGGTTCTTGATCTCGTCGTTATCATCCGTCTGGGGGTAGGATGAGCGGCAGGTCTTGGCTGATCTGAAGAGCCGGCTGACGAAGGCTTGGATACGGGGGCCATCGAGACCGTGGCTGCCCTGAAGTACGAGAGCCTCGGCGAGGTTCTGGGCCTCGTCGCCGGGGAGGGCGTCCTCGTCGCTGATTTAGAAGCCGACCGGGAAGAACTCCTTAACCGTGCTGGTCAAAAGGACCATCGCCTTGGTGGCCTTCAGGGATTGGCGTACTTCTGGCTGAACGCTGGATGGAAGTTGAGCCTGAACCAAAGGATGGAATATGTTAAAGATGAACAGTCTGAGATATTGAGTGAAAGGGTATTTATTTAACTTACGGCCGGCAAGTTGACGCGCCCATTACCGTATTTGTTGGCTCGGCGGGACTTGACGTCCTGCTCCCAGGCATTCTTACGAAGCAGATTGTGCTTTTGTTTGCCGGTCAGGCTCTCGATTCTGGTCTCATCTCTTGTAGGTTCGGATGGGGCATCGGGCGGGACGGGATGGTCGTCTACGTCCATCGGGGTGATGGCATCGTGATCCGAAAAGGTCGACATTGTGAGAGAAAGTGAGACGAGGATCGGATAGTGAATTTCTGAAAGGCACAGATGATTAGAATTTCAACGACAAAAATTGAGACTGAGCAAGACAGAATAGAACAAGACATACCTGTTGACTGGAAAAAATGAGAAAGTCACGACTCGCACAGATTGGCGACGCGAATGTGGCAGGCAGAAGGGAGCAAGGTGAAGCTCAGCTTGCATGACTACGGGTGCTGCGTGAATAACCAAGTGCAGATGCGAATGGCCTATAGTGACGAAAGTAGGCAATATCTTCAACGAGCAACACCTGAAGTGTATATGGTCTAGTGGTGGAGTTGTAAGCCTGGTTCGGCTAGAGAAATTTGGTGACCCTACATAAAATCACAGGCAGCTCGTTTTTTTGGCATTTTCCCCCATAGTAATTCTGGTGATTTTCGATGTCATCCAGATTGCTCTAGGTAATAAGAAAGTACCTGTACTTCGCCGCCAAAGGCATTCTGATGGCCAGAGGTCGCGAGTTCGAGTCGGCCTGTTTTTAGTTTTTTCAACCCTCCTTCGTGTATTTCTTTTTTGTATCTTCCAGGTGTATGTTCCTCGGAGTTCCTCTGCGGTACAACGTATATTTCGTCTTAAACAATGAGTGTTACGGGAAAACTTCATATACAATGGTCCTGAGGCCCTCAATGATCCTGACTTAGAAAGAAGATGCTGAAAGAGAGCTGCCTAGAATGATGCCTCCTACGGCAATCAAACTCCAATTTACACGAACGGTATCTCGGAGGCAGATCTCAGACAGCAATGAAGAGAGTACAATTTTCATAGGAGAGATCCTTCTCGTTTGGGTGGAAAGAACACCTGGGGGGTGCTGCTTTCCTTCCGTATATGTGTGTAGTCTTTGTCGTACGGACTGGGTGGATCACACGGCCCCACTCCATGACGGTCACCGGGGCGGCAGGCATCGATCCCAGCCCTACTCTTGGGCACCCGGTCACCAAGTTTCGATCGGGACGCCGCCGGCGCTTAGAACCACATGAACCGTGGATGCGTGAAAGAGAGTATTTGTATGATCTGTTTACTGGCTTCAATTGATTCATTTGACATACATCAACTGTTCGCTGACGACTGCGTTTTCATGGCACGAACACTACAATAAAATGCCGATGAGAAGTGACGGAAACTATATGTACCCACAACTACCTAAATGCAGTAGAGGGATCTCTCTTTTGTATATGGCGCAACGGTACAATTCCGAATTCTGTCAAGAAGCCTGTTGGGGTGGGTCGAACATGGGCTCAAAGCCGAACAATAATTAAGATTTGAGCATTGAGTCTTCCCGACACAGCCTTCTCAATTTCGGGGAAAACAGGCCGCTCAGCTACTTTGCAGAGAGACCTCGGCCCTTTTCACCAGGTCGTCGACAAACTTATTGCCCCCGGTCGAAACCTCGGCCAGACGACGAGCAATCAGGTCGGCCGGCTTGATCACATATTCTGGCACGACAACATCTCCCTTCTTCCACTCATACAAGAACTCGAGCTTCTTCCCCTTGCTCGCCATCTTCTTTGACCTGGTGAACCCCTCCAAGGAACTAGGGTTGTATGTGGCATGGTTCGCCACGCGATAATTAACAGACGGGTGGATCTCTTCGTTCGTCTGCCCGAGGTCATTGCCAACGTCGTCTTTCTTATACTCACCAGGAGTCCTGAACTTCGACAAGAACGGCACAGCTCTCATTATGGGCGCGAAAATGTCGACGATTGGGCCCGTGGCCCACGCAGCTTCCGGATCGTACGAGGGGGCCTTGAAGAACATCTCATAGATCTTGCTGTAGTCCAACCCTTGTCGGACACGTTGCACCACCCAGTTCACACCAAATGGCTGCGGGTGTCTTGAGCTATGGATGAGTCGGTTGCGAGATGCAATCTCACGGTCGGCAAGCGTCGACATTGTGTACTTTCCATCCTTGTATCCGTGCTCGTCGTCGAGCTGGATGAAGGTCTTGATCTGATCACACATCCAGGTGAAGGAAATGAGAGAAATTTCTATACGACATTAGCTGACTTGTCTATCCGGGCATGAATATGAAAACTCACGCTCAAAATCGAATGGGAAGCCGTAGAGAAGACCTGGATTGCCGCCTCCAATGTTGATGTGGCCACCCGGGAACCAAACCTGCTGCAGCGTGGGCTGGTCGCCGTTCAGCTGGTCCGCCATCTCCCGCTCGATCAGGGCTTTCCATGCTCCAGAAAGCTCTTCTTCTGTGGCCCTCGAGTTCACTTTTAAAAGGGATCTGAACTTCTTCGCAAGCTGAGCTTTTGGCTGTTCGTGGCAGGTAGGGCATTGATCAGTTTTCAGTGGGAGACGCCATAGAGTGGGCGTGAATGGCTGTCGATGCTCGTCGAGGGCAAGTGCATGGTAAGCATGCTTGATGTCTACGCTTTGTCAGACGACCCCTGACTTCAGGCAATTAGTTGCAATTGACTTACATCTACTTAGCGAAGGATTGTGAAACCCAAGGTCATCGATGCCAAGCCAAGGGGCAAGTCTAGCGACTTTGGTAGTCGCACCTTGGGTCCAAGTCAAGCCAGGAATGCCCAAGCTACCGACGGTATCGAATACTCCGACAACCTCAATGGCTCTCGTAAACTCTGGGGGAAGGTTATGCGGCTTTTGGTCCCAGTGATGGTCCTCTTGCTCGTGACCCTGCCAGTCTTGGAACCCCTTTGCACGAACGCCAGTAATCCACTGTCGGTATTCTTTCGATTGGCGGAAGTTGAAGCTGTCGTTGTGACTATGTCTGCGGTAAAGATCGTACAGAGCCGGGAAGTCGACCATCTCCTGGGGCTGGATGATACCGATATCTGTAATGAGACCCGCAACGGAGCGAGCTGTGTACGCCCCTCGGGAGAACCCAAAGAAGAAGAGTTGGTCGTGTGGGGCATAGTTCATGACGATGAAGTTGTACGCCTCGATAACGCTGGCCACAAGACCGTCGCCAAAAGTAGCTTGTCTGCCCCTCTCGAGGATGTTTACACCACCGCCGGTGCCGACACCGGCGCTGTAGAAGACGACCTGCTGGCAGATGCTATCCTCTTCAGCGTCTTTTTTGACGTCTTCATCCTTCTTGATTGTTCCATCCTTTTTAACCGATCCCGTCAGCGCGATGGATCGGGACAGGCGGGTCACATTGGAAGGGATGTTCTGTTGGCCGCTGACTGAAGATTGCCATGTGCCGTCGCAGCAGATGATGATGCGCTTGGGGGTAGACTTTTGGTATTTGTCGGGTACAAGAGTCTTGCGTGCGACTTGCAGTTTGTCGACTTCTTCGAGATAATCGGCAGAAAGGAGGGTGTCTTTCGCTTCATTTGTTGCTACTGTGTGATGAGTCTTGACGTCTGTCGTTCCTTGGACGAAAGATCGCCAGAGATTTGACGAGTTTGTACTTGAGGGTGAGTTGGGCGACATAATGGATTCTGGATATTGGGCCAACGGTTATGAAGGGGAGGGATCTACGAGAAACTGCTGAAACAGCAATAGACGAGATGCTGGCTCGGAGGACCGTAGCTACGAGTATAAATGAGCTGATGGCCTTCCAGCACTCACCAAAGCTTCCATCCCCCGTCCGCGGCATCGAGGTATTCAGCTGAGGCTGAAGTGCTGATCGATTGTCCACGTCGATTCCGTTTTCAAATGAACTGCGCTCGGAGCACTTTGGTCAATCGAACCATCATCTCACAAGAAGCCATATGCTCTGCTGCAGCCTTTGAGAAAGCAGAGAAACAGGTCTCGTTCGGGTGTTGTTTTCATAGCCTGGAAAATGCCACATGTGAATCAAATAAAGACACAATTCAGGGCTGAACTAGACCGAGACAACAATGCCGATTGAACACGGCAATGACAGTCCATTCTTATCCCGGGACGGCTCGTGGCTAGAGCCTAGCGGTATACTTGAGCACGTATCAATCTCGTGCCATCTTCGTCCCAAACGACGGGCGGAAAATGCGCCTGTCTCACCACATCCCGTGTTCAGCACTCTGCTGTCTCGACTGAACCCGCGCTCACAGTCTACACAGCATTCCTCGATGTGCACTGAATTCGCATGTGACTGAAGCTCACCACCCCTCAGAATCTGACCCCAGTCTCTGGCGGCCCAAGATAACTCCCCGCGACAGTCCCATTTACCGCCAACACGATCTTCTCAAGATAGACCTCTGGCGAATTGACCTGCCAACGAAGAGTATGCTTCCCCGGGCTCAAATTTGGCAGCTGTACTACTTTCGTCCACACATGATCCGCCACATTGTCGTTCCATTCCGGAGGTGTATCGCCCGGCGTGGCAGGATCGCCAAGCACACGTGTAAAGTTCACACTGCCGCCACTCTCATTACTGTCATCCGCCAGTGTGAGTGAGAACTCCATAGGGAGGTCTGGGTCCGTGTCGAGTGCGCCGTTGATGTAGACCGTGGCGTTGATTGCCTTTGAGATGTTGGAGAAGATGTAGATATCATACTCTACCCAGGCAGTACGGGCTGCTTCGCTGGACTGTCTAGCAGCAGTAAACGGTCTCGGAGCGACGGATCCTGATTCGGAACGGGAGCCAAGGTACTTGATGTGCGTGAATGCTACCCCGGTGCCAATCTCAGACTCGGCTGATGCGCGTTGATAGTGGGGTCCTTCGATGGAGATAAGGCCGGCTGTCTCAGGGAAGCCGACGAAGTCTTCGGGGGCATGGTGGTTCAGCACAGGGATATGGATCAGGTCAAAGTAAGGAGCCGGATCCCATTCCACGCGGATTGCAACAGTCTCGTTGAAGTCGGCAGGCACCGAGCTCCAATCGATCGATACTTCGATTCTTTCCTCGGACTTGTCGTCGGACAAGATGCCAGAAGTAGTGGTCACAAGAACCCAAGGGTACGGAACCTCCAGCGTCCAGTTGATGGGCTTTCGGTGGTCGCCGCGGTGGAAAAGCTCAATGAGCCGGAACTTTGGCCCGTGAGGCTCCATGGCCGGCAGGACCGGAGAAAAGCCTTCGTCGGTTGGTAGTGCTGGGTGGATGGATCCGCAGATACGGCCTTGACGGTATGCGCTGAGAGAATTCTCGACGTAGATGCCGAGTTCGCCGACGCCCCAGTCGAATGCTTGCCGCTGCTGGACATATGAAAGGTTGGCTACCACGTCGCTGGATGAGGGCCGCCAGTCGGTAAGGTCCATGTCGTACTTTGGTGTAGTGAGCAGGCCTTTCCATTTACCGTCTAGCATGGTATCGTATTCCTCTGTGAGGCCGAAGTCTTCGTCAAAGTGCTGGAGAACCTGTTCGGCAACCAAGTTCGCGGAGTTCCGCCTCTCGTAGCTGTATTGCCTATTCCTCCCCGAGTTGATCACGATGAAATGGTAGTGATATCCGATCAGGGCAGGGTACGTAAGGAGGTGGAACAGCGCGATGCGGCGATCCTCCGGCACGGCTTCGTGTAGAGCCTGGGCCTTATCTGCCAGCTGCTCCCAGGCCTTTAGAACACGATCTGCTTCACGGTAGTTGAGGATGGAGTATGTCGTGGGCTGAAGTATCTCAAACTTGCGCATCCCGACCAGATGGCTGTAGGTCATGAGCGCGGAAGAGATCTCTTCGGCGTGCTCTGGACCAAAGTCACGAGTTGCGAGTGCCGTCAGGTAGGAGGGAATTTCGGCAAAGTCAAACTTGCTCGCATTCCATGCCATGTCCATGGCAAAGGATAGCGGTAGCTCGTTGGGCTTGATGTCGCCTACGTTCATGACCCAGATTTGCCGCGCACCGCGCTCGTAGGCCTGAGATAGCTCTTTGTAGACTTTGGGCTGGATGCGATTGAGTCAACACACCGACTTCAAGCTCGAAGATAGCGCGCACTTACAAAGTTGTTCGTGTTTTGAGACTTCCAGCTCTTTGGTTTGCCAACGTACTGGAAGTGGAAGTAGACCTGAAGAAAGCAAGGACGATATCAGAAGCCGTTTCTCGAATTAGGGGTGAGTGATGACTTACGCCAATGCCTCCAGATCTCTCACTCTCTTCCTCGGTCGGAAGTCGTTGAATGTTTCCCCAATTATCATCAGTAAACATCAAGGTCACATCTTCGGGAGGTTTCAAGCCAGCCGCATAGTACGTGGCAACCTCTTTGTATATAGTCCACACCTCTTGAGGAACAGCCAAAGTCAGTCAACAGTCGATAACAGCGACAAGTGCTTGGAGGTCCGTTCTCTACTCACGATTTGTCGCTGTAACCTTTCCGTGGTACTTTGCCAAGATCTCCCGTTCTGTAGCGAAGACATCCTCAAGGACGGCAATAGGATCGTCTGCATCAATGGGACCGTCATCAGTCCCTCGCATGCCCAGTGTAAAGTAGGACTCATTATTGCCCGCTCGACGAATTCCCTCGTCCATGAAAGCGACCACGTTCTCTTTATTGTTAACCCAGTCCCAGTCGCCCTTCGGATCCTTCTTCCACTCATTACTTGCCCGCTGCATGGGCTCATGGTGGCTAGTAGACACGACAATGCCGTAGTCATCCGCCAATTGTTGGTTCCGCGGGTCGTCCGTGAAGAAGATTCTCCCCGGCTTGGGGATGTAGCTCGCCCACATCGCAGGCCAGATGAGGTTGGCCTTGAGTCGGAGAAGCAGGTCAAAGACGTGCTCGTACAACTCGGAGTCTAGAGTAAAGTTGCCGACGTTGTTCTTTTTCCGGCCCCACCAGCCGACGAGTGCGGGTGCTTCGTCATTGATGAAGAGACCTCGGTATTTGACGCTGGGTTCGCCGTGAGTCGTGATCTTGTTGATAGCGTAGATTTGGGCGTGCTTGGTCGTCGGCACGTCTGCCCACCAATGTAGACTAGCAGTAATGGAATCAGCTTGACGGACTCTCTCGACGGATCCCTGATGGCTTCATCAACCTTTCAGCTGGGCGGTAGGGATGTTCATTACTCCAGACGTAGGATCTTTGCTTGACCGCAGAAGAGAAACACTGGGAGACTCACGGTGACTGTCCACTTTGCTCAGAAAGCGTATAAATGCCAAAAATGACACCACGCTTGTCGCTACCCACGATGATCAAAGCGTGGGAAATCCCAGGCAGAGGGCTCTCGACGACCTGAGTTCGAAATGTCTCCCACTTCCCACTAATGTCTTCGACGTCTATCTTCCCGCTGGCGACGAGATCCCGTACAAGTGCTGAATCGGCCGTTGCAGCAATGATCGCAACATCGGTCATGATCGTTGAATTTCCAGCCTTGAGTGCTCCGGTTTGGTTATTCCCCTTTGGGGCAGTCCACACGTAGACGGGTAGCTTTGTCCCTGTGATCTGCTCGAAGTCGCCGGCCAGACTATTGACTGCAATGCTAATACCCACAGGATCGTTGGCTTCGTGGATTAAAGTCGCACCCTGAAGCTCGATAGATCCCGCCGAGCCTTCAAATGCGATGAAAGGCTCTTCTAGTAGAGCCTTGATGAGGCTGGCGCATGCCACCAAGCACACCCATGGGGCACAATTTTGTACCTTCATGATGGATCATTGGCAAGTCCTGTGGGAGAAAGGAAAGAAGCGTACACGGATGAGGGCGTCTTGCTTGGGCTAAGGTAGTTGCTTTGCTTCAGCTGTGCAGATTGGATATATAAGTAGCATATACTGCGTTACACAACATGGCGAGATTACCAGGATACTATGCCGTGACATATGCCATTTGGTGACACTGATGTTTACAACAAAATCCCTGTGTAGTTGACCGTAAAGGTAGCATGGAGAGGCTAATGACGTCCATAGCGGCACACCTCATGAGGAGAAATAAGAAGGGTAAGCATTCCCGTTGATGCAAGGCGACTTCATTTGTTGACAGAGTCAATGTTTGCAGCTTGACAATCTTGGCGCGGGGTTGCGGGGTTGAGGGTGAAGTGAGAGAGTATCGCGTGGTCTTGAACTGATCCTGTGCAGTTGGGCAAGCGGACGAATCACTATCTACTTGAACTCAAGAGATGCAGATTGCCAAGCCAGATCAGAGCTAATTTACCCGGAAGGAGACCTGCATGGCCCTTATGTACCCCGACAGGATTATCCCGATGTCCGAGCATCTCCTGGGTCAAGACGATCGTCATTGAACAGTATGGGGGAATGGCCATGCACAAAGTAATGCTGTTCCCGTAATGCCTCCTCTATCCCGTCGATTCTATTCTATCATCGGTTTGCGCAGTCGTAGGTAAGCGGCGCTAATCTTTGGTCTCGTTATGTGCATCTCTTCTCTTTTGAAAGGCAACAGTGGCTGTGCTGAGATGTGATTGGCTTCCCCAGGTCTTTCAATCGTCATCCACGTTGCCATCCGAATAGTACGCAAAAGCAGTGGGCAGCGGTGCGTCTTTGCTATTGGGGCCATCTGGATCAACTTCATCCACCAGGTGCTTCTTAACTGCCTGCGCCACAGGCTGGGTAGAATCCACAGGGGCTGAGCCTTGGACCGGGCCCGGCGAGTGATGTGTATGATCTGCGCGCAACATCGTTGTCATCCACTTTGCCCATTCCCAGGGCTTCTCCCGGCCAGATGGCAAGCTGTTGAAGTACTCCCATCCCATGACGCCGCCGAACCGCGCATAACGATTTCGGAGGGTCAGAAGCACAGCGCCGAGCATCTCCCACGGGACCCATCCGCCGCCGTTCTCGGGATTTGTGACAAGGCCCATGACGACCTTCTCCGGTGGCCAGCCCTTTGCCAAGATCATCTCGTACATGACCGGGTTACTGACGTCGCCCCATCCGCAGTAGAACTGAGCATTGTACCAGGCAATCTCCTTCCCTCGCATCACCTCCAGAGCCTCGTAGTCGAAGCCGCTCAGGTTGTTTTCGGAGTTGAGCAGGGCCGCAGCCACAGGAGCCATGGAGATAATGAAGTCCTTGCCAAAGTCCTGGCGCACGCGGTCAATGAGCCGTATGACACCGCCCAGGCTCATCTCCTCTTCGACGTCGAGGTCGATGCCGTCCAGCCCTCGTGTCCGAAGCATGTCGCGTAAGGGTATGTAGTATTTTTCAAACTTCTCCTCGTCCCCGTCCAGCCTCTCGTAGGAGCCCTTGGCAGCACCGCCGAGCATACCAAGCACCTTGACGCCGCTGGCCTGCAACACCCGAAGTTCGGCCCATAGTGTAAGGAATCGCGTGTTGTCGGGAGTATGGTCGTTCAGGGTGAGGCCGTGGGGATCATCGTTAATGTGTATCGCCGCGAGAATCACGTGGGTGACGCTGATCCCACCTTGGGTAAGGAGCGGGAGGATCGAGATGGGCTTGCCGTCGGAGGTGTGGTGTGTTTGGTAGTAGGTGATGACACGCGGGAGAGGCTGGGGGGGTACGGGCGGCATCGGAGCTAGAGGGGCTGAATACCTTGATCCCGCAAGGATCGAGGGCTTCCGTACGGTATTGGAACGACAGACGCGACGCGTGGGATGGTGGAAGATCGGGTGGTTGCATGCGCCAGCGCTTTGGGAGAACTAACAACGCGGGGTGGAAATTGGGAGGTGTTTGGATTGACGGCCCCTCCACGAGGCCCTGCTGGTCGAAGCTGCGTCATCAGGGTGCTCGAGGCTGACATAAGCATACTTTTTGACCGTCTCATAGATGAGATTCTTCACTCACTCACTCGCTGATTTCATACTCACTCGCCACGCCCATACCAACTCCTCATTATCACGGCCATGAAAGCTGTTGTTGAGTTCGTCATTTCGTTCATGCCTTTAGTCAATCTCAACGCGCTCGAAAGTGAGACTTGAGCCATCGTGTTTAGCTTTTCTACTCCTCTTCGAGGACCACTGGAAATGACAATTCAAGTACACAAATGAAGACGACCGACTACTAAACCTAATGACCGCCATTGACTACGCCTACCAAATTGGCTCCTTCCCACCCTTACCCATGACTTTAGTCTTGCTTGGATATTGCGAGACCACATAGAAGCATCCGACAGAATAGACCGTGAGAATGACACCAATAACATAGTACAATTGTTGATCCAAAATTTCCGGAATAGTGAGCACAAAGAATCCGAAAGGTGCAAAGGTCCAAATGGTGCCGATGATGTTGACGACGCAGAAGCCAAGAGACAGTCCATGCCGGGAGCCCGCCCGCAGGTAGTGATGAGTGGGCCCGAGAACGATGAGGACGTTGGTGAAGCAGAACCACTGCATGACGGAGCCCTCGCCCATGAATTCAATGGCGAGAAGCACAATCGAGTACATGCCCATCTGCAGCGCGAGTGCGTACGTGATGGCTGCAGACATCGACGGCTGCTTCCCGAGGACGGTTCGAAAGCTGGCGTCACGCTCTTTGGTGATGGCTCGGTGGATGGTCCATACTTCAAGCATCGTCCAGAGGAAGAGTGCTGTCGATGTATCTCTCAGGTACCAATGCTCGCCGTACTGTGAGGCGGCCTTGCCGAGGATGTAGGACCATGTTGAGTCGTGGGCCAGGTAGAACGAGTGCATCCAGAAGGGCATCGGGTCCTTTCCTTCACGCAGGGTGAGGCGGACGACGTAGGTATACTGGAGGTAGCCGACGATGAAGCTGACGGCAGAAGCGATCAAAATTGGAGTATTGTCTAGACGGTAGACCTCCGTTATACGCTCATAGTAGTTGATGGCCGCCATGTTGTCGATAGATCCGCCGAGGTCAGGTAGTAGTGAAGTGAGCGACTAGAATCTCATAAGGATCTTGGATTCAATGCAGCTCAGCGCATGCATTCCAGCACTTTCCGAGTAGGAAAAGATAATCGCCAGCAGCATTCAAAAAAAGTCTTCTTATAAGTCTTCGAAATCTGGGGCAGGGGAATTCAATGCCCAGACTCCCATAGCACGATCTAAGTCAAGATGGTCTAAGCCCAGTGCCGACGCTCTGGCCCCCCTCAAAATACCAGCTACCATGTTCTTGACACGGATGTCCCTGGTTTCTGGGATTCCAGGAATGCAAGTGGGATGTTGATGTCTCCGCTTGATCGGGGTCCATGGCACACCGCTCGAACTCTCTCACGGACATCTCCTGTTGTCAGCCAACCTTCGGCCGAACACATCGCCGATCGAGCTGACTCTGCAGTATGCACTGGCCAGGCCGCCAGAAGCAGAACTCATAAACCAAACTTGATTCGAAGCTCATAAAGATTTATATAACCTCTTCATACTGGTTAATCAACCGTTGAGGCACCAGTCCCCGCAAAACCACAACGCCAGCGTGCACAATCCCCCATCTCACCGTCGTTAAGACATCCGCCATGATCCACACCAAGCCATTCGTCCTCTTCCGCTCTCTCTGCAGAGCAACCTCGCCCCGTACCGCGCGCTCCGACATGCTCGCAACAAGAGCCTCCATCTCACCTTGCGGATCCCAAATCATCTCGTCGTCCTCAAAGTCATACTCGTCGTCAAACGCGTCAAATGCTCTCCGCGAGGACGCCCCGTACGATCGGCTAGGTCGCGCGTGATGATAGGCCCAGCAGGTGAGTGTCGCCAGGTACAGACACCACGGCACGTGGAAAAGGTTCATGGCCTCCATGCTGTTGAGTGTTCTCTTGGTCTCGACGAGCATCCTCGCCGCGTGCCAGGCTGCTTCGGACGCGGATTGTTTGGATTGATCGGCGTTGGCGTCAGTAGCGCCGCGATCTTGTCTCGGGACGGGTGGATGGCTTTGCTGCTGCTGTGTCTCACAGCTTGATGCGGCCCACTTCTTTACCACTTGTGCGGATCTGTGGTAGTCTCGTTGCTGTACTGGCCTGCCCAAGATGTGACGAGCGCCGGCGTATATCTGGACATCCAAGAAGTCCATGTTGAGCAGGGCTTGCGCCGAGTGGTATAGAGCCTTGTACGCTGCTGCAAAGGACTCGAATTCGACCCTTCTGGTCATGTCTTCGTCGCCCTCCTGTCGTTGATTTCCCTGAGACTGAGAGACAGATCCTCGTTGTAATTGGGACGCAAAGCTGACACAGAAGGCATCAAAGTCGCTTTTCCATGCATCGTAAGCGGTGCTCAGCAACTTGCGCCAACCCATTCCAAAGCTATCTCCAGAGACGACACCGAGAGCTGTCTGGTCCCGTCGACCCATATCCCAGGAGATGGACATCAAGCCGTGAAGAACCAGTATCCTCGAAAAGCCGGTCAGACCAGCTGGTCGCGGGGCTGACGGTGTCAGGTAGGACTTGAGAGTGGGCAAGTAAAATAGCCTCTGGTCGCTGAGGCTTGAGCGCCAGGCTGACGCCCAGGATGCAGCATCCCGAGCTTCCCAAATACTCTGGCTGCACGGGAGTTCCAGTCGAAGCTCAAAGGCTGACATGCAGAGACTTTGACAAAAAAGAACGGCATGCTGTGTATCCCACATGAAACAAAGCAAAGCCAGCCTGATCTTCTGTTAGTCCTTCGTCGTCCTTCGTCGACAGTAATTAAGAGTAGATGGTCGAGACGTACCTTTTCTTCTGCTCGGCATCAGCCCACTTCCTCCATGCTTGGTCCAAGACGCCAGCGTTATCTTCTCCCGATACTGGCGGCGGGCCTGGAGGTCGCACAGTCTGGCAATCAGAGCGACGAATGAGATTTATCAAGAGTCCGTGGAATAGATGACTCATGTCGTGTTGCTTCTGACCGGCGCGTGACTTGCCAAAACACTCAACCAGCAGAATTGTCTGCAACGTCCAGAGCTCTGGCCTATGTGAGAATCCCGCATGGGCGAAGATACTGGGCCGTATGACATCGTGTATGCAAACAGCGAGTTGATGGCAGTCTTTGCTCGAGTACGTTGCGCCTAATAGTAGGATGGACAGCAGGAGCAAGGGCTCGGTCTTCCTACAGTCAAAGGTTTCTAGGTGAATGAGGGGGTATGCGGTGTTAAAGCGAGTAAAGAACAGCTCCAGGTACGACTTGAGTGAGTCCGCTGATAGTAGTGGGTGCTCCCATATCGTGAGGCGTTGGTCAGGAAGATTCGGCTTAGCGCCGTCAATGACGTTTAGAAGTCTCTCTCTCACATCTTCGTCTATCAGAGGGACCGTAAGCGGTTTTCGCAATGAAGACAGTGGTCTTTCTGGTTCAGACGGGGTTGGCCGGCTGGCTGCAGGATAACGTTGTCGAGCTGCTGGGGGCGCATCGGAGGGCCTTCGAGATGCTGCAACGTCAGAGCTCCTCTCTCTGGAGTTTCTCATCGCCTGCCGTCTCGCGGCTTCATTGGCGCTTGCATGGGGATTGGTGGGTGGTCCAGACGACCTCTGTCTCTCCTGGTCTTTGGGTGTCATGTCCACGGGCTCCGTCCACAGTTGCGCGCTCTTCATCGACTCTGGTGTAATCGCAACATTTGCTTGCGATTTAGGTTGGGATTGATTGTTTGCCATATGAGCTTCAAATTCTTGACCTGAGTTTGAAGGTCTCGACGCTCCTGTGGGCGCTGAGTTGTCTTGCATGTTGAATAGCCAGTTGTAATCCAGCGCAGTTGTATATGGCATATTAAAGGAGCTGGCAGTGTCGGGTTGGAAGATCTGATCGTAGTCCAACTGGTCACTCATGAAAGATGCTTCGCCCCAGCTACTGGGCTGAGTCGTATTGATGTCGAACTGGTTATCCGTTGCTATGAAATCGGAAAATTGTAAAGAGGGGGGAAAGCCTGAAAAATTGGTGACAGGGTCACTGGGATTGAAGACGTCTCCACGTCCGAAAGAATACTGTTGAGCTTCGGTTTGGCTTCCTGGGCGAAGATCCAACGTCGAGCGTTTGTGAAACTCTGGTGATATGCTATCGATGGAGTAATCTTGGTCTGCCCCAATGTCTAAGCCAGACAGACTGTGATCCCCGTCGTGGGGTTCCGGGTCAGGCGAGGGCACTTGTTGAGCTTGAGGGCGTTCTTTTCCTCCCGAGGTCCGGCCCCGTCCAGACGGATTCGGGCAGGGCCGCTTTTCTACAACAGACCCGTCCGGGGCCTTCCAAGATCGTTTGCGTGTGTCTAGAACGCCGCAGCCCGGTCCGCCTGCTTCGAGATCTTTCTGGCGGTGACGATCCATATGCCGTTCTGATTATACATGGAAGATAAGTCAGCGAACAACGCATTTCCCAAGATGTTTTCGAGATTTAATTACAAACGGTAGTAGTTGTCGACATGTTCTTCCTGTTCCGTCTTTTGTCTACTTACTCAACAGATCAGGTCGTTTGAAGTGAGCATTGCATAGACCGCAGCTCAATCCGCCAGGCATGTGGTTGAGAGCATGGCGTTGCATGTGCTCAGCTCGAGTAAAGCGTCTGGTGCAACCCGGATGCGTGCAAGAAAAGGTCTTGTCCTCACCCAGTAGCCCGTCTGAGCTCTCTGAGCGACGATGACCGTCACCAACACCCGCCATGGTGTAGGAGTCGCTCATAGTTTCACCGCCGAGTTCCAAATTACACGAATCCACTTCCGAGAAAGGAACCTATGTCAGTCGACCCCTGGCAAAAGGAAGGAAAGAAAATTTCGATAACTCGAGCCTTAGGTAGAGACTTGGAAAGACTTGCAAAGTTGGCAGAGTGAAACCACGGTTTAGGTGTCTTGCTTGCTTCGATAGGAGCCCATAGATGGGGGAATGGGGATGGACATAGCAACCGGATGTGCCGTCCCACTTCTCCGCATTACCTCCGGCTTTGAAGAGTAACGATACCCGGCTTCCCAGGCCGAGTAGAATCTCCATACTAGGAAGTATGATAAATCTCCGATTTGTTGATCGCACAACATCCCGGCACTAAGTCTCGGTGCAGCCCCTCCCCCACTCTCGACGACTCCCGCCACTTCTGATAAGCAATGTCTCTATGCTCGCAGTTCGTGTCCGACAACACCAACACAAGTCCCAAGAGATAAGAGTGGGGTACAGGCGACTTCGGCGAGCTGGTATACTCCAACTGCGGGCGTGTCTTATCTCGCTACTCTAGATATGCGATACAAGTAGATACTGATCCAAGTTTACGTAGGGTAATTGCACATGTTCGCGGAGTTGAATAGCCGGAGAGGAGGTGCAGCAACTTTGGCGATGGCGTTGATCGAGTTAAGCCGGCATTGGCCGTCAACTGCGTTTTTACGAGAATGAACGGATGATGCGGTCATTCCACTCTTCGAGATCGCCGTAGCATGCATTCCCAAGAGCTTAGATAGTATCACGCAGCCGCGCAGCCAGATTGTTGTATACAAATTTGCTGGTGCACCAACATCCCTACCACTTGCAGTTAATAAATGACAAGAAGTCAATTTGCATAACATAACGTCTATGAGTACATGCACTAGACGATCAGTGGTCTCTTCTAGAACAGCACAGACCATCATAACATTTGCGCCCTCAAGCCGTGCTGTATCGGCATCATGTTGCCGTCAACGTCTAGGAGTTATCTGATTCAAGAAAAGCAACAGCGAGATGCGAGTAGTAAGCTTCACGTGAGTATTCGTCCTCGTCTTTCACACACTATGGAAAACCCCGACCTAATTTTCCAATGACAGGTAATAATCGTAGGAGCTGGTCTAGGTGGTCTGGGCGCCGCCATCTCGACACTGTTTGCTGGACACGATGTTACGGTTCTAGAAGCCGCCTCTAATATCGGCGAGGTCGGTGCGGGCATCCAAGTCCTCCCGAACGCCGCGCGCGTCCTATTCTCCTGGGGCTTGGAGGAGAAGCTGGAGAAGTACGCCACGAAGCCTCAGAAATGCAACTTCATCGGTTGGAAAGGCAACTTTCTCTCCGAGATGGATTATCACAAGTACACCGCGGCGGCGGGAGATTTCCCTTTTTGGGACTTTCATCGCTCCGACCTCCACCGATGCCTCCTCGAGCGCGCAGTAGAGCTCGGCGCGAAGCTCGAGACGAATGCAAAAGTCGATACTTTTACAATCTCACCGGACAACACGACAGCCACGGTCTACCTCGTTGGCGGACGCAGCCTGACGTGCGATCTCCTCGTTGGCGCGGACGGCATCAACTCCAAGCTGAGGGAGGAGTTCCTATGCAAGCCAGATCCACCTCAGCTGACAGGGGACCTGGCCTATCGACTGCTTTTGAACACGGCCGACATGCTCAAGGACCCCGAATTGAAGCACTTTGTGGAGAACCCCCAAGTCAACTACTGGGTTGGACCGGACAAGCACGCGGTGAACTATGTTCTCAAGGGCGGTCAGCTCTTCAACATGGTGCTGCTCGTGCCGGACGACATGCCCGTCGACGGCGGCAACACCCTGCAGGGAAACATGGAGGAGATGCGGGGCCATTTCGCAGGCTGGGATCCCCGCATTAGCAAGATGCTCCAGATGTGCGACGAGGTCCTCAAATGGCGCCTGTGCATCCGGCCAGGCCTGGAACCAACGTGGTCCCATCCGTCGGGTGCCTTCACCATGCTCGGCGACGCCGTGCACGCGACGCTTCCCTACCTGGCCAGCGGGGCGGGAATGGCGCTCGAGGACGGAGGGGTCCTGGGTCTCTGCCTCGCCCGACTGACCGACACTTCAGCCGCATCAAAGCGACAGGCCCTAAAGGTCTACGAGGACTGCCGACGGGAGCGGACGGAAAGGGTCGTTCGTCGCGGGACTTACAACCAGTGGATGTACCACCTTCACGATGGGCCGGAGCAGGTTGAGCGGGATGCAAAGTTCAAGCAGTTTGAGGAGATGGACGCGAAGTGGCTGGGCGAAGGTTCAGCTGTTTTGCCTGCTTCTCAGGAGACAGGAGATGACCCCTTTCCGTGGAGGTATCATGGCGTAGGGAGGTGGTTGTTGACATATGACATGTGGAAGGACGTCGAATCGAAATGGCCCTCCGACTCGGCCGGCATTTCGGAAAAAGGAGGAAACCTTACCCCTCGCGCAAGTTTGTAAAGCATAAGCTTGTTAACCTGTAAAAAAAAAAAAGAAAGTATCCGTACAAATATACCATGAATAACACGAGAGCCTTAAGCCGTTGTGGCCTGTTCATTCCCGGCTGGATCGGACCCTTGGAGGTTAGCTGCGATCCTAATTATGCAAAACGAGGAATAGTAAACAATAGTCCCAAAGCCTGCCTTGCGGTTCCCCTGCTCCTTGTTTTTAGGTCGATAGCTTGACGACTAAGCTTTAACCAAGATGGGGGGGGGGTTCAAGGGAGCTAGACGGTTTTTGGTAATGTTATTAACCACTTTGATCACCAGCAAACTTGCGAGAACATCAAAACAGTGTCGCCCTGCGTAGAGGCGGCCAATACTGGCAGTCCCGGGGATTTGGTTCGTTTCCAAGGATACAGGAACTCAATCCAGCCAGCTGGGCCAGCTGAAGCAGCTGAGCGTTGTATTGACTCTAGCACAGTGGAGAAGAAACCGTATTTCGTCCAATAATGGGTTAAGTTGTCTTGAATTGAGAGAGATTAAGCAACACCGACCCCGTCTTACCGTTTCCAGGCCGCGTTTCCTATCCCATGTCCATGTCTGAGGGGTAATATGCCCGGAGCCCTTGAGGACTTCAACACCACCAGAATGGAAGAGCCGCGTACGAAAATAAGGTCGACTAAGGAGGAAGCTAGGGAGAAAAGGGGTACGAAATCCGGAGGGCTGGTAAGCGCGTCGCCTAGCGAGCCGGCGCCTGAAACCAACTAACATAGGTCGGCGCACGGTGCCTGAATTGCTTCTGTCCAGAGGAAACTTGGGAAGACCGACACACGCGTAGCACTCACGATGGTACGAGAAAGCTGAACGACAGCTCGCCTAATCAGCACTTGGTCGGGCATTTTGGCATGAAGCGGCTGTCGAGAAGTCCAGAGCCATGGCCTTGCCCACGAGAAGGCTTACCGACGAGGCATATTCAGAGCGGCCGCTTGTTGACATTGGCTGGATCGTGAGCTGAAGCATCCCGAATACATAAGTCTGCGATCTTCCTCCTCATCTCCCGATCCAGATCTTATTATCCATCCTCACCATCTCAGAAGCTCCCGAACATTCTCAGCTTCCTCAACCGGGTCATCAATCTTCTCTTCAGGCTTGCCACGTGCTCTAGACACCTGCCAAACTTCAAGATGCGTTCCGCTATCCTCATCGCCGCTATCTCTGGCCTCGCTGCCGCCAACCCCGTTGCTCCCCGGGACACCACGGCCCAGAACGGTATTGATCTGAGTGCTTTCGACGTGAGTCCCCACTGCCGGTAAAGCTTCTTTTTCTTACCTCAAACTGACCCTCGATATAGTCTGAGCCTGTCCCGACCAAGGTTGGCCCTGCCGTCGGCGCTGCCGTCGAGACTCCCACCTACGACCCGGCGGTCGCCAAGGCTGAGGCCTCAAAGGATGCCGCGGCAAACCCCATTGCCGTCTCCAACTCGACCCTGACTGCCCGTACGGTTGCTCCCGCCGGTTGCGGAGCCAAGCAGCCCGATGGCTACGGGCCCGTGTCCAGCCCGGACACCTACGACTCCTTCATGGCGGACCCTCAATTGACCAACATTGCCACCAACGCCCCGACGCCACAGGGCTACAACCTGTCTTTCTCCAACAAGCAGGCCTCGACGTCATGCGCCTCCTACTTGGGTCTTTACACCATGAAGAGCTTTGACACCATCAAGTGCCAGCAGGTATGGAAATTTTCATTCGGACAAACTTGATGAAAGCAAGATCTGACCCCGAATAGTACTGCGATGCCGCCCCTGCTTGCTACGGTATCAACGTGTACATGGAGAGAGACCCCAGCTATGACCCTACCGACGCTTGCCCCAACCCTGTGAGCATCACCAACTACAAGTGTACCCTCTGGGGTTCCGCCGTCACCGAGGAGACCGCCACCAACCAGGGACAATGGAGAGCCCGGTTCCACGTTGGTGTAACCGGATCAAACGGTATGCGCTCCTCGCCTTTCCTATACCGACTATCAAGATGACTGACTGTCTTTCAAAAGGATACTCCAAGAACACGCCTCCCCCGTCTTACCCCGATTTCACCGGCCCCGTTGCCTTCGGCGGCGCCACCCAGGCCCCGAAGTCGTACATGGGAGCCAAGTACTACGCTGGTGTCTACGACCCCGGCCAGTGCGCCGCCGCCTGCAAGGCCAACACCAAGTACGACCACGACCACCCCAGAGCCGACGGCACCTACGACGCCTGCAACTTCTTCAACGCCTACGTCCTCAGCAAGAACAACGTCCCCCAGGGAACCTATTGCTCCCTGTACACCCAGTCCTGGGACAAGTCCTACAGCACCAACGTCGGCCAGTGGAGAGGCAGCGACTACTACTCCGTCTCCTCCAGCTACGGATACAGCCTTACTGTCCAGGACTCTGGAAAGATCTAAAGGGACTGGGCACTTTGACGAGTGTACTACGCCTGTCAAGAGTCTAATTACATCCAAATTTTCCAATGCTTGTGGGATCACTGGAAAGTTTGACAGGTCTTGTGTGGCGATGCATAGATTGATCACAAGGCCGATACGTTTTCAAGAATAATGAGGCGGAATGGAGAGTGCACTACATATAAAGTCTATAATTTAGTAGCAGTAGTAAATATTGATGATAATTGCATAGTTATTGCATTTGTAAACATATTGATGGGTCCCATTCATTGAAAGCTTTCACTATTGGTGATAGGAACTGCCCTCTCTCAGACAAGAAGGTAGCGGGTGTCCTTCCACACATGCAACTACCTAAGGTATAGAAAGAAAGATGTAGACGGGAATCATGGAACTGAAAGAAGAAGGTGGCTTGAATATCGACTGCTTCCTTCAATGTTGATTCACAAAATCAGTTTGGAATATTCCTTGAGTCTCTTCTCTTATCCCGAAGTCATGGTATTTCTTATTCATGGCGATGCCACAGTTTAGACACCAGCCTCTAGTAACGCTAGTCAGACTCCAATACATCTAAGCACTTGTTGTAACCTCCGCATTATCAACCTTGTAAAACTCATAGTCATTGTATCCCTTTTCCGGAGGCTCCGCCCCGTAGAAAGTTGTCCTGTCGTACGGGTTCAATTCCCATCCGTTCTTCAAACGCTCCACAAGATCAGGGTTGGCGATAAAATATCTGCCAAATACCACCGCATCCGTCTCACCGCTCTTCAGCTTCGTGACGGCGTTGTCGCGGTTGAAGTTTCCAGCGGCAAAGAAGTGGATACCAGCCGGCTTGAGGATGTCCCTAAACTGTGTCAAGTTGTTTGTCTGTGTTGCCTCAGATTTTGTCTCAGACAGCGACGCGAGCTTTTGCTCTTCATCGAGGACTTCGTCAAAGCGAGGCTCGATCCTAGATCCAACTGTTAGTATTGGTTCTCGTTTGAAGTAATATCGGTAGGCAGAGAGTCTTACATGTGCACATAAGCAGGCCTCTCAGTCTCTGGCATTTCTGCAATCTTTTGGCTGATGAATGACCAGTGCTTGTTGGGGTCGCTGTCTCTTGTGCCTTGGAAGTAGTTGTAAGGTGAAAGACGGACACCGACTTTCTCGGGGCCAATGGCGGCACTGACGGCCGACAAGACTTCGAAAAGGAATTTTGAGCGGTTCTCTATCGATCCACCGTACTCATCTGTGCGAGTGTTGATGTTGTCGTGGAGGAATTGCTCAAGGAGGTAGCCATTAGCCCCTATCTTCATGTTATTCTACTTGTCTCGAGCTTCCGAAATGGGCGACATCTTCTTACCATGAATCTCAACGCCATCAAATCCAGCAACCTCAACAGCGCGCTTCGAAGCCGCAGCCCACTCCGCAGTCAAGCCATGGATCTCCTCAACGGTCATGGGTCTAGGAGGACCGTCCTTGCATGCGGTTCCATCAAGGTAGTTCTCATCCATAGGCTGTGTCCCGGAAGAGATGGGCGTCTCGCCTCCGCGCATTCCAGCGGAAGAGGCTCTACCAGTGTGCCAGAGCTGGACGAATATGAACCCGCCCTTGGCATGGACGGCATCAGTCACCTTGCGCCAGCCTTGTAGCTGAGAGTCAGTGAAGACGCCCGCAACGCCGGGGTAGGCGCTGGCGTTGAGGCAGATGTCGGTGGCCTCAGTGATTTGGAGGCCGCCGACGCTGGCTCGCTCGCCGTAGTACTTCGCTACACGGGCGCCTGGGATGTGGACGCCACGAGACTCGAACTCGCTTCTCATGCGAGTTGTGGGTGCCTGCCATACATGTTAGCATGAATACACTGTCATGTTTTGGTGAGCCTGGTAGACTTACTTGCACGATGCGGTGCTTGAGGCTGATGCCACCCAGCTTCAGGGGGGTGAACAGCACCGTGTCCTTGAGAGCGGCAAACGACGGGGGAGGAGTGGTTGCTTTAGGCATGGTGTGAAACTATTCGGAAAAGATGGTCAATACCTAGTATCGAATTGGGTTCTTGATAGTACAAGATATGCTGAAGTGTGATGAGCGCTAAGAAACCCATTCAGCGTCGTTGAATGTGGCAGGTTTTGAACATGTCATCTGAATCTCGGAACCACAATTGCAAAGCAGCTATTCAGCCTATTCTGTGCACCTACGATTACACATTGGTGTGTAAGTCGAGATCGTCATGTCGATGCATCGTTGCGAGTGCCTCAGGATGCCCCCATTCCCAGGAGTGGGGAGTGGGGATGGCTTCTTGGATTGGGGTAAGTGGGATATCTCGTAAGTGGGGTGCACTTACACTGGCGTCCAGTCGGGTAGGGTGACTTACCGTATCTATCCGTATCTGTATGGTGGTCGAAGAGGCATAACCATCAGTCCACTTCTAATCATCGGCGATGTTATCCCCCCGGTGTGTTACATTCGGCAATCCATGGTCTAGTGCAGTCTAGACACGGGGAACTCGGGAGTACGGGAGACCGCGCCTTTGCCCCCACATGTTCGCAGATAGACATGGGGAAAGCTCTCGTGGGGCCGTCATCTCATAGAAACAAGGGGGATGATAACGAAAACGAACATCTTCTTCAAGTCACCGCTTTGGTAACAGATTGTAATTTTCCACCTTATTGAATTAGGTTTGGGAAACAGCTTGGCGGGACAAGAGCAGCAAGTTTGATAGCTGAACACCAACTATTGGGCTCATGTTGGTCAGCAATTCAGACATGGCATTCTGAACTTTGAGAGTGATTGGAAGAAGTTCCAGACAGGTTAGTCTCTTTTCTGGAGGATGCATCATGTTGTCGCCTGACACCAGCAATACCACCAACTGATGCTCAGTTAACCTACCTTAGGTAGGTAGAGGACATGATATGTTCGAGAATTTTGGATGCATCCAGGAGTGAAGAATAATCTACATCATAATTTTGAGATTTCGAATCCATGCGGTCCTGCGTACAGTACCGTAGTTACTGATTCAGCACGGTGATTTTGATGTTCTGGCAGAATCGAGAGGGCCCTGACACCTGTACCTTCAGCAACGCAGAAGCACTTAGGCAGTTCAGCCGAATATCACCAAAGATGTGGACAAATGCACACATGAAATCGCTTTTCGAGTTAAAGATTCGGCGAGGAAGATGACATGTTCATGGTCGTGCAGCTTTGAATCAAGGCCCCTAGCCAAGTTCGAAATCTACTAACTGGACATGATATCTAGAGAGAAGCGTGCCCATGAGTCTCATAAGGCAACCCGATACAAAACAAGCCAACCACAACCCACAAAGCAGCACTGGCATATATCGGCACAACAGTGTATCCCGCGTAAGTTGACACAAATGAAGCCGCAAGGCCACCGACGCGAAGGAGAGTCGCAGCAATGCCCGTACCAGTTCCGCGAATAGGACCAGGGAAGGATTCGGGCGTGAAGGCGTACATGACGGCATACTCTGTAAGATTAGTTAGCAATTGCCCTTGGGGGGCATGCAGAGGATGTGAGTGAAGAACCAACTTACCAAAGTTTCCAAGAATTCCGGTTGCGCATTGGAAGCCGATATCCGCCGCTTCCGTGCCCACAGCCGTGTAAGCGAACAAGAAGACTCCCGTCAATACCGCAGACGCGGCCATCATCCAGCGGCGGCCGAAGCGTGTCTCAACGCAGAAGCCAGCCGCGATGGGCCCAAGAACACCGGCCGCGGAAACGATGCAGTAAATCATATAGGTGTGGTTCAGCGACGTGTTTGCCGAGTAGGTAGACTTGGTCGCGAGGTAGGAGGGGATAAAGGCAAAGTAGAGCGGGTACGCCACACCCACGGTCAGCCAGATGAGGAACGTGACGGACGTGTGCTGCGCCATCTTGCGCCCGGCAAACAATTTCTTGTAGTTGTCGGCGTTGTAGTCCTTGAAGCTCTCCTTGAGGATCTCCATGTGGGATAGCTTAGAGCCTCTGGGCACCATGTCGGGGTCGACCGGGGCGGCTGTGGGAGCAATGCTACCAGCGTCGGAGTCTGTGATGCCGGCGCACTGCCTGTCGATGGCTTGCAGCATTTCGAGGGTCAGGGTTTCCGGGCGCTTGTTGTAGCGTGCGATGTAGTTAACGGCTTCGACAGCCTCGGCATCACGACCTTTGGAGATGAGGAATTTGGGTGATTCGGGGATCTTGAAAGCCACGATGCGGATCAGACCAAAGGCAATGGCGATACCACCGAGCGTGATCATGAGGTATCGCCAGCCCATGTTATCTTGCATGCGGCAAGGAGCCTCTGTCGAGTCGCAGGCGAAGTTGGCCAAGAAAACCCACGCCAGAAGCGAAACGATAACCTGTCCCAAATTCCACCATCCAGACAAGCTGACGAGCAGCCATTGATGGGACTGGGGCACAAATTCCAAAAACACGACGCTGTCAACGGGCACGTTGCCGCCAGCCGCCGTGCCGATAATGGCCCAGATGATGCAAAAGCCGGTAAAGTTTTGGACGCCGGCCACCGCGCAGGCAAAGACGCCTCCGTAGAGGATCGTGGCGTTGAAGGCGGGCTTGCGACCGATGAGATCGGCGGTGGTGCCCCAGAAGGAGGCGCCGACGATCAGGCCGACGTAATACGCCACGGAGCTGAAGCTCAATTTCGCAATGTCGGTGAACTCGTTGCCGATCGGGGGCCGGATTGCCGTAATTCCCTGTGACCAGAAGTTGTCGACGATCCAGCCAAAGCCGTTGACGACGAAGAGGATCCATTGGAACCTGAGAAGTGAGAAGCTTTGGTTAGCTTTTCTTCCACTTTGCGCCGACAGTAGGAAAGGGATGGGGTTTGTCAGACATACTTTCCCATGCCAATTTCGCCCAAGTGCTTCGCGATAAGCTCCGACTTGAGACGGTAGTTCTCGTTTACGGCGCCCGTGTAGAAATCACGGAGGACCGAGTCGCCGACGGAACTTGCGTCTCCCTGGATGACGGACCCGGATGCCGTCTGCCTCAAGCCCGACTCCGTCGCATCCTTTGCGACACTCTTCTCACTCGGAGCAGACATGATGGAAACGAGCTGATCGAATCGCAAGAGGAGACAGGTAGAGAGACCGGGAGAAGGAGAGAAAACGACAAACAACTTCTGATTTGGGCCCTTTTCTCTCAGGAAAGAAAGACGAGTAAACCTGGGATCTGATTTCTTTCAGACCCTCGAGTGAATTGAGCCTTGTAGGGCGCCTAGTCCCTCAGCTTTATTCAATCCAGGAACACCAAGGGACAAGCTGTTTACCTGACATGAGGGGATCAATCTTGCAAGGTACCGGCAGCCAAGGTCGCAAGGTCGAATGGATATCAGCCAACACGTTCACTTGCTCAAACTCCACAGCTGGCATAACGAGCGTCCCCGTACATGTAGCGCCAGGGGTATCCTCTCTGGGGTGAAGGACAAATCAAGGGTCCTGATTTCCCACCGGGGAAAAATTGTCTCTCACCTCAGCCTCAAAATGGGGATATGGAGAACATTGCCGTGCTATCACTCGTCCGTGGTCGGTACGCAGTATAGGTATCTATCTAAAGGGCCGCAAGGGCGTGGCTCTCTATCTTTCGCCCTTTCACCCGTCACCGACGGTGTGTGTATCGCCCCAATCCGAAGAGCTCTATTCGTCTGTTTCACTGAGCGAAGAGAGAGAGAGAGACATCTATCAGGGATTCATCCCAGAGATTACGGGTCCCCACCCCCACTTTGGCATGCACGGCCTGTTCCAAAACCTGACGTTGACTCCATTCCGGCTAGGATGTCTGACATGGCGCTCTGCCAATCAACACTATCACGCACCGCGTCAAGCCCGCGTTTAGAGCTCAGAAAACAAGGAAAAAACGGTTCGATCCGCACCGCATAGCGTGCGAGTGATGATTTCATAGATGCCGGTTGGTCGTGGTCCGGGGATGGGCACGCAATTCTGAAGAAACCCATATTAAAATGTCTGCAAAAGAAATCTCTGCATATTCGAGGGACTAATGACATAAGAGAAAACAACATAGGACTCTATTAAGTGCGTCTATTTCATTTTGAGGCCCGAATAACTGATGTACTGTGTAATAATAGCCGCAAAAGACGATTCATGTTTGTTGAGCTAACATAATAGTCTACAGGAGTTTGACGCTTTGTCCTGCAGAGAATCCATGTAGCTCGCTAACGGTCTGATATTGTAAAGTACATACGTCACACATGTATGCCCAGCTCTCTCAACGGAGTAACTCAAATCGGCCAGTCTCAGTCTGGTCATTCTGGTCGGCTTATTCTGCATGTACAGACAAGCTGCCTCTCGTTCACCCACACCGCCATGTACCCAAAGTCGCACCGCATGAAGCGCGATTTAATACGTGTCCGGCGCTTGCAAGAAACCGCCAAAGTAGTCGTCCAGCCATTGCGCCGCCATCCCACCGGTGCCGCTTTCGGTCGCTTGCCAGCGGCCGATGGTACCCACGTAGCCGTCCGGTCGGACGACGATGAGGGAAGCTTCGTCCTTTCCGAGACCCCCAAGCCACTTGTCTGTACAGGAGCGTCCTTGTGTATCCAGAGGTGCTACATCGTCGAGATAGATTGTCCAGGCACTTTGTGAGAACACGGGAGGAAGCGAAGAGATTTCAAAGTCGTTTTTGTCGGTAGATGCTGCAGAGAATGGGTCAGCAAACGGCTACACATGGACTCATGCAATTCTTTCATTGGCTAGATGGAGGGCGCGGAGCCTTCTCCGACGTGGAGAACTGGAGAGAGAACATGACGAGGTGAAGGGAAAACAACTTACTGATGAGCGCAAATATGCACAATTGACTGACGGATGTGTACCTCTCAGGGCGCACATGAATATCGTCCGCTCGGCTGGCGCGTGGCTTCACCTTGTACGACTGCGCCGCTGCAGCGGATAATCTCGACACCAATGAAGATGCAGATGCTACGCCAGTGCTGAAGTCTTGCAGGAAAGAGACACCCGCAGCACTAGAGACGTCGTTCAAGACTGCGTAGATGCGGAACTGGCCCAAGACCGGAATGTCAAGCTGAACGTCGATAGGGCAAGCATCGATATACCGAGTAGCCTTTGCAGGCGGGAGGTTGCATCCCGGTTTTGCGGCGCCCTTGACGCCGTCAGCCCGACCCCGGTTGAGCTCGTTCTCGCCGTACTCGACCCCGACTCCCGAAATGAAGCGAGTATTCAGCTTGAAGTTCTCCGCCAGCCGCTTCGCGTCTCCGCGAGCAATCTCGTTGGCGTGCTCGAAGTCAAAGTTGATGAGATCGTGCGCAATCTTCTTGCGTTCCTGCTCGTACGTCGCAAGCAACACGTCGCCCTTGGATAGCCCGCGCAGGGCGAGGTTGAGCTTCCACCCGAGGTTCCAGGTGTCGTGGATGCTCGTGTTCATGCCCTGCGCTGCCTTGGGACTGTGCGTGTGGCTGGCGTCGCCGGCGACGAAGGCGCGCTGGGCCGGGTCGGAGAAGCGAGCGGCCACGCGCTGGGCGACGTGGTAGTTGCCGAACCATTCTACAGAGCGCCATTTGACGCTGTAGGGTGTGAGAATGAGGCGGGCCTGCTCCATTACGTATTCTTCTCCAAGGTCTTTTGAAGATGTCGACGACTTCATTTCGATGTAGAAACGCGTCATGTTGCGTTCGCGAGGGATGATGAGGATGGAGCCGTATTTCTCAGAAAAGACTACCGTTTTGCTCCAAAGGTCGGGGAAGTCTGTCTCCAGTTCACCATCGAGGACACCCCATACTGAAGCGTGCGGTGAACCTTGCGCGAATGTGTCGGGAATGCTCTTTCGAACGAGAGACCGCGCACCATCACATCCTACCAGGAACTCCGAGTGGATGGACGTCTTTCCTTCCCCTTGAAGGTCGCATTCGATGCTCAGAGAGCCATCGTTCAAGGCGCTGTAAGTCTGGAAGCTGTGGCTACGCTTCACTTCGACGCCACTCTTGCAAAGGTCATCAACAAAGACACCCTCAATCATGCCCTGATGACATAGCAAGATGTAGGGCTGCAAGAGATCTACGACAGAAGCAGGATAATGGATCGAGCGGCTCAGTCGGTGCAGATCTGCCTCGCTTGAGCTCTGCCACATGCAAATGTCGTGGACCTTGACACCGGTGCGGAGAAGCTCGTCGCCGAGGCGCAACATCTGCAGCGTCTCAATCGACTTTGGCTGGATTCCATCGGCGCGGCCTACTGCGGTTTGGTCCGGTCTGTCGTCAATGACTTGGACTTTCTGACCGAATCTTGCCAGGAGAGATCTGTGTTGACATGTTAACAGGGAGGAGCTTCCGGCTGTGGGGGCACGGGGCATCGGAGGGAGTGGGGCACAAACCCGAGCATTAAGCCGGCTGGTCCGGCGCCGACGACGCAGACGTCGGACTTGGTTGCAGACCCATTCTGGTGCAAACCTTTTGTGTGACCATTGGTCTGTGAACTCATGGGAGTTGATGAGGTTGTTGTCATGTTTGCTTCGATTGTCGATGATAATTAGGGCGATGCTATCGTGTTGTAATAGTGACCATGCAAAATGATAGATGCTCGGAGGAATGGATGGTTTCTCGAATTGATGTGGATGCGACTTGGTTGGTCCTCACATTCAATCCGGTACAGCTTACCTGAGATAGATAGTATTAAAGCATTCGAATTTGCTCAACGCGTAACTTTCGTCGCAAAATAACCATCGTCTCATTCTTCAGAATGGTTCGATGTTCAGCCGATGGCGACGCAAATTAACTTACCCCATCATTCAATACAGAGGAAGCCAGTCTCTTCCTAACTGCTGATTGACAAACAAACCTCGCGCCATTGACTACTCCCATCCACTCTCCTAGCTATGACTTCCCTATCAGAACCCCTCTCGATCCCCCACTTACGAGCGTGTGTGTTCGCCGCACAAGCCAAGTCGCGGGGTCGGTGGAGGAATCCGCGGGGAAACATGCCAAAGCAATCGCGGGCAATCCAGCATTGAAGCTCCACTGATAAGCCCAAATGTCAACGGAGGCAGTCTCGAGCGATGCCGGAGCCAGGCGATGATTCCGCCAATCAAGTCGCCTATGCTCCGAAGATCGGCATCCCGAAGGTCTTCGGCAAGCCGGACCCGCTTCGGCTTAGCGTTTGGCACCATCGTGACAACGGCTTTGCTGTGATTGTGTGACTTGGCCAAAGATTGAAGCTATTTGGAGACATATCGCGAACCGACAAGAACGCCCGATTGAGCAATTTTGAAGCAGGACGCAAACAATGACGCAGATCACCATCCCAAAGCCGACACAAGCCTGGCAAGATGTGGTAACCAAGAAGCGGCAGCTCCGCGCAGGAGCTATCTCAGCGTCCATAGGAGGCCTGGCGGGGGGTTTGAAAGAGCTTGAGATCACGGGTATACCTGAAGCTTCAAAACTAGTTTCAAAGATCTCACTTGGTGAGGTGACGAGCGAGGACGTCATCAAGGCATACATTCGGAAGTATGTGGACCACCAACCAACACCCGCCGTCATCCCCTATTACTCGCGTTGATATCGATGCTAATGAGTCTCCGACATCAATAGGGCTGCTGAGGTGCATGAAAAGGTATGGTTCCAGTCCACTAGTCTCGAATTTGTGCTGATTCAAGTATGTCTCAATAGACGAACTGGTACGTTTCGAAATATTCGAAGTTTGAACTTGAGCAAACGCTTTGCCCAAGCAGACATGATGCGCCCTACTTCCAAACGCTCAACTAATATTTGCTACTCGTCGATATAGTTTGACGGAAATCTTGTTTGATGATGCGCTGAAGCAGGCCACGGAGTTGGACGCCTACTTTGTCGAACATGGAAAGACGGTTGGACCCCTGCATGGAGTTCCAGTCACCCTCAAGGACCAGTTCAATGTCAAAGGATATGATACAACTCTTGGCTACGTGGGAAGATCCTTCAAGCCCGCGTCAGACAACGCCGTTGTTGTAAAAATGCTTCAATCTCTAGGCGCCGTCGTCATTGCTAAATCGAATTTGCCACAGAGTATCATGGTTAGTAGCTGAGCAATCCCGCCCTTCCATCTCTATGCCTCATACGAATGCGAGTTCCTCCTTTTTTGGTCTGACGATTTGCTTACATCGCTACAGTGGTGTGAGACGGACAACCCCCTTTGGGGCCTTACCACTAACCCTAGGAGCAAGGATTATACCCCGGGCGGTTCAACCGGCGGCGAGGCAGCCTTGATTTCTTCCGATGCGAGTATGCTTGGATGGGGTACCGATATTGGGGGAAGCATTCGTATCCCGTCTCACATGATGGGAACGTACGGCTTCAAGCCTAGCGTGAGTTTTAATGCTGCCAACTTCGCGATTGACTTGGTTCCACGTAAGAACCAACTAAGCATTGAGCATGACTGACATCCCCTTTTAGAGTGCACGTCTCCCATATCGTGGGGTCCCAGTATCAACTGAGGGGCAAGAACATGTGCCTTCATCAATAGGCCCCATGGCTCGCAGCCTGTCCACAATCCGTCTGACCATGGAGCAGCTAATCAATGCCAAGCCTTGGGAACTGGACGCTCGCTGCGCACCAATCCCGTGGCGAGAAGACTTGCACGAGGAGATATGTTCTAGGCCTATGACCATTGGGGTTCTCTACGATGACAACGTCGTTCGGCCTCATCCGCCATTGACGCGGGTTCTGCGCTCCGCCGTAGAACGCTTGCAAGCAGCGGGCCACGAGGTCTTGGAGTGGAATGCAGACTTGCACGAAGACTGCATCAACACAATGGTGAGTGAAGATGTTGGGTTTCTCTGTGCGGAATCATCTGACTGTCATTTCAAGGACCTCTATTATACGGTAGACGGCGGCGAAGATATTCGCAAAGACGTCGTGGCTGGCGGAGAGCCCTTCATCCCCCACGTCGAGAAGCTTCTTAACCGCGGAAAGCCAATTTCGGTGTACGAATACTGGCAGCTCAACAGGCGCAAGTGGGAGTTACAGCAAGCGTACCTAGAAAAGTGGCAATCCATTCGGTCGCCCAAGACTGGTCGCATGGTTGATATCCTACTACTGCCACCTATGCCGCACACTGCTGTGCCGCATGGAGGCTGTAGGTGGGTGGGATATACCAAAGTGTGGAACTTCCTCGATTACCCTGCCCTTGTCATTCCAGGAGGTCAAGTGAGTCAGGAAGACGTCGATCGACCGTGGGCGGAGGAAGTGAGGGGAGTTGAGGACGAGTGGAACAAGAAATTGTGGGAGGATAACAAGAAGACAATGGCATCTCTCAGTCTGCCGGTGGGCCTTCAGATCGTTGGTCGCAAGCTGGAGGAGGAGATGGTGCTTGCCGCTGGAAAGATCATTGATGACATCCTCAAGGATAAGAACTAGAGTGAATATTGGTATTCGATTAGAAAGCTCCTTTACGGACGACACTTATAATCCTCTGGAAGTTTGAATCGAGTACATATAAGTCAACCTACCTACTTTTGGCCACCCCAAAAATCCCTCCCAGCCACCTCAATATTATCCTACCCCTATTTTTCTAACAACCACAACAATTACAATTTTCGTCCAAACACATTCGTCTTTGGCATACTTATTCGCTGGTATGTAATGGTCTCGTATACCGAAACTGAAGTTAATTAGGCTCTTAATGCTATTGTAAACGGTACCTTGGTTAATGGGACTTGATTGAGTGGGCTATATTACGATCAACTCTACGGAATCGCATGAGAGGGCACTAGAATAGATCCATTAGTTTTGCTGAGCTTTAGAGGCTTAATCCATGGTAGGAAAATCGACTGGTAGGGTGGATTCGTATTCAATATACTCTAGGGGTCTTACCAACCTATGAGCAGGTTAGGGAATTTGCTGAGCGAGTTCTGCGAGCTTAGGGTAACCCTAATTCTGTTAGCAAGCGATGGATTGATGCCTTCCTACGAAGGAATCCCTCAGTTAAGGTCCAGAGAAATCGAACCATCGATTCTAGACGTGTTAATGGAGCAACTACTGAGGTGATTAGGCCCTGGTTCCAACTACTCGATATACCAGAGATCAGGGGCATCAAACAAGCCAATAGGTACAACATGGACGAGATTGGTATCCTGGAGGGCAAGGGAGCTAATGGGTTGGTCTTGGGCATGGCAGAGACCAGAGCAGTACGGAAAAAAGAGCCTGGTTCTCGTGCCTGGGTGTCGATTATCGAGTGTATCTCTACTAGTGGTAGATCTATCAAACCACTGGTCATATTCAAGGGAAAGTCGGTCCAACAGCAGTGGTTTCCCCTTCAACTTAACCCATATGATGGTTGGGAGTTCACAACGACAGATAATGGATGGACCACCGACGAGACTACCCTTAAGTATTTGAGAAAGGTGTTTCTGCCCCTGACTGAGCCACCTCCTTCCAGGAGGCCAGGAGGGCAAAAGGAGCCTCGACTATTGATTCTGGATAGGCATGGGAGTCATACGACGACTGAATTTATGTGGGAGTGCTATATCAACACCGTCTACTTGCTCTTCTTGCCTCCACACACCTCTCATGTCCTTCAGCCCCTGGATGTGGCTTTCTTTGGACCAGTCAAGTCTCACTACAGGAAGGAGATCGGAAACCACGAAATCCTGGATAATTCTACTATCGTTAGAAAGCGGCACTTCTTATACTATTACCACAAGGCTCGAATCACTGGTCTAACGGCGTCAAACATACGAAGTGGTTGGAAAGCAAGTGGTCTATGGCCAGTTAACATAGGCATACCACTTATGAACCCACTGATACTCTCCAGCCCTGCCACTCCATTAAACAATACCGCAGAGGGTCAGGCAGCGACTGGCAAGCCAGAGGAACTCGTTGACTAGAAATCAGCGACGTCTATTGTTGACTCCTAGGAAGGCTGGGGTACTCAGCCAGCACTTGAAGCTATTCACAGAGCTCAGTCCAGACGGCAACACTCAACGACTACTGTTCAGAAAAATAAAAAGGGCTTTGGCGAGAAGGACTACCTATTGGCTACATTAGAGTACAAAAACCGACTTCTCCAGGCTCGAATTGACCGCATAGCTCTAAGGAAGAAGAAGACTGTCCAAACCAACCCAAATACCAAGTTTACAAACATTAGGGATATAAAGAGGGCTCAGGAGGACTCTGGCGACCGTCTCGCTAGTCCCAGTCGACTCGCAAGGGTCGAATTACCTAGTGAGGGTAGTGACTGTATTGTAGTGGCAGTGGAAGGTAGTTAATTAATTGAGTGTAGTTGGTGGTGATGTTTTGAGACCAACTTTGATGTGGTGGCCAAAAGTGGGTAGGTTGACTTAATACCTAATAGGAGAAATTAAAAGCTGGACGTGCACATGTTCTAGACTCATGTAGACTGTTCGAGAGACATCACCGTGGGTAATGATCAGTGACACTTAGCGTAATCCAATATGCCATAATTCCCACTGAGACTTGCTTTCGTCATAAGAATGTCCCGATCAAACGCTCACCTACTAAACGAGTCAAGAGTTGAACTAGTGGTCAAGTCAGGGTGATGGCACAAGAAAAGTGGATACAATAATTCCAAATACAGGCCAATAGGGGTTTTGCATATCACGTACTATCGTTGGGAACGCTGTTTGATAACTATGGGGTCATTGAAGATTTGGTATTCATGAGACTACATGTACCTACATGTATCTATGATTGCGTCTTCTTCCATTCCTCGTACTTCTTCATAACCTCTTCCTGACTTGCTGGCATCAGACCTCCCTCTGGTGCAGGGATCTTAGACTTGAAGTAGTCGCTCATCTACAGAACGTGAGCGTCAGCATACGTTCATACGCAACAAGGAGTGGGGGTGGGACCTACCTCTCCCATGGTCACCCACTCGACACCTTCGTGGCTGTTGATGTGCTCAATGATCCGCTCGTGCATGAGTAGCACGTGAGGCCGACCCGAAACGTCGGGATGAATGGTCATTGGGAAGATGAACTCATCTTTGAACAGGGATTAGTTGATGTCCACAGCACCTCATTCATTCACCATGGAGATCCCTTAGCTTACCGTATTCTCGGTAGAAGTAGTCGAAGTGGTCTCGCCAGATGTCTTCAACATCCCTGTTGGCAGGCAAGATCAGCCAGCGCTCTCATAAGCTAGGTGGATGTTGTTGAGAGACTTACCTCGGATTTACCCAACCATGTGAGTTTGCAGAGTTTTTCATGAACATCATTGGTGGGAGGTCGTCGATGTACCAAGATCCCGGAATTTCGACCAGACCAGTCTCCTTACCCTTGACCAAAGGCTTCATCCATTCCTCCGCCTTTTTGCTATAATCGATCTTGGTCCAGCTGTCCCCAGTCCTCAACCAATATGCTTGGCAGTCATGGTGTGACATAGAGTGATCATACTCGATGCCGTAGCTCAGCATCAACTCAGTCCCTTCTTCGCTCGTCTCCCACCATGGGGCAACGCTGCCCTTAGGCGGCTTGCCGCAAAACTCCGTCAGCATCTTCCACGTCTTGTCCAGAACGTCGCGCTGCTGCTCTAGTGTCATGTCGACAGGATTCTCGTGGCTGTACCCGTGCAGGCCGATCTCGTGGCCTGCATCGCGCACCATGGCACATTCTTCTGGAAAAGTCTCCAGTGAGTGGCCTGGAATGAACCAAGACGCTTTGATGTTGTACTTTTCGAATAGCTTCAAAAGTCGCCGTGTGCCGATGGTTCCAGCCCATAGACCTATTCAGAATTCCCAAGGTCAGCGGTGTGGTCAATGGCCTTCTGTGAGTGCAACTTACCTCGACTGATGTCACTAGTACTGTCTTCACCACCATATGACCCGAGCCAGCCGGCGACGGCGTCGATATCCACACCGTAGCTGTGGTAACGACCAGTTTAGTACGCATGCATACGTGACAACACCATCGTGTCTTGTGCGAGGAGCCAATTACCAGACGAGGACCTTCTTCTTTCCCATTGTTGCTGATAGAATTAATTGTCTTGTTGTATATCTGAATAAGTGGAAGTGATAAGTTTGTCTCTGTGTATTACCAAAACCCTCTGTGCTTGAAGGTCGACTTTATGCTGAACTATTTCAGTCAGTATCACCCCAGCCGTCCATAAAGCACCACTTGTCATTACTTTGATATCCTGACCAACTCGAAGTCACCAAAGCTCAAGCTGTCGGAAGCTTCCCCGTTGGCAGAAGGCGTCCCCACAATAACTTGCCAGTTTCCCGTCGTTTCAACTGCATCTACGCTTATCTGCACGGCATGGTCCAAACTCCCCATTCCTGTTCCCCCTTGTTGAGCCTGCAGTCTCTAGACTTACGAATGCCTCAACTAGCTCATCCCTTAATTGGACACTTTCCCGGGTTTCACTGCTTTGGAATCGATAGTGGTTGGTTATCCCACTTCTGCATTGTCGTTGTCCTACTGATCGACCCCGCCCCCCCCCCACCTCCACCCTTGGCTTCCCCATTTTCCACTTTTGAATGTTCCCATTCCTCAGACTCAAGCAATTCTCTGTATCTCGCAGCAAAGATAGGAGAGAGATGGCTATCTGCTTCGGATAGCCCCGCTTAGTCCAGGAAGCTAACTTCTGGGCCTTGAGATTGCAGGCATGGTTCGACGCATGTTGAGTGAAAGTTGGCGTTGTTCCGGTGCATCAGTTTTGAAGCGTAGGATGGGGTTCGATGACCCTTGCAAGCGTCTACGTACCTGCACCGATGCTATGCGCCAGAATGGGGGATGGATTTGCGATCGGGCTGAACACTCGGCAAGTTAGCAGTGCAGTCACTGCAGTGGCAGTTGTGGAACGGGAATAACCGCCATCTTAAGTAAATTCGCCGATAGTGTCACCAGAACGAGACTGAAATCATCATCATTCCGAGTACGTTGCAAATTTAGTTGTCAATACCAGAGGCAATCACACTTCACGCCTAGACCCCCATCTCGCCGTTAGAACCATCGTTGATCCTTCAGCCAACGTCGTTTCCGTGCGACTACGAAGTGCCTTCTTTGCTTGTCGAAGTCTGTATGAGACGTGAAGTCATCCGATAATAAAGTACAATGTCCAAGGTATGCCACATTACCAGTGCCATCTCAAGTTAAACGATATTAATGGGCAAAGTTTTCTCTCAAAGGCCGTGTTGCCGTAGTCACTGGCGGAGGCCGAGGTTGTGGGTTGGCATTCGCACAAGGTCTCGCCGAGGCCGGGGCAGACGTTGCAATTTTTGACCTGATAGACCCGGAGCCATCTGCATTTGAGCAGCTATCTTCTGCAAACGGAGTGAAAGCGAGAGCATATGTCGTTGACGTAATGTCTCTCCCCAGCTTGGAGAAGGCGTTTGCTGCCGTGGCAGCTGACTTTGATGGCAAGCTTGACATCTTTGTAGCTTGCGCCGGTGTGAACAAGAACGTTCAGTTCCTCGACACCGAAGAGGCAGACTTTGACAGGCTCTATGGTGTCAACTGCAAGGGACTCTACTTCTCGGCAAAGATGGCTGCTAAAGCCATGATCGCCAATGGCACCAAATGCGGAAGCATAATCTTCGTTGCGAGTATCGCATCGTACATTGCCATTCGCTCCCAACGATCTACGGCGTATTGCGGTACAAAGGGCGCCGTTCGAGCAATGGTCGCTCCGATAGCTGCCGAGCTCAACAAGTATGGAATTCGGGTCAACTCCATCTCGCCTGGCTATGTGCGGACGGAAATGACGGCTCCCTTCCCTGATCTTCTCGAGGGGTGGAAGGATGAGATCATGAACGGCAGAGTAGCAGAGCCTGATGATATCAAGGGAGCCTGCGTTTTCTTGGCGAGTGATGCCAGCAAGTGAGTTCAATTTCTGGTGGACATTCGGGCCCGACTCGAGTTGCTAACCTTCGAACAGATACTGCCAGGGAAGCGATATCTTGGTTGATGGCGGAGTGACCAAATGGTAGCTAGATTTTCCGTCGCATAATCAGAACATGGAGAAAAATTTCTCATTCTACGATTTCAAATGATTTACTTGGACAGCACAGCGCATTGGCGGCAAGTGGTCTTTCCATTTTGAATGCGACCTCCTGATACATGCTTGTACACATGATGCGGAATTGCAACGTGTTGGAGTCGCTCATAATGCCAAGTTAAGGGCGGATGTAGTGTTTGAATATGTATTGCCTCTTCGAGATGTCTTGAATGCAGTTCAATCAGTGCAGCTGCATGCTTATCTTTCGCAGCGTCACATGCCGTTCGCATACATGTCATCTCTGTAAGTGTCATGACGTCTGTATCTGACTCATCAATACAACGAATCATCGTACTTAGTTTACAAATATTTGTTATCTTCACCTCTAAACCCTCCTCAAGCCGCCATTTATCATTGATATTCAGGTTTCTAGACTTGACCGCAACTTCGAGAATATGGGCCTTTTTGCCGACCTATTGGCGATTCTCGCCAAAGAATCGTTCAAACTCCCACTAGTTGCTCCATTGGCTACGCTTTGCACCTACTTCTTCTTTAACGTCTTCCTCCACCCACTCCGCAAAGTCCCGGGTCCTTGGAAAGCGACATTATCACCATTATGGCTGTGGTACCACTCATATGCAGGGGATGAAACGACCTCGGTCGAAGCTCTGCACAAGATTTACGGCCCAGTCGTCCGGATTGGCCCCAACGACATTGATATTAGCGACGGCGCGGCTCTTGCGCCCATTTACTCCGAGAAGGGCGGATTTCTGAAAACACCATGCTACAGCAATTTCGACTTTGACGGCCACCCGACAATATTTTCGGCTCTAGATCCTGCACACAGGGCTGTCAGATCAAAAGCTGTAGTCAGCATGTTCAGTCCAGCCTCCATACGAAAGGAAGGCGATCAGATACTGAGATCCTGTGTCGATAGGCTGATGGAACACATCAGACAGGAAGCAGCATCAGGCAAGCCCGTCAATATGCTGAATATGGGTAGATGCCTAGCCCTTGATGCAGTAACGGAGTATCTCCTCGGCAAGACATATGGAGGAATTTCTGAGCTTGAAGCCAGCAGGAGCGCCAACGACTCCAGCAAGCTGTCGGCCAGCGAGTTCGTAGACACTTTTGTAGCAGTCGGGCGGTTCTTCTTGCTTCCAAATTGGATCTTCCACGCCTTCGAGTGGGCTCTCCCAAAGCTGTTCCCGGATCAGAAAGTTGATGAGTCAATGGATCTCGTCACAAGTTTCTGTAACCAGGTGGTTGCTGAGGCCGATCCTGAGAAGGATCAAACATATCAGGCTCGGTTACTACGAGCTGGCATCAGCAAAGCAGAAGCTGCTATTCAGTGCATGGATCTGATGTTTGCCGGCACAGATAGCACTGGTATGAACTTTGGTGCCATCTGTTGGCATTTAGCACAATCACCCTCGACATATCAAAAGCTCAAAGAAGAGCTTGCATCACCAGAGACAGCGCAAGCTGATCCGCAGACACTTCCCTACCTGCGTGGAGTAGTGCGTGAGGGACTCCGAATGTCCATGGCAAATCCTACACGTCTCCCACGTGTTGTACCGCCCACCGGATTTTCATTTGCAACCAAGATGCCATCCGGAGAGACCAAGAATTTTGAGTTCCCGGGCGGAACTTGGATTGGATGTGCACCTTTCAGCTTGCATTTCAACGACGCTGTCTTCCCAAACCCGCAAGAATTCCAGCCGGAGCGGTGGCTTGACCCTAGCGAGGAAATGTTACGCGACGCTATTCCCTTTGGACTTGGACCACGGCAGTGTATTGCTCGTAACCTTGCTTCGAGTGAGCTCTTTTGGGCGGTCAGGGCCCTGGGTACTTCTGGAGTGCTGGACGGTGCCAAGCCGACGGGGTTAATGAAGGATGGGATCATTGTGGATGAGTGGTTCAATTCCAAAGTTCCCGGGCATGCTATTGAGCTAATCTGGGAATCGCCGTAATATATACTGGTATGAGCGAAGTCATCATTGCAAGTGTTAAACTTAGCCGAACGCAAATCGAGTTTCTATCGCTTCCCTAACTGGTCTGGCACTGAGCGGCCTGTAGCTAGGTTCAGAATACTTACTCCACAGCCATACCCCCTTTGACGCAAGGCGTCGTGCTAATCGGCCGCAGGACCCTTAGTCGGACTTTAAGACGGAAACAAGATCGGAACAATTGACCGCCAAATTTCGGCATTGAGCCAGTGATGATGTGCGGTAATCTCACTGTGTAGAGCGAGGCGAGGATGCTTTGACCACATCAGCGAGACCAGAGACGAACCGGCGAATGTTCCAACAAATACCGGCGAGTCGTCTAGGTTGGCCCGAGCCGCGGAGCCGGATCCGCGCCGGTCTTGCGCCTTGACACGGACATACGGACGAAAGCGGACGAAACTCGGACAAAAAAGCGGGCGAAAATGGGACCATGATGTTGTCACTCTGCAAAGCTGGATCCTCTCTGAGTTGATCCCCACAGCTAGAGAAGCCGTTAAAAAAGCTCAGTGCCAAGTTGATCACGGAGAGGAACTCGACGCCCTTTACTCCCTAACGCATGGAACAAACGCCTTGTCTTCCGCCCAGAAAATCACACAGCCTAGAAACCATATTAGTCGTCTTCACCACTTTCAGAACCCGCGCCCTCCATGCCTCGCAGGTGGACCTTGACTGGCCAAAGCGGCTTTGAGACGAGCCTCAAGTACAAGGAACACGTGCCGAAGAACGAAAAGCTGGGACCTAACGAGGTTTTGGTGGAGCTCCACGGTGCCAGCTTGAACTATCGCGAACTCGCAATTGCGGATACAGAGGTAAGTTTCACATTAGTCCAGACGCTCACAGTCTAACAAACGTAAAGGGTACAGCCGCAACCGCCGGCGTCATTCGACAGCACGTTGTGCCTGGCTCTGATGGTGCTGGCATTGTCAAGGCGATTGGCAGTTCTGTGACGACTTTCAAGACTGGTGACCATGTCGTCACGCATCTAGCCCCTGGACACGCCGAGCGTTGTGGTGATGATGAGTTGCCGGTTTACCAAGATATTGTAGAGGGTCTTGGCCAGACAGTTGACGGGACTCTACAATCGGAGGGCATCTTTACGGAATCTGGGCTAGTCTCTATCCCTCAATCTCTCAGCTGGCCGGAAGCTGCGACCTTAACCTGCAGTGGTCTGACAGCTTGGAACTCCCTTTTCGGCCTTAAAGGTAGACAACCCCGTTCCGGTACGTGGGTCCTTGTCCAAGGGACAGGCGGTGTGAGCATTGCCGCACTTCAAATGGCGGTAGCTGCTGGGGCCACCGTCGTCGCCACGACTTCATCCGTGGAAAAGGAGGAGAGACTAAGGGCACTCGGTGCGAGCCACACGATCAGCTACCGAGAGAACCCCGATGACTGGGGTGTCAAGACTAGGGGATTCACTCTGAATCAGGCTGGCTTCGACATTGTTGTAGATGTCGCTGGCAACGATTCTCTCTCTCAGTCACTCACTGCGGTGAAATCAAACGGAGTGGTTGTCTCTGCGGGCTTAGTTGGAGGCAAGGCTGAAGTTGTGCCCATGCTAGCTGCTCTCATGCGTCCATGCATTGTCAGGGGTGTGATTTTGGGCAGTCGGGCTCAATTCCGTGATATGGTTCGCTTCATCGAAGAGCACAACGTCAAGCCGATCGTCGACGACAAGACATTCGAGCTCGCAGAGGCAAAGGCTGCCTATGCGCGATTGGAGGAGAAAAAGCACTTCTCGAAGATTGTCATCAAGATTGACCACTGATATGTGCGCTGGCCGAGCTCTAAATAAATAGCCGCGATCGAGCTTTAGTTCTTGTTTATCACACAAGATTCTCAAAGCTACCAATTAAACCCGGATACCAATTTCAGATTATCCCTCCCTAAGGCCGGTCTTTGCTGCTTGAAAGTTTTACTGGGGTTGTTGTTGTTGTTGTCACTGCTGACATTGCATTGGACAAGAACTCAACTTGGCAGGAATATCACTCCGACCTGCCAAGCTGTCATCAGGTATGCGACGGCGATTTTCGCTTCCGCATCAATGGTAGTCGTCTCAATAGATATGTGTAAGACACATAAGACTTCTGCGGTCTTCGTTCCGACCAGGGCTGTTTCGTGTGCGACGTGACAACAGCACTAAGATACCTACCACGTTTGGTGCAACCGTCGGCGGCTTTGTCGGGACTTCGGTGTAACCTAATAGACCAATGGTAAACGGCAGGAAGTCGGTATTCGCCATATTCAGTAGAGGTGACCGGGTACGTGGAGCCTGCGGCGATGGTCCCAGCAACTGGGATCGCCCGGCTCTCCCTCGGAAAGTCGCCGTCTCGACATGCCGGGAGAAAGTATGCATTCCATCCGAACACGCTCATGAAATCCCGCGAATGTGCTACTTGGAAATCACGCCTCTGTGATATATGTATCTTAGTTCTGTTGATCAGGCCAGACCTTGATGAGGGCATTCCCCAATTTTTGGGGGCTGATGGCCAGACTGGCAAAGGCTCTCCCCTGAGCGACAGAAAAGCTACATGTCGATGCAATGGAATGACTTGGAAAGGTATAACGACTGAGTTTGAAGCCTTCAGCAGTTTTCCAACTCAGACACGTGGCCCAGGGCATTAAAACTCCTCAGCATTCGGAAAAGCTTGCAGATAAACTTCGTGGCATGCAGAAAGCGCACCCTGCGCCCCGTGTCTATGTCGAGAAACTGTTGTGACCTTTATACTTTAAGCCTTGCTTTCAAATCTTATCGTCATCTTTCAGGTCTTTTATCTCCTGTCCTTCTCCCCCGTTTCAACGCCGGCTACATTCGAGAATTGTACTGCAAGAAGGTCCAGTCAGTCTCTACTTTTGTCAACATATCTCCTCACGCAGCAAAGATGGATAATATGGAGAACATGAAGCTTGAGGATCCGGAAGCGGCCCATCATTTCATGTTGAAGCATCCGCTCGACATAGTACGGGACTGGTTTTCCGGGATCCGGTCCGGCGAATCGCATTGCCGCTTACTCCGAGGCAACGAAGATGGCTCATCGACGGACCTTCCGATCAAAGAATCAAGGAGATCGCCTTTCTCGAGACTTTCAACCACTTGGCGCCCTATAAGACCAAAGCCCCTTTTCTGGTTGCTGATACCATCATACATCGCTCGCATTTTGGCCATGCCACAGCAAACTCGACCATCCCAGCCCCGAACAAAACATCGTACTTGAATGGCCTTCGCGGCATCGCATCACTCATCGTTGCCCTTCAGCATACGATAGACGGAAATGTAAGCATCAAGAGAGCTTTTCTCTCACGCAGAGTTCTTCAAAGCCAAGCACAGGCAATTTTCTATCCTTGAGGATATGAAGCTTTTATGTGATCAATCTGACTGACACCGATACTATACAGTACCCGCTTATCCATCGCGCATGGGGCGATGGCGAAGAAAGTGTCTACGTAGTCCAGCTCCCATTCATTCGCCTCATACATAGCGGAGTATTTATGGTGTCGATCTTTTTCGTTATCAGTGGATTTGCTCTTGCATACGGGCCCCTAAGCAAGTCTTACGCACTACAGACCGTTCAAGGCGCACAAGGAGCCAACCGCATCAGCTCTTTTCCATCTAGCATATTCCGACGTCCGTTCCGGCTCTTTCTCCCGACCATACCTATCATCGCGGTCTCGACCGCCTTGGTTCCCTTCGGCGCATTTTACGCCCTCAATAGCACCGAAGCTATGGAACCTGTCGCCGTCGGATTCTGGGGCCACGTATACTACGTTTGGACAACACTGATAACCATCATCACCTCTGGCTCGGCCAACACTGTTATGCCTCAGGGCTGGCTGGACCTTGGCAGCGGACTATGAAGGATCGTTGCTAGTGTTCCTAGCCTGTATGGCCTTCATTAATTAGAATGACGCCTATGGTGCGATTGCCAGCCACCTTCCTACTGCTCATCTACTCCTTCAACCTTCAGAGAATGGCGAACTGTCTGTTCATCTCAGACATGTTCATTGCAGATTTCCGATACTTCCGGGCAAATCTCCCAGAGTTACCAAGAATGGTACGTTTGATCGTCACCGTCACATCGTGGCTGGAGGCAGACCATCTAGTCTACTGCCGAAAGACCCTACTGAGGAGGCAACAGTGGCCCACCCTCTACCCCTACAGCCGCCAGGAGCCCGTAGGACCTATAGGGTCCCTCGATCGCTACTTCAAGGGGCTAATCACTGACTCTGAAGGCTTCCAGGCCTTCCTCTGCGTCACAGACTTCTTCCAGAAGATCTGCCCGCGGTACTAGGAGATAGGTCATAACCTATCCTCCAAACGACAAACTACCTCTATTAAGAAACCAGATGGTTATAACGGAACTAGGGCACCAGTGGGAACTAGGGATGGATAGAACACATAGTAGCTCACGAGCAAGATTTGGAGGACGTCAGGATACGGCGTGTACTATATAGTATATAGCTAGAGCCTGCGACCCTTCACGCCACATACCCTCCGGGAGGTCTGCCGCAAGGGCGGCTGCGCCCTTGCCGCCATGGCGTTAAATAGAACAACAACAACAACAAATCACATCGTGGCTGCTGCTTGTGCCCATTATCTTCTTGGGGTGCTGGCCGATGCATGGCGACGCCACTCAAGCCCCAATGCATTTGTGGTTTATTGGATTCAACACTTTCGGGTTCGGAGTGCAATCATTCTTCCAAGGCACATGTGCTGTAGCTCTGGCCCTAGTATTGGAGAACCTACCTGTCTTACAACGTGTTCTTAATACAAAGCCAGTATTGTACCTGGGAGAAGTTAGTTTCAGTTTCTATTTGGTTCATTGGGGCTGTGGTAAGAACTTCCTCAGTTATGGTCTGAAGCTTAAGATGCTGGCAGCCGGGTATAGCTTGATTGTTTCGTGGAGCACATGTTTTGTCATCGCCATGCTATCGATTATGTTGCTCGGAGATCTTCATTGGCGTCTCGTTGATCAGAAGTCAGTGCAATTCTCGCATTGACTAGCCAGGAGACTTGGGGTATCGTAGACTCAGGGAACAAGACTAGATGAGCTGCTCTTTCTTTCGTCACTATTACCATCTATGCTTGTGACTTCAAAGCTAATAGAATTGCACATTGCTAAATCATTCTTAAAAACTTATTTACATGCTCTTCTACCACTAACACTTCAAGCAACCGCAATCTGCGCTGGCTGGGCTTCCTGAGCCTTCACCTTGTTAGCAGTAGCTTGCTCCAGACCCTGTTTGTACAGTTGTGCCCTTCCGTATGACTCTGCATACGAGGCAGAGACTGCTTGCTCAACGGTGACCGGTCCAAATTTGGCTGGCTGCGTCGCCGACTTGCAAGTGGGGATGCACTCGACCAGGTAGTCTGGGTTGCCAGAGACGAAGACGGGGATGGAGTAGCGCTCCTTGCCAGACTTGTTGATGACCCTGTGAATGTTGCTCTTGTACAACTCGTTGGTCCATCTCGCCATCAGATTACCCAAGTTCACAACAAAGGCACCCTCAGTTGGTGGGACCTAAGAGTGGCTGATTAGTATCATTGGAATATGAAACTGTCAAGAGTGGTGCTCTGTAGTGGGGGGTGGAGAATTTCCACTTACGTCGATCCATGTCCCGTTCTTCTTGTCCCATACCTGCAGGCCATCGACCTCATCCTGAAGAAGCATGGTAATGGCACCGAAATCGGTGTGGGCACCAATTCCACGAGTCAACTTCTCGTCCGCGTCCTTGGGTTGCGACGGGTAGTGGAGGAGTCTCATTGTCGCCACAGCTCCATCCATGAACTTGGAAAAGTAGCTCTCCTCCAGGTCCAATGATAGTGCAATAACCTGCATCAGATCTGAGGCAAGGTTGAGCGCCGAAGAGTAGTATTCCATCGAGGAATCCCTGAAGCTCTGCAGGTCACTACCCAGACCCTCGGGCCACTGGTTCGGTCCGCTGTTGAGCTTTTTGTTGATGAAGTAAGGGTGGTCCTCAGGGATCTCAGCTCCGATGTAGAAGCCTTCCTTGAGTTCTGGTTGAGTTCCCACCTCGAGGATCTGTGACCTCAGCATCTCATAACCGCGGTTCCAAGTCGTGTTCTCCTTTGCGACCTTTTGCTTTTCTTCAAGAGGCATGGCGAAGAACTTCTTGGTGCCACCCATGGCGGCCTTCTGCTGCACTAGAGGCACAGAGTGGCCCACGATCTGGAAGAAGCCATTATACAGGCAGCTGTCGCGTACTTGGTCCACGACCTTTTGCTTTTGAAGAGGGTCCTCGGAGTAGAATCCTGCGGGTGGATAACGCTGTTAGAACTTGGCTAGCCCTTTTCAGCTGTTCAGGCAGAGGACTATTATCAGACTCACCAGAGAAGTCAATGATTGGAATCTCGAGCGCTGCCATGGTGGCTTTATGAGAAAACGTCAGACGGAAGTTAATATCGTCGTTGTAAATGCCTTGATTTGATGATACAATATGGGCTGGCCTCGAGCCTGTGAATGCTAGTTTGGCGTGTCTAGAACAAAGCCTATTTGAGTCGCAACAGATCTTTGCTGATATAGTTGAATTTGGTTCATGAGGCGTTTGAAACCCTCCTTACTCAACTCATGTAAGCTTCAAGGCCAGCCACCCCTCCCTCCTCGCGTCTCGGCCCCTCGTGCTCGGCCAAGCTGGACTTCTGGAAAGTGGGGTGCGAATGATAGCATCTGGTGTGGTCGCACTGTCTCACGGCATCGCCCGAGACTAAGTTCAACAACTAGTGATTGATACTACTCACTGATAAGTGTTGGTCACACTCCTTGCCGCGGGTGGTGTTCCGTTCTCGGCCTCGATATTTCCCCCGCCGGCAAACCCACTTTCCCCTCATGCTACGGGTAGATAAGATCTGCTCCAAGATAACGCCTCCGAAGACCCAAATGAGTGCTCCTGCATATGCATACTTATGCGAAGAGTTCCTTTGCAGGATAGGAGGTAAGAGTAGCAGCATGTCGATCGCCACACGTCCCGGCCTCGTAATGCATTGCATGTAAAGATATTGGTGGTTCGATGAGAGCTGTACGACCAGGGGAAGTCTAGCCAATCGCAACCGTCATCTTCTACACAGCGGATGCTTCGAACCCCACTCTTGGTGTAAGTCTTTCTGGAGTCATGTGGCGAGTGAACATCAGATCAGGATCCAATATGGACCTGTGGCTACCGGGCTGGAGATTCTCTCCCAAATAATGTCCCGAGGGATAGAGGCCATGATATGGCTTTACGTGGTGCAGCGATAACATCTGAAAGACTGTTAGACCTACCCAAACATCGGTGCTCTCCCTGCCATACCCTGATCATCAGCGCTGCATCACAAGCAAGTTACGGTTCACCAAAGCAGCCACATGTGCAGGGGATAGAAGTGTGGTCTTAAAGAGGGAGATTGCAATTTGGTGTGAAGCAATAGAAAACAAGATACAGGAAACTCATCAGGCTAAACCAACGCTGAAAGTTCCATATGCCATCATACATCGTATTCCGTACAACCAGCGCTGTCCCGAAAATGCCAACAACATGATCCAATAGAGCCGACGGCTCACCAGGCTAGTTCCTCACGACCACCACAATTGGCTTTCTCTAGTTCTGAGCAGAAAGCTTCATCTTCGTTTAATTTCCCCGTGCCCATCTCCCCGAGTAGATTTGGCGTGGCTGGCCAGATTTCTCTGCCTCCTTGCGCCAGTTCCCTTCGCCGATGTTTCATCACCTCTTCTCGAACGGTGTTTTGGAAATGAATCGGGCCCTGGACAGATGTATCAGCATCACACTGTAGTTGCTAAGAGGCTGCAAGAATGCATTGGCTTACCCTTTCCTTCTCTGGGTGTAGTTCGCCGCTTATGAACACGCCAGCACTGAGGTTTTCCTGTGCCCCGATGCACAAATCTCGGTCTTCCTCTAGCACTTGCTTGTAGAATGCATTGATGGCAGCGAACTCGGCATCAGTGGAATTGTGAGATCGATACACTTCATTCTCGATTCGGGTTTTGGTCGCATTGATTGGAATCATTCGCTGGATGTAAAAGAAGTTCTGACTACAGGCTGTGTTAGTTTCTGCTTTTTTGCAACTGCCACAGGTAGACTCTTGCCATGGGATCCCTTACGTGATTGTGACCGAAGTTGAGGGATAGAAGAATGTGATCGAGCGCCGGAACTCGTCTTCTTCGTCTTGAGCCTTCTTGTTGATGATCTCGTGCTCCAAGCAACCCCCGCTCGGCTTCACTTGATATTTCGTCAAGTCCGATACTCCCGCAATCAAGGGGTGCGATGTTGGGCAATGGTAGCACTCATTGTAGTTCTCAATAACCGCCTTCCAATTGGCCTCCAGCTCCATGTCCCAGACGTGGTCATACTTGTAACCTCCCGCGAAGTCAAAGTTCTGCATCCTTGGCTTCTGGTACACGCCGCCAAACTCGTCTTCCCACTTGACGTCCGGTTCGCCTGCTTGGAGGTTAACCCAGATGAAGCCGGCAGGATCCACTCGAACATGGATCGGAAGGAGGCCATTCTGGCTCTTATCGAAGCCGGTTACCGTATCGAATCTCGGCGCTTTAGCAAGATTGCCTTTGAACCCATACGACCACCCGTGGTATTTGCAGCTCAGGATGCTCGCTTTGCCAGACTTCTTCTCGACGACAGGGTATGCGCGGTGTCGGCACACATTGTGGAAGCCGTTGATGTTGCCGTCGCGGTCTTGGACGAGGAAGAATGGGAAGTCAGCATAGACGAACGAGACGAATTCGCCTGCTTGCTTGAATCGTAGCGAATGTGTCACCAGGATCCACTTTCTCGAGATAATTGCCCTTCTCTCGAGCTGATGCAGTTCCGGGGACCTGTACCACGAAGCTGGAAGACTTCGTGAGGATTCTGACTTGGCGTCGCTAGTTGCCGAAGAGAGTCCAAGGAAGCGTAACATGTCGTTGGGTCAGAGATGCAACAAATTGTGGATACCGAGTATAAAAAACGCAAAGAAATGTTGCGCTGAAGTCTTTGATTGGGATCACAGTCTGAAAACTATGGGTACTGCATCTCTAAACCTGTTTACCCTCGCGCCTTCATGTCTGATGGCCTCTGCTACTTTAAGACCGCAATTCGGAGGTATGACTCTAGGCCAAGAATTAGTCTAATCCGCATTTATCAGAGGTGGGGAAGATGCTTTCCTGAATTGCTTGATAATGCTGTTGAGAATGGGGGTGGGGTTGGTGGCTATTAGGCTGAGGGGGGCCGGACACGAGCATCCTGGTGTTGATAAGAGGCCTAAAAATCCGATAGAGGCAAGTCGGAGCAGGTCGGACACCGGAAGTCATTTGCGAGGACCAACCGAACGCGCGGAGTACCGTCAATATAGCAGATAGAGATAGTCTCTTTTTACCTATTCCAGTCCAAAATGGTGAGTTGACACATATGGTAAGTAACGGAGAAATCATATTGGTCGCCGGCACGAGCTTGGAAAGAGGAGAAGCCGTGTCTAAGCGAAGATGGTGATTTGAAGTACGCAAGACAGGTGACCTCGACCATGGCCGGATTGGAGTTCTACGATCACCCCTAAGCTATGAATGCTACATCGTTACTAATACTAACAAAGACTTCTATTGCATCCAGCTGTAGAAACTATGATAAACGGGGGTGGCTACATGTAAGTACCGAAGTATGCACTTCTAAACGGTCCATCTAAGTCGTGAGAACAAGATTATAGATGTAAAATTCAGGTGACACAGGACTGTAGACTGATGATTTAGGAAAAACACTTTGTGCGTCGCACTTGGTTGAAGACTTATACAACATAAAGCCTTCCTTGAACCCGTGCAAAAATCACGGTAAGCTTCAGTGCTCATCTACTGTACAGAGATCTAGGATAAGGTGATGGTCGTAGAATCGAAAGAGCCACCGACTCCATGTTCACGAACAACTTCCCTCTCGCCTAATTTTTCTTGGCATCTACTGTTAGTGTAATAAGTGGGCTACCACCAATATCCTTAACAGCTGAAAACCCTTCACCTCTCCTCCGGCGCCCTCCCGCGATGGCCTCGCAGCCTCCGGCGGGCTCTGGACCGTTGCCGGCCTCCTCGGCCGGCCCTGATCGAGGCTCTAGACCCTCTTCAGAGCCGCCCCCATCCTCAAGGGCTAAACGCCGCCGCGAAACCGAGGCCCAGCCACTCCGGCCCAGCCTCGTAGGAAGCCAGCCCGACGCCCCAACAACAACCCCCTTAACGGCTAAGGGGCCCTCGACTATGACTGGGACAGCTACTAGAGCTGTCCTTACAGCTCTTAATGAAGAGGCTAAGCACTATGAAGCCCGAAAGGACGTCTTTATGGCTATTGCTCAGTCTGTGGACAACGTGATCTCTTGCTTTGAGGGGCCTAGGAAGCAGATTGCAAAAGAAGCTACAACCTATGTAATCCAAGCCTTGAAGAGGATTATGGGTAACGAGACTACGGCTCCGGCTCCGAGCCGGAAATGGACTGACGTAGTAGCCTCGGCTTCAACTACAGCCGTGGCCGTAGCCCCGACTCGTACCCGAATCCCCACCCGGCCCGAAGTCCAGACACAGAGTCTGACGGAGACCCGGGCCCAGGCTCTATCCCAACCGAAGGAGGACCTCCGGGTCTTTACCCGTATCCCAGAAGAGGGCCTAGCGGCTGCTAGGAAGCACGCCCCCTTCGCCCTACGCCGGACAGTCTGCCAGGCCCTTAGGCTCCAGCTGGCAGATATCCCACACATCTACCATATTGCAACTGGCTACTCACTGAGACCCCTGAATAAGCAGGTCCAGCAAGCCCTCCTTGCAAACAAACAGAAACTAGCAGAGTGTCTTGGAGCCTATAAGGTTGAGACCCCTACTAAGTGGTTTACCTACGTCGTCCCACGTTGCCCTGCTAAGATGTGGACTCTTGATGGCGACGCCCTTGACCCAGCTACTCTGGTAGAAGATGAGGTCCTTGCCCAAACAGGACGTAAGCCTACCCGGGCCCAGCAGTCCCGGCTAGGTGTAAACCCTATTATAAACGAAGTCTCCTGGGTCATCTCCTTCTCTGTGGAAGTACCACCCTTCAGACTGTTTAACCAAAGCAGCAGGTCTCAGCTTATCCAAAAGAAGAAGACCCTAATCAGACATGATCCTGGATGCCAGGGATATCATTCGAACCGATACTGTCACCGACAGCCACTCTGTAGCAACTGTAGCAGGCCCTCGGGATCCCACGAGACTGGGCCCTGCATAGCTAGACCGAAGTGCGCCAACTGCTCCGACCCCTTCCAAGCTAACCATAAGGACTGGCCAGCAAGGCCCCTAGTGGTTAATGGCTCCCCTACCCTCCCAGACCGGAAGGAACTCTCCCGGATCCGTAAGGCTGGTCAGAAGGCCTATGAGGCCCTCTATCAGAGCAGCCAGGCTGGCACCCAAGCCAGCAACACCCAGCAACCTAGCAACAGCCTAACGAGCCATCAGCCCGGCTCAAAGCGCCCACGCGCCCCTACCCCTACCCAGGACTCAATTGTTGTAGCGGACGTTAGTGATGCGGCTAGCTGTAGCAGCATGGATGAAGATGAGAATGGGGCTGAAGCAGAAGGGCTGCAAGCCCCTGACGACCCAGTCCTACCCCCCCTACCCAGCCAACCTACCCTAGCTACCTCAAGCAGCAGGGCTCAGCGGGTGACGCAGAAGCCTGATTACAACGTTATTAATGCCTACACCCACCTCGACCTCGACTCAGAGCAGTAGGCTCAGGCCAGCCTCCCCACGGGTACTACGAGTCGCCCAGTGTAACGTGGGGAAGAGAATCCCAGCTCATACAGCTCTCCTAGAGCTCTGCTGGGCGGATCAGATCGATATAGTACTGATCCAGGAGCCCTGGATAGGCTATAGAGATAAGATGCAAATCAACACACACCCAGGCTATAACTCCTATATCCCAGTTGACTTCTGGAACAACAGAGATACAAGACCTAGGATTATGACCTATATACGCAAGAGTCTAAGACTACAAATACAGCAACAAAGGCCTACCCAAACGAGAGATATCTTATGGGTTAAGGCTGGCAACTTCACTATTACCAACGTATATAGGCCGCCAGGTGAGCCGACAAACCACACGACTACTGCTCTCCTAGGATACTATCCGCCAGAAAGAGCCCTTATAGCAGGGGACTTTAACGCCCGCCACCCTACCTGGGAACCAGGCTCCCCTAGCCGGAATCGGGGGGACGATATTGCAGAGTGGGCTGAAGGCTACGATCTTTCGTTTATTGGGGAGGTTGGGGTCCCTACCCATACTCATAGGCATACCCTCGACCTAATATTCTCAAATATCCCCTTTGCTGAGGCTTATATTAGCCCACACCTGCACCCAGGGGCTGACCACCAAGCTATCACAACAACTATCCCTATAGGCAAGGCCCAGGAACAGAAACGCCAGACTGGCCACCTCTCAGTCCCAGAGTCAGCCCTACCCCGACTTATCGACCTAGTAAGAGCTGGATCCTCAGCCTTACCTACCCTAGGGGAAGTACCTAGTCCAGCAGAGCTGGACACTCTAGCTACCCAACTAGTCAGCCTCTTCTATACAGCTATTCAAGCTGTAGGTAAGAGACGGACAAATCAGGGTAGGGGAGCCCCCTGGTGGACAGAAGAGTGTACAGAAGCCCACCGAGCTGCTATCGAGGCTAGGCGCCAGCAGGCCCAGGAACCTGGGCTAGTTATACCTCCCCCCATCCTAGAGGAGCAAAAGATCTTCTTAACAACTGTTAGAAGGGCAAAACGCGCTTACTGGACTACTAAGATCGAAGGGGCTAAGACAGACCAAGACCTATATAAGATAGTAGGCTGGCGGAAGTCTAGCTTAGCTGTTAAAGGCCCGCCCCTTATAGTAGAAGGTCAGATATTCGACAACAGCTACGATAAAGCACAGGCCCTACGAAAGGCCTTACTAGAGAGATTCAAGGCTACAGACGACTTACCTGGGGATCCTTTTACTATCCCAGTAGTTGCACAGCGTCTAGTGCCCTGGCAGGATGTGGTTAGCATGGAAGAAGTACGCCATGCTACTCTGACAAAGACTACAACCCCTGGGATTGACGGGATTACTACAAAGTTACTACAACACACCTGGGAATCAGTAGCTAGGCCTATACAGCAGCTCTTCCAGGCCTGTATTCAAGTAGGCCACTTCCCTCGACCGTTCCGCAAAGCAGAAGTTGTCATGATCCAGAAGCCAGGGAAAACAGACTTCTCGAAGACTGGGTCTTGGCGTCCGATATCCCTTTTATCCTGCTTGGGTAAAGGCCTAGAGCGGCTAATAGCAAAAAGGATGACCTACCTTACTATCCTAGATGGGGTTGCTAGCCCGCAGCAGGTTGGAGCACTACCAGGCAGGGCTGCAGTCGACCTAACAGCCTGTCTGACCCACGAGATCGAGAGGGCTCTAGACTCAGGGCTCACTGCAACTCTTGTGACAATGGACGTTAAAGGGGCTTTTGACTCTGTCCTAAGAAACCGACTTGTTATCAGGCTACGACAACAGGGTTGGCCTAGTCATCTGATTAGGCTGATCTTCACCTTTACCTCTAGCCGAGCAGCCCGGGTCAGGCTAGAGGATACAACTACAGAGGATTTCCCTCTATCCTGTGGGCTACCACAAGGCTCTCCACTATCTCCTATTCTCTTTCTATTATATATAGCTGATATCCTAGTCGACTATCAGAAGCTACGGTTCGGCTATGCGGATGATACGCCAGGAGCCCGTAGGACCTATAGGGTCCCTCGATCGCTACTTCAAGGGGCTAATCACTGACTCTGAAGGCTTCCAGGCCTTCCTCTGCGTGACAGACTTCTTCCAGAAGATCTGCCCGCGGTACTAGGAGATAGGTCATAACCTATCCTCCAAACGACAAACTACCTCTATTAAGAAACCAGATGGTTATAACGGAACTAGGGCACCAGTGGGAACTAGGGATGGATAGAACACATAGTAGCTCACGAGCAAGATTTGGAGGACGTCAGGATACGGCGTGTACTATATAGTATATAGCTAGAGCCTGCGACCCTTCACGCCACATACCCTCCGGGAGGTCTGCCGCAAGGGCGGCTGCGCCCTTGCCGCCATGGCGTTAAATAGAACAACAACAACAATGGGCGGCCAGTTCGACGAGGGGGGTGGCAATCCCTTACGTGGAACTTTCTCTTAGAAGTAGTAGTTGTTAATAGCTTCTTTCTCCAGCTCTGGGGCGAGCCGGAATGGGCTCGGGCCAACTCTCAGTACGAATGGCGAAGGACCCTTTCCACCCAGCTAATTCAGCGCTTTGGGCCATTAGTTCATGGGAGGCAACGGGCCCGGCCCCAGAGGGCCACTGATACAAGAGAGAATTCCATTCCATGGCAACAACATACGAGGGTATCACGGAAGCCCTCTGCTTGCTTGTCTTGTAACAACAGACGAATTGCATTAGGCGAAGTCACACGGAACTTGCGAAGAGATAGGAGAAAGAAGACGAGGTCAGGATGCAAGCAGTGTGGGGTTGCGATTTGTAACTCTGATGATTGCTGGTACCTCTATCACACTCAAAATATATAGGCAACCGAAGTACCTTTCAAATAGGGCCATTGATTGGTCGAGAAAACTCTTGGCTGCCCCTGAGTGGTCAGGATCCCTTCTGTGAATGTATCTGTAGCCCAACAGCACTCGATGGGATAGATATGACCCTCATACGGATCTTCCACTGAGAGGAATCAGGCCACTTTCTACTATACATGTCTTCCACTTGCTTCCTTGCTTTGTGATAAATTTCGTTTGTATTACCAACACTCGGCGAGATCTGGACATCCAAGAAGTGGTATGTCCGCATAATTCCGAAAATCCGTGACTCCTCTGGCCCGAACCCTAGCGTCAGTGTTGGTATACACGTCAGCAGGGCAACCGTACGGTTGGAACGAAGTGTCAATAATGGTCTATTATTGCTGCGTCTGGAGGTGGAAGGAGGAGATTGTGGGCAGAGCCCATGATCTCCCAGAAGTGGTATATAAGTGAAAGGGCCGTTTGTAAGTGCCCATACCGCCTTCCGGATCCATCTTTTCTGCCGACTGCTCAGAGATCCAACACTTACCCACCCTTACGATTGACAGACATAGCTTCCCTGAAGCCATCCCCGACTACGATTACTGTTACCAGTTCCGCAGCCTCAACTTCTGCAAACTACCCCTACGACTAGCTGGCCGTAACAGCTGGCCGTAACACCTTAACTTTATAGTTAGGTCTTCTACTAAGATGTTACGGCCAGCTAGTCGTAGGGGTAGTTTGCAGAAGTTGAGGCTGCGGAACTGGTAACAGTAATCGTAGTCGGGGATAGCTTCAGGGAAGCTATGTCTGTCAATCGTAAGGGTAGGTAAGGCTTCGGTGATCAATCGTAGTTGTTGGTTCACGGGGTCGTATACGACAAATAGTGGTAGCAATTATCACTCGTCTGTTGGTGATCCTATTGCTTGTTCTTCTTGTTTTTCTATCTTACATTGTAGGCAGGAGTCGGTCGAAGTAGGTAGTGACGGCCTGGGTGGTTGCCCCACCTTTATCCGGCCGTGATGACTAAGCCAGTTGTCCCACTTCGCCCAGGGCAGGTGCCAGCCAGCCCATGGTACCTGCCTATTACTCCTTATCAGCCTTTGCTGTTCCAACAGAGGTGAAGGGTTTTCGGTTGTTAAGGATATTGGTGGTGGCCCACCTATTGCACTAACAGTAGATGCTAAGAAAACTTAGGCGAGGGGGAAGTTCCAATTCAACAAGGGACGACAATATACTTACCTGTCTTTGCGATCGCGAGAAGGCTGTCTTCAGTTTTGGGATTCCAAGACTCGTCAAGGAGCCGCCAATCGCGATCGACCATAGCACGCCCTCGATGCAGGGAAATCGTGATACAGCGATTCTTCTATCCAGTCAACTAGATCCCACGGTAGACATTTGTCGCCGTGGTTCGTCCGTAATAAATATGACCGGAGGCGTTCCAAGAGCTTTTGGAGGAAATCGCATCCGTTAATGGCGGACTTTACCACTTGTAGTAATGGCAAGGTGATCCGCGTATCACACGCCGGGTTGACTTTTAGCTCAAGTCGAGGGCACATATCACAAGAATGAAGCTGAAGCTGAGAAGAATCCATCGCAGAATGGTGGCTTAGGTTCAGCAAAACGGTCTTAAGGATGAGAATAATCGAGATTGCTAAGTCAGGTATAAGTGCTAGTTGGATGACTTAAGGTGGACGAAGAGAAGGGAAATCGCAGACTCCTTCGACGCGACAAGACGCGAGGTGAATTCTAGGCAACAGCCTGCTGGGCTGAGGTCGAATACCGGATCATAGAATCTCCGTGCCAGCTGTACAATGTCCGAGGCAATGACCTGCCTTTCTCGCTCGTCCAGTCGAGCGACACTTTGGTTTGCGACGACGTGAAGATGTATCTACTTGGCTAAGACTTAAGCAACCCCGCTAAGCTTTTGCGATATTCTGGAAAGAAAGAGTGCCTTTCCTTCCAAACCTCAACCTCATTAATGAGATCAGTGCTCTCGAGAGCCCGGTTTTGGAATCAGAGATGCTTGAGCCAATATGATGTCTTTCAAAAGGGGCTACAAGGTTTAGCCGTGGTGATTCGCCACAGCACTGTAAGGGCAGGACGAGCGGCTTCTTTTGGTCACACCCTAGACAGCCTTGACAGCTTAGGGCACGTTGATGTATCAGGCGACCGAGACATCAAAGCCAATTTGGGATACGAAATGCGGCTAAGGTACATCCTGGCCAATGGCCTCCGACGTGAACGGTCTTGGGAATGGAATGTGAGACGAGCTAGACCACGCGGGGACTGACTATCTATGCCGTATAAGGATTTAGGAAATATGGCCAGGTGGTTCGCAATATGAGAACTGAGCTGAAAGTATCGCGATCTACTGATACATTAGGACAGGGCAGATAAGCTGCTCACTTGTAGGACCACCATTTTGTGTTTGAATGCTTGGCTGTTTGGGTGCTTAGGGCTTATTGGAGCTGGTTGTAGGTGATTCACAATCAAAGGGGTGGAGAGCAGGGCCGGTGTTGTTTCCCCCACGACCAGAGCTGTCGATGGGCACATGGCGTAGAAAAATAAATCAGGCTAAACCGTGGGAAAGATGAATGTTGCAATGGGATATCGCTACGGCGAAATACTTTTCAGTTGCAAGATCATGATTCATGAATCACCGGATTTGTTGGTTGGATTGCATGTTGAGCGACTTTGGTCGTCATCTTGTCCATTCATGCATATCTACTTTATCTACCTTGCCTTTCAAAAAATGAAAAAAGGCAAAAACAACAGGAGCCGACCAAGGGTTGGATGCCGGAGTTCAGAAATAATTTGGAACATCACGGACTAGTCAAGACTTCACGACCTTCACCCCTCGGCCATCAGGCCCGGTGTTTGTTGTTAGGATGAGAAGGCACTAAACTTCCTATGTGGCCTACGCTGGATGTTTGCTGGTGGTAGGTGCCATCTGTGGGAGAAGCAACCCCAAGCCTCCCATTTTAATATTTGTAGCCATGCCTGGCGTAATTTTTGTTACCTGTCCTATAATGCCTCAAAACTCCCGAAGAAGTACGAATCCCCTATTGGTCCACACGCCTTACTGGTTGCCCAGAGTCTTTCCGAGCTCCTCGCCGCGATCCGCCGCAGCCTTGACGGCCTTGTCGACAATCTCTTGAAAGCCAGAGGCTTCAAAGCTCTGAAGGGCAGCATGGGTGGTGCCGTTGGGGCTGGTTACATTCTTGCGAAGCTGACTGGGCTCCTCAGGGGACTCGACGAGCATCTTGCCGGCACCGAGACAGGTCTGGGTGGCCAAGCGCTTCGCCTGCTCGGGGGAGAGGCCAAGACCGACGGCGCTGGAGATGAGATGTTCGACCATGGCGAAGAAGTACGCAGGGCCGGATCCTAAGAGCCCTAGTGTTAGATTTGCCTTTTCCCCTGGCGACTCATGCGAAGTGCCTTGGGATGACTCACCTGACAAGCCAGTGACGACGTCAATCAGCTCCTCCTTGTCAACCCACTCCGTCGCCTTGCTGACGCTCGCCATAAGCGCCTCAGTCAACTTCTTTTCGTCGTCCGTCACGTCGCTACCCGCAAACAGACCAGACGCGCCCTCGCCCACCAGGGCAGGGGTGTTGGGCATGACACGCACGACGTGGGGGGACCGACCGTCGTCGAGCGCCAGCCATTTCTGGAGGGCTTCGAGGGTGATGCCGGCAGCGATGGAGACGACGACGGGTGTCTTCTCCTGACCCGAGATGGCCTTGCCGAGCTCATTGCAGACGCCCTTTGCGACCTGGGGCTTGACGGCGAGGATCGCAATGTCGGCGCCGGCAAAGGCCTCTGCGTTGGAGGTGGTCGTTTTGACGCCGAGGGTGGCCATCTTCTCGCGGTTCACGTCCCACGGCTCCGAGACGGTGACGTTTTGCTTGTCGATGCCCTTTGCGACCAGGCCTCCGATGATCGCTGCGGCCATATTGCCGCCGCCTACGGATACCCCGCGTTAGCCCCGCCATCCTGGGAGATTTTCTTGGTGTTGTGCGAAACATACCGATGAAGGCGATCTTGCTGGATTCTAACGTAGGTGCCATCTTGTAGTTTTCTTCATTCATTTGAGTTGATTTACCTTCTTGATATCTTGCGATAGAAGGAGACGAGTGGTTGACATGTGCAGTGAAGTCGAGGAAGTCGATGAGTTTGACTCGGCCCGGAAACTGTGGCGCCGCTATCGGACCCACTGTTTCCCTGAAGCGTGGCGTCTAAAAGCCGAAGCACAAAATCAATTCCCGAGCGCCGCATTGTTCTCATCTCATGACGAACCCACTGCCTCAATACTTGTTTCAGTACTTTCTTCTATTCACATGAATCAAGTACTTGAAAAATGTGTTTCTTTAAAGTTGGTGAGTAATGAGCCTGAGGTTCTAGAGTGCTGAGAGTATAGACTCTTGCCAAAAGTGCTCCTGAGTCTCGATGTGCCTTTAAGAGCCCAAGGGTGGGATAACTAGTTTGAGCTTCATCATCGCAAACCATCGAATCATCTGACGATTCTAATAATATACTGAATACGCTGCTCGAAGAGATGTAGGTCGACAGGACAAGAAATGTTATCGCACGATCTCGAGTCTTCGAGTCGCTTAATTGTCGTTTAACTGTCAAGAGGGCGTGGGGTCGTTGTAAAAACCCCTCCTGAAAGGTGCAATGATGACCTGAAAGTTGAGCTAAAATTTAGAAGGGTTGAAAAATCTTGAGGAATGTCCATATATCGTTTGTGCGCAGTTCTGTGAACCACAGTGCTACATGTAGCCTGGCCTCAGGATTCATACAAGAAAGGCGTAAGAGCTGAATTAGGCCTGACGACTATTCGAGTCTCTTCGATTTCAATGAACTTAGGCTTGTGATTTTGGAAAGGAATTCCAGAAACTTTATGGAATTCTACTGGTTTATACTGATATTGACCGCAGTCATCGTGAAGGGTCTCTATATCTACTTCCAAACACGTCAAGATTACCCCAAGAACATGGTGATGGATTTATTCTCCTGTGTCTCCAAGTGCCAGTGCGGGTGTTTCTTGCAGTTCGAGGTTGTAACACAATAGTCGACAGAACTTGAGAATGTTCAAAAACCTAGTATCCAGGACGTTTCCAGGACCCCTTGTGCCGTTCTTGATCATTTACGCCTCCAGGAACAATCCACTCCCATTCCGGAGGGCCATCGCACGAGTCGCATTGTACCGGAATGTGCTTGCATTTTAACCATTCTGCGAACCATCTCTCAATTGCATCCTCTTTACCGGTGCAACAAGGGTCGCATTGCGTGCGCTTCTGAATCTTCATCGACGTCTCGACGTCCCGATTTGATGTGAATTTGTCGCTGGATTTGAACTTGTCTTCATCGTAACAGTTTATCGGAGCCTTTACGCTGCAGCAGGCGTCGATCTCGTGACAAAATTGCAGACCTAAGACGCTGCGGTCGACATGGGTAGGTGTGATGGTACATTTCGGACACTCTTTTCGAATGTTGTGTAGTGTCTGTTCAGAGATGTGTGAGAGATCGTGTCTGGATGATACTTGTGCGGTCTGGTGTTCCAAGGCTGCTGGGGCGGCTATCACGCCGCTAAAAACAGCGAAGAGTAAACCGGCCTTCATGATGGAAGTTTGAGAAGAGATGAGACTTTTGAGATCAGGGTAAATTAAAAATTGGCAAAGTAAGATGGATGAGTCTTAGGTCTTTATGTGCGTCTATCGGCCTCTTATATAATATTGTCCTGTCGAACCTTTGTAGACATGGCGGGAAAGGTTAAGGAAGCGGCTCACTTCAGGCATCTTATTTGCGGTCATGATAAACCTTAACCGCGTAAAGGCCATCAAACATCTGCTCTCGAAGTTTCCACCCAGGCTCACACCTTGTGCTTGCGACTACCTTGATGTTTGAGAGGGAATGAGGATAGACTTTGAGCATGGCAGCCAGCCCGTGTCCATACAGGTCAGTGGACCCACGGCTCAAACCGCCACACCTACTTTTCCCCTTATTGTATCTTCAATCTAGGAGGTACTCTGGTGATTTCAAATCAACCCATCCCAAGTTGGGTTCAGACTGCTTCCAGCCTAGATGGTCACGCACGAGCTTCGAATAGGTCTTGACATCCTCGATCGGGTAGCTGAGATACTGAATTTCCTGCAAATGTGTTAGCAAACATTCTTCCATCGTCAAGCCTGGTATTTTGGTGTCTGACGAACGCCGCTACACATGAACATAATGTGCACCGTTCGACTTCCCGTCTCTAGAGAATACTGTCCGGCGCCATGATACAGACTGCCCAGCATAACAGATGCCTCGCCTCTCTTCAGTTCCGCATTTTGAACACCACTTTGGCCATCGGGGCCGAAGTCAGGCTTTCCGTCACCCCACAGATGCGATCCAGGAACGATCCGGGTCGCACCGTTTGTTTCGAAAGTGTCGCATTCCGGAACGAAAAGGCCGAGCAGCATGTCGCGGCCCTTTGTGTGGTGACTGGCCTTTATGTGCCTCGCGTGATGGTTCTTATCGTCGCGATGGAGTTTCTGGGCTTTTGCTCCTGGCTGTGAGGACATAGTGATGGAAATGGAGAGCAGAGGGTCGGACTTGTGGATTGTGGGTTCATCTCCGTACCATATTTCGGTCTCAAGCCCAATGAAGTGATCGGCAATTTCCTATTCACATGTCACTCTTAGTAGTAGGTTCAGAAACTTGATAAAGAAGAGACATACGTTAAGGGCACCTGATATAACGAGTCCGAGAAACCTTTTCACGCAGTCTTGCTTCGACCGACGAGCCTTGTACAGGTTGCAGTCCCACCGTTCAATGCCCCAACAGTGCTCCCAGACTGCGCAAGCGACGCATTGAGATATGGCTGAACTTCCTCGTGTGCGGCATCAAGGGACGCATGGTCCGTGAAGTCTTTGATAACAACGCACCCATCCTCTTCTATTGCGCCGATGAAGGCCTGCAGCCCAGCTTCTCGACAGAGGTGTTGGACCATCTCAGAGGCACTTCTGGTTGTTATTTAAGAAGCTAAGCCTTTTGTGATTGTGTTATCTGTCAACTGGGGTGGCCTTCATGAAGCAACACAGAAAGTTCAAGACTATCGATGAGTCGAGTGACGTTCTTGATGGAGAATCGCATCGGTTGAAGTTGTCTTAGCCTTCAGTTTCCCCTCGACTTGGCAGGTAGATAGGATGATCCCGGAAAAGATAACGCGACAGGCGGCGGCCGGAAATGAGGAGATCCAAGTGAAGACTGGCAACATGTTTCGCGCCACACAAACTGCCTGGTACCCCGCCGGCGCGTCAGCTCGGCATCAAGTAACCGACAACTTCGATCCTCAGAAGTGAACTAGATGGCTAAGTTGACTAGGTAGCTCCAGGCTAAACTGTCAAAATAGTCTCCGCTGCAACATCAAGTATTTCGAAGCTTCCGACATGGAACCAACCTTTGTGTAATAACTTCGGGACTTTGAGAAGCAATTTTAACGCAGACATCAGTAATCCATCCGACAAGCATGTGCATTTAAGCTTTACTAAATGCTCGTTCATGCTTGAAGAATATTACATTAATATTATTGGCTTCGCCATACCCCTTTAAAGCACTGGGACGCAGGCTTGGCATATGTGCTTTTAGCCTGTTACCGCGGCACCGGTATTCAAACTGTTGGATTCACAGGTGGAAAAGGAAAATACTCGAGTATCGTGGGTAGCAACGATCACCGACTGTAGTGGTGATATTGCTTGTTCTTGTTGTTCTTCTGTGGAAGTCTAACCAGGTGCCAGCGGCGGCAGGAAGTCTGGGGTATACCACCCTCGTGTGGCTGAGCCACACGGACCACCGTGGCTGGAACGGACCGCGGCAGCAACCTCCTGCTGCCTAATGTAGGCCTATTCCAACACAAACAAACGTGGTTCCGTACCCACTCTCACCGCCAGCTAGGACATCGACAGAAAGAGGCGCTTCATAGGGAGCTTCAGAGCTACTGAACTCTCCTTCGAGAGCGGAGAATGGAATATCCCTCCAAGTCTGCTGGACCTTCCTTGCGCTCTCCAGGAACCGCGTCTTGACGTCTGCGTAGTCAGGTACCGCCAACTTGTGGTCTTTCTTGACAAATTTCCCGTCCACCAGGCCGTGCTCGACATCGGCCACGCTACCGTGGAGAATCACAGCAGCGACGGGGTCAACCCAGCCGAGGAGGGCGGGACTCTCACCATCCCAGACCACGACGTCGGCTTTGGCGTCCTCGATTATGACGCCCAGATCAGGGCGGCGGAGGGCAAGTCCGCCGTTTCTCGTGGCGAGAAGGAAGGCTTGGTTCACGGTCATGGGCGTGCTGGTGGGCACGCGCCAGTTTGCGAGGACTTGTTGGTAAAGAAGGCGGCGGGTGCTCTGGAGCCAGAGACGGGCTTGAGTAAGGATGTCGGTTGAGAAGGTGAAGTGAGTGTCGACACCGAGGGAACCTTGGTCTTGGATCAGATGGCTGTGAGGATGCGTGTGGCCGTAATGCATCTCTGACTCTGGAGTGATGGAGATGTACTGATTTGTGGAGCGGAGGAGAGATGCGCCCTTGTAGGTCAGAAAGGATGCATGGGAAAAGACAACTGGAATGCTGGTATTCAATGCTCCAATAGCATGGACGTCCTCAGGGCTGTTGGTGTCTGTGAGGTAGTCAGTTTGGAAGCGGCACTATCGTATGGTCAGGGTCAAAGACTTACTTCCCCACGGGCCTTGTAAGCTGTGAGTCGTGATTACAGAGACATTGAACTCCCTACCGCGCGTTAGAAAGATTCTCACTGCCACCTTGTATCAAACAAGTCAACTTACTTGGCAAGATCAACCACCGCATTGACATCCGCGAGAACACCGTCGGTCCCGAAGAAGTCGCAGGCGACTCCCAAAGTTGTGGGAGTACCATCAAACTCGGCCTTGGTCGCGATATCCCTAAAGTTTCTAGCTGTTCCGAGATGGTGTAGTTGGTGACATTGTGAAAGGCGTACGACCAGAAGACTCTCGCGCCGCTGTCGATGCTACCTTTCAGACCTGCCTCTGAAGTCTCATCCGACCAAGTGTGGTGGGCGTGATCCAGCGTCGTCGTGACACCGGCGTTCAGGGCCTCGTAGAATCCTGCGAGCTGGCCGATGTAGACATCATCGGCACTCAGAAAGCCCACGGCAGCAAATTCGCCATAGCGGGTGAAGTACTCGGCCAGTGAGGTATTCGAGGCGATGGTTCTGAAAGCCGTTTGCCAACCGTGGCGGTGGGTATCGACGAAGCCTGGTGTGATGATCTTGTTCGCCACATCGATGACTTCCGTGTTGTTGTTGTTGTTCTATTTAACGCCATGGCGGCAAGGGCGCAGCCGCCCTTGCGGCAGACCTCCCGGAGGGTATGTGGCGTGAAGGGTCGCAGGCTCTAGCTATATACTATATAGTGCACGCCGTATCCTGACGTTCTCCAAATCTTGCTCGTGAGCTACTATGTGTTCTATCCATCCCTAGTTCCCACTGGTGCCCTAGTTCCGTTATAACCATCTGGTTTCTTAATAGAGGTAGTTTGTCGTTTGGAGGATAGGTTATGACCTATCTCCTAGTACCGCGGGCAGATCTTCTGGAAGAAGTCTGTGACGCAGAGGAAGGCCTGGAAGCCTTCAGAGTCAGTGATTAGCCCCTTGAAGTAGCGATCGAGGGACCCTATAGGTCCTACGGGCTCCTGGCGGCTGTAGGGGTAGAGGGTGGGCCACTGTTGCCTCCTCAGTAGGGTCTTTCGGCAGTAGACTAGATGGTCTGCCTCCTTAACCCATCCACAGGAGCAGGTGAGTAGTGCTTCTGTGTGGTTAAAGCGTTGGTGATATTGTTTAAAGTCCCCGTGGCCTGACCGTGCCGCGAGGAGGTGATGAAGGGCAGCCCTAGGGAGGCCAAGTTCAGGAGGGCAAGCAAGGGTAGCCTTGAGCCCTAGTTGGGTATAGCGGGGAGTTGCCTCTTGTTTCCACCATCGTCTATATTGGCGTCTTGGCCGCTCTTTAGCAAGCCACTTGATACCTGATAGAGTAGCTAGTTGGCCCCTAAGGACTGGTAGAGTTGTTCCCTCCTTAGCTAGGCTGTCTGCTTCTTCGTTTCCTTTAATACCTTGGTGCCCAGGAGACCAATGGGTTTGTATATCGTGTATCCTAGCTACCTCCTGGATCTCAAGGAAGGCCGCTTGTGAGGAGTCTGGGACCTTACCGCAAATCCCCTGAATAACGCTGGTATTGTCGATGCAGATGTGTATAGGCTGGCCTTGGGAGGTCTGAAGGGCCCGTCGGAGCCCAGCCCTCGCCCCCTCCGCCTCACCATCAAACACTTCTGCTAAGCCGAGACGGCCGCAGCCCTGGGCTATACGTTTATTGTTGCGGTAGATAACAAAGCCGTACTCTGTAGCTCCGTCAGGAGCTTTGAAGCCGTCTGAGTATACGACTGTATGCTGACCTGGCACAGTCTTGAGCCAGGCCTGGAAGATCCTAGCTGCTACATCCTTCGTCTGTGTAACTATAAGGTCATAAGACCCTGAGAGGTATTGCGGCTGTAGGAGTGCTGGCCTTGGACACTTAGGTAACAGGCCAGCTATCTGGAAGAGTGTCGAAAGAACCATGCTCGATGCAACAAATACAGGCAGCAGACGCAATCTCTTGGGCAGCCGAGGTACCTGCTCTATCTGGGCTCCTGCGGTGATGGGCAAGTTCGGTTGACAGAGCCGGGAAAGAGTACCGACTTCGCTATCCTGAGTTACTATTGGGGCAAGTCGCCGGATTGCACAACAACCTTAACAAACTTGCAACATCACCTGGCTGGATTTCCTCTCAAGAACCTTCCCAAGATAATTCGAGATGCTATAGAGGTTACTCTAGCTCTTGGCTTACAACATCTTTGGGCAGATGCACTCTGTATCCTCCAGGACCAAGATGACGAGATGATTCAGAACAAAATACGCATCGCACACGAGTTTTATGCCCGGGCGAGCATTGTTATAGGGGCCGCCTCTGCGCCGCACAGCGATGCCGGATTCTTGGTACCTCGAGATCTGTCGTATCATGAGTATGAGCTCCCTATTGCTATGAAAGATGGGGACAAGACACCATATCGTTGCCTTAAAGTTTTAGAACGAGGATTCGAGAAGAAGCCAGAGCCCTTTGGTAAAAGGGGGTGGACGTTCGCAGAAGCTAAGAACGCGTTATGCATTTTGCCCTTCGAGTCTGGACGAGTAGTGTTCGAATGCCAGGAAACGAACCTCGCAGATAGCGACGATGATGAGGTATCAACTTCAGATGAGACCCACTCAGATTCACTCGAGCAATTCCCCATTTAATCCCCTGAACGCTCTCATGATCATCGCGGCTGCGGGATGGCCCAGGTGGAGAAGAAACTGGTGACCCCGCGCCTCCAGTCATGCTCCAGTACAAGGTCACGGTTTAAAACACCCGGGAACCTCACGAAAAAAGTTCTTGAAGACGAGTTTGTGGACTCTTATGCGCACGGGAGTACGAGGTGCGAATTTGGCATGAGGCAACTACTGGCTGGTGAGTTGTCTTGAGCGGCATTTGAGATCTTGAAAACGATGCTAATCAATCTAGGGAAGCACGACGCTACATTGGCGTTGGTTGGGAAGATGACCTAAGGTAAGTGTACAACATTCGGTAAGAGGTAGTTATTGACTTACTTCCAGACATTATCACCTTGAAAGCATTCAACAGGAGCCTGGTTGATTTTCTCAAGTGCGCCACGAGTGCTAGGCCAAACACCTGCTTTATCTTGGAAACATCGATTAACAAAGCCTTGTACATTGCCTTGGAGTGATCCTCAATTGATCGAGCCTCCTCAATGAGGGGGAGAGAAGGAAGAATGGGGAGAGAAGGAAGAATGGGGAGAGAAGGAAGAATGGGGAGAGAAGGAAGAATGGGGAGAGTGCGCGCCGGTGGTGTATCAAGCTGTCCATCATCAGAATCGATCACTGGGGCCATGTAGACTCGCGACGTGTTGATCCCTACTCATCTACTCGAGCCCCTCAGGTCCTCAAAGCGGCAAAAGTTTATTATGTCACCCTGTTCGGCTCTGGTCTGGCGATCAGGATCATTTACTCTTCGTTTCTGAAAGGTGCTACCCTTGCCCTGGGTAAGTACGTAGAGTGACATATTGAAATTTCTCAACTAAAGAAATTCCGGAAGAGAATCTACCAAATATGTGTTCATAGCCGTGTACAGAGCATAGGAGTTCATGTACTCGAGACGCCCTAGGCCTAATGATCCTTCTCCTCCCAGATGGAGGCTTTTTTCTGCCCAGTTGCGCCGCACATTGTGTGCTCCGTGTCCATGATTTGTGACTTACTGTATACTGTCCGAAGTGCTTTGGAGTAAAAGCGGCCGAACCTGGAACTCGGAGTGCAGAAACCGCCGACCGCGTCTTATCTCTAGACATCTGCAACCAATTTAAGTTCCAGGGCAGAGTCAAGGTTCCCGTTTACCCGGGAGATCCGGTAGAGGTCTGGACAGACTACGAGGACATTCTGTGCAGCCCCTTTGGCAGAGTAATTGACCTGGCTGCTTCTGCGAGTCCAACTTTCTTTGCGAAACAGTAGATACCGAGACCACAACTGCCTTCACATTAGAATCTCTCTCGACAACGGACTGGTACCCAGGTTCTTACATGTATGCAAGATGAGTCCCGTACAGAAACTCGTCGAGCTACGGCAACAATGGAACGAACGAGCTGGAGCTGAACCATTGCTTTCGGACAAAGAAGAAGTAGGCGAGGACGCACCTCGACATGATCCAATTTTGGAAAGACGTCATCGCTGGCTGGAGGCGTGTCGCGCAACGCTGCTCTCGAGACGGTCACTGGTAGATGCTGTGCTCCTCGCCACTGTGGCGTGGCTAGTTCTAGCAAGGCAGTCTTCGACGAAAGAGTGCCCGAGGGAAGTCGTTGGCGACGTCACGGGTGTCTTTCCCCAATGTAAGCCGTCACTCTTCATGCTGCATCTTTCAGAAGTTTTGAAATCACTACTTACTTCTCTCTCCATTCGGCAGTCTCGCAAAAAATCATCACCTTCAAGCACGACCCCGACTTCGTTCCCGAAGATGGACACAAATTCTTCACCAATGAAACCAAGCAGAAGTGGCTAGACCTAGTACCTAGTACGTCTCTTGGATTACCCGCTGGTGAATAGTGCCATGACTGACAGGTATAATTTCCAAGAGGGTCTAGGTTGGATTAAAGTAGACCATCCGCGACAGTATCAGGACCTCCCCGAACCAATCAAAGACTTTGGAGGACCTGACCAGCCCGTTTTTACAACATCCGTTACACATCAACTGCATTGCATTGTACGTTTGGAGATCTCTATTGGAGGTTTGGTCTCCTAGAGCTAACGTAGCTGAATCTAGTACGGAATCGCTGAAGCATACTCCGGCTTGAAAGCGAATCCATCCCAGCACGGTGAGCGGATGCCGTGGCATGTCAATCACTGCTTTGACTACCTCCGACAGAGCATTATGTGCGCTGGCGATCTGGCTGTCGAGGGCCAAGAAAAGACATTCCCCGATGGTATTGTGGGAAGCGATGGATGGGATGGGAAGCATGTCTGTAGAGACTATGGCGAGATCTATGATTTCTTGGACGAACATAGGGCGACCGAAGACCATTGGATTTGACAAACTTCGACAATTTTTTTCAGTTTCATGTAGGATTGAATCCTACATCATACGTTTGCAATTGTGGCGTTTTTTCTCAAGACTAGTCATAGAAATGACACAGGATGGTCACGAAGGTCCCGACGATGACAGACTGTGATATTCGGAGGCTTCCGTTACATGTTGATTATGATGGGAACACGTAGCCAGGACATCCCTCATCGCTTTGGTCCTCTTGGGAAATCTTTCGTGATAGACTCAATTTGATGCGATAAGTAATTCAAATGTCTATGGGAATTCCTTGCCATCATGGATAACATCATCGGATCTAGGGAGCCATGGACCCAGCTCACCACTCTTCAACTTGTCATCCTGCTGCCGAAGATACCAATCCCTTATTGCACCAAAGTCCCGGCACATGTGTCTTGTCTTGAAGTTTGCAATAATACTGGGCTTGCGCTCCTTCTTTTGGGTCCAGGCTCTCGAATTAATCCAAACCCAGGGGAGGACGTCAAGAGACGGAGTGCACATTAGCTGGAGTCGGAGCGAGTCTAACCAATGCCCTGAAGATGATAAGCTCCAGAGATGGTCCAGATGTATCCGAATCACGTACCAACATGCATTTTGATGACTCGATCGTCATCTCGAAACTCCCACACTTTTGGCGTTGACTTATAATAGTCTATATTAAAGTACAGCGCCTTTCGCAGAAGGTTCTATGCAGGTGGCGTATTAATTAGGATCTTTGAGCTTCGAACACGCTGACCGGTTCTGCGAGAAATGAAGAGATGTTCCAATGACTTACAAGACAGTGCAGATCGTGGAATGCCTTGATTTCGCCGAAATAATTAGGTCCGTGGTCCTCGGGGACGCGGACAGCGTTCAAGGGCATATTGGCATCAACCCATTGCTCCGGTGAAAAGGTGGCATTTTCCCCTAGACTTAGCATCAGAAAATCTCGACATTGGGTCAATAATCCTGTCGTTTGATTAGCGCACATGTGAATCCAAGATCATCCCAAGCGGCATCGACTGCCGGACTTGGGTCCATTCGATAGATTGTGGGTTTCATGAAAGCATTATCAAATTCCTCATCGTGGTAGGAAATATCCATATCTGCAGCGATGGGCGCTTCATTCTAGATGGTAAGCTAAATGAGCCGAACGTTTCGGGGAAATTGAATTACATCGCATCGAGGTATGATACATATTGATCGATATTGTGTGGCCAGAAGAAGCCAACGAGAAAAGAAATAACAGGAAAACAGTAGATCAACAAGTACCTGAAAGTGTGAACTCGACCCACGGAGTCTAGTAAAGCCGGGTTGGTCTTGTTGTTGTTGTTGTTGTATTTTAACGCCGTAGCGGCAAGGGCGCAGCCGCCCTTGCGGCAGACCTCCCGAAGGGTATATGGCGTGGAGGGCCGTAGGCCTATAGCTATCACTAGATACAGTCCAGCTCGTCCTCCAAATCGTGCCCAAAGGCAACTATGTGTTTAACCTGTCTCTGGGTGCCGCTGGCTTGCCCGAGACAGTGCTATGGTCGTCCCTAGAACGCAATTCCGCCAGTATCTCCTATCCTTCGACCCAGAGCCCGCAGGCTTCTGGTTTACACAACATTCCAGTAACCGTCCGGAGTATATCGTAATAGGTAATACCGCCACAAGGGAAACTGTCAAGTTGGGATGTTGACGCAGGGTGGAAGCTCTCAGAGGCCAACTGCAGTTAGGGGTAGAATGATGAATTACTGAAGTCTGCTCCTCCCTCGACGCGTACTCCCTGCGCTGTATATATATCTGAGCTGTTCCTTTGTTGCTTGGACTCCTTACTACCTCTTACTAGCCCCTATCCGGGAGGGCTCTGACAAACCACAAGGGGCAAAACCTCGTAAGACTAGGTTGTAGGGCTTGCTGTTAGGTTCTGTAACGAGCATAGCTGTATATAGCCGCGGCTATACATCGCTACCCACCGGGTTGGTCTTCTGGTGAGAACAAAGCCCTGCATGCCCATTGTCTGATGGCTCTTGAAGAGGCTCATACATGGAAAGACGTAACAGTCGAGTGACTAGCAATGCCACCCTTTCGGCCATCGTCGTTAATACTGTTGTTGTTCTCGTCGTCTCTGTCACAAGGAGCGCACCTGCTTGCTTACCAGTAGGCATTCTTGCCGCCCTTTAAGTCCGAGCATATTATGACTAAACTGCAACATGTCAGAGCCACGGATTTCCAAGGCGGTCTCGCAGATTTCGCATGTCCTTGGTGCTGAGGAGTATCACTCGGTCTGTTTGATAGAGTTTGAGCTAAAGGGACGACAGCCCTGCTAGTATTGTACTTTGAAATTAGAAGTCGGCCCCTCTGAGACAAGTTCGCGGCAGTTTTGATGATTACTTTCTGCCCACTTCCGGACTGGAAGGTCATTTATGAGCTCCAAAAGACGAATTTAATTCTGTCCTCAAGCATGCGCAGAAGCTCTTGAACCACAACATACGCCTCTGTCTAAGTTTCAACTTTGCACAGGAAACTAGTCACATCACCCCACACGGAAGGAACCGACCTGATCGAGAGTTAGGCTTCATCAATGACCCCCCCCATGCTCGTGAGTATGTGGTTTCAACGGGCACGTCATCGGTTCATCCGACTCGATCTTGTTCCTCGGACAATCTCCTGTCGTGTTCCTCGATGACGCCCAGGTCCAAACATCGTCCCAGTTTCTGCATTTGTACTGTTGGGGAAGTGTCAACATGTACAGTGACTCTTCTTCGTTCCACATGTATCTCAGAGGCGTCATGTCCGCATTACAGACGATAGACTCCCTGAGTGCTTCGACGCAGTGATCTGTATAGTGCTTAGTCGATATTTCCCTGATGGCTATGACCTTGCCTACCCAGGTGCAACTCCCACCAGCTGCGTTCCTCTCCGTTCTCCCATTTGAACGCGGTCGGATGCCAAACTTGCTCTCGGAGACTCATCTACGATATTTATCAAGGTCACTTGAGTTGCTCGAAGAGGAGAGTTCACGAACTTACGAGACAGTGAAGCTGATGGAATACCTGCAGGCCAATAACATATTCGCCCTGTTTCAGGACGTTTGGTGTCGTATCGAATGGAAGGCGAGATTTCTCTACCTCTGTGATGCTTGTGCTGCCGACTTCAAGTTGAGGATTCAGCGACAAGTTTGTAGGGGGAAATGTCAAGTGGTCACATACGTTGGACCAAATCTGCCCAAGCCTGATTGCTCTTGTCCGTTGGCCGGCCCTCGTACTCGGTGAAATCTACTGCGTCTTCCCATCCTTTGTCGCCTATTTTGATAGAATGGTCTCCCTCAAATTTGTAGTGATGGGTTTTCCAGACGTATTCGCGGTGGGAAAAGTCGTCATAGATGTCTGTAATGGTCAGAAAATGTGGTAGGACTGCGTATGGATAGGTTGTACATACTAGGCCATTCCTTCGTAGCTGGCTTCGATGAGTGATTATCACTCTCAAATGCCACAAAAAAAACAATACCGTAGCCTAGGAACGCGGCGATGTGCAATAACCACGGCAGGTATTTTCGTCTATCGTGGTGATGCTCCCGATCCCTCAGGAAGGCAACTTTGGAATAATCGCCATCTTCAGATCCCTCAGACGAGAGAAGATTTTGGCGGTCCATGGTGAGTAAACTCGCAGAGCGTTGCAAGCAATTGAGAATAGAACAGTTAGGCCGTCACGTCGTTGTGTGGCATACAGGAGGACGTCTCTTGTGTTAAGACTTTTGTGGAGTCCACTTCAACTCTGAACCTCGCGTTTTGATTTGGATTCGAGACGTGGGCTACGAATGATTTTCGGAAGGTTAAAGTAGGCCTGGGGGGTAGATGTATGAGACTTACCTTGGTCTCAAGTACCTCCGCCGAAATGTTGACATACTTCGCACTGTGCCGTGATCACGAGGGTCTCAGGCCGTGTAAACTTTACTAGCTTGGACCGGGATACGGTATTCCAATGTGGTGCAGGGTGGCATTTGTCATCTATGATTTTCCAACGCCGAAATATGCAGAGCGTCGATCGACGTTGACGTTAAACCCGTAAGTTTCCACTTTATTTCAAGAACACTACCCGATTGTCCTACGAGCCTCAAATATGCAAGTGGTTCATTCACCTCTGCCTTTGACATAGTGAACCATACAACTTGCTACGGAATCAGCCCAAGCTCTTTTCTCTAGTTACAAGAACCATGAAAGCGTTTTACGATAGGTCTTCCAGTGAGGAGAGGGATCTTGCCGTCAGTCTTCTCCCTGACCGGCAGAGCTCACTTGAAAACGATAACGGTTTTCAAGATCTGCTCAAAAGGGTGGCACTTGGCAAAGATCCTGCCAGGGCTATCATCACTGTCGGAAGTGAGCGTTTCGTTCTCTACGCAACCCAAGTCGACGAAAGCGTCAAGTTCACTCTTTCGGACGCGGCACAGAGGCTGACAAGATTTGTGGTTGCTGAATCTTCCCCTTCCATCTCTATTTTCTACAAAGTTGGCGAAGAAGATGCATCGGACGAAATCACCTGCTTCGCAACTTGTATGACTTACGTCCCTTCTTCTTTGACCGACAGCGCTAATACCCGAACACAGTGAACCGATCTGAAGCCGCCTTGGCTGATTCACTGTCTTGGACAGAAGCCTCCGTCACAAAAAACGAGTTCAACTTTCACAATGGCAAGGGAGCTGCAAACCGCCTCTCTTGGTTCGGTCGGCTCACTGGATTGAAGTCCACCCGGTTCCGCACCTTGGCTTTCTGGTCAAGTTTAGCTGTGGTGTTCCTCATCCTCGCGTTGATTAATAGCGAAGGTGCCAAGATGCCATTTCAACAGCATTTTGAGAAGGGAATCTGGATTCGATACGACCTCAAGGACAGTGAGGGTCCGCGTTATCAGCTCCAATTTTCAAGACACAACGTGTCCGACTGGAAGAACCCCTATCCAGATGGAGAGTGGGCTGTACGTATCGATGACCAGGCCCTCATACCTGCAAGCTTGATGGACGCGGACGAACTCCGATACCAGAAATGGTTCAGACAGCGGTATCCAGGAATGAGAGACGTTGTTGATAACAAGGACTACCTGAGCAAAGAATTTCTCAGCGATCCTGATCGTCTCAAAGTGCCCGCCGACTGGCTTTTCCATCAGGCTCACTGCATCTTGGCTCTCAGAAGATACTGGAAGGCGAAGGAGAGCGGCCACCATGTCTGCCCGCGGGACATTGATCACAAACACATTCATCATTGTCTAGATTCTCTCGATGAATGGTTCTTCATTGACGGGGATATGAGGAAGCCGCCTCCAAAGCCTATAGATTACGAGGCGGAATGGTCTTTGGTATGGAAAACCAAAGTTTGCTGGTAGCGGCCGCGAACGTGTCTTAGTGCTGGATACGAAGGTCAATGCTTGGTATCCTTGCATTGTAAGTTATCTTGACAGTTTACTGTAGGAACGAGAGCCTTAAAAATATCAAAAGCTTTTATGTAACTTCAGACACCTTGTTCTAGTAGATTGTCAATATCATACTCGTAGTCAAAGTTCACAATGACAGAGAAAGCTCTACCACAAGTAATCGCAACTGGCGGTCAGCAACAGCTGTGCCAAACTGGGGACAAATGCACATCCAGCAATGATTACTTGGACTTATGGTATACGCCAGAATGCTGGGTCATCAATCAATCCGCCCGAAAACGATCCTGTAAATGGCGCACAAGAGTTGTGCTCTTAGAGTTTGGACCCAATGCATACATACGCCGTACTTAGGTTCTGTTATATATGTGGAGCTCGCTGAGACCCATACTTAATTAAGTCTGCGGTCATTTCTATAATTTTAGGAAAACTTTGTTCTGGTTGATGGTAGCGTCGCATTCGGTCTGAGACGGACAAGAGTCTTGTTGTGATGCGCCAACTTTAAACTGGGTTGCTTCCCCTGGACTGCCCAATAATGTAGGGGAATTGATATACCGGCGTCGCTGTTCGACCTTTTGAGTTTGTTGGGACTAATCAACAGCTAACAACGGCACTCCTCCGACAACAAGACTATGTCCGTCAATGGCAAGAAACATGGGGTCCCCAAGTCAACCCACCACCCTATTCACCCCCACGGCAATCCTCCCCTCAAAGCGAAGCGTCTTTCCGAACTGCAGCCTCCTACCACACTCTAAGCAACCGATCCTCCTCTCCTCCTATAACCGAAATCCCAAACCCACCGATTCCTGGCGATCCAGAGCAAACCTATGATGCCCTCTTCGACCGAGTTAATACCTTTGCAAGAGCTAATGGATTTGGCATTATAAAGCGGAATAGGCATAAAGCTCGAGGCCGAATCATTCGATACACCTTCCAGTGTGATCGGTTTGGCGAGCCTGGGCCTACACAAGGTGCTGGTATTCGACAGCGCAAGTCTCGTAAATGCGGTTGTAAATGGTAAGTTATTGCCGAGGCTTAAGAGGAGGGTAAGTGGCTTTTACGTTATCACCTAGACCCCTAGTATAGTTAGTATAATCATGGCCCTAGCCTTGAAGCTACTGCACACCCTTCACATCGCAGGCTTACCCAGCCACTTCAGGATGCCATTGAAACTACAAGCCGACGAGTTGGGATTCGGGCTCGCGATGTGCGTGCTGTTGTCCAGGAGCAGTTCCCAGAGTCCTTATTTACCCAGCGAGATATCTATAACGCTAGGGCTCGTATAAACCGAGAGAAACTAGCGGGATATTCGCTAACTGCAGTATTAATCAAGCTGTTTGATGAGCGAGATATCCTATACGTGGTGAAATGGGCAGACGCCGAGCCAAACCGCCTTATTGGCCTTGTCTGGACCTTTCCCTACTGTCTCCAAATGTGGAAGTGATTCCCTGAGGTGATTAGCTTTGACAACACCTACAATACCAATCGCTTTAAGCTCCCTCTCTTCCAAGCTACTGGGCAGACCTGCCTTGGATCTGTTTACAACGCTGCGTTTGGCCTTATCGACAACGAGAGACTAGAGGGTTTCCAGTTTCTCTCAGCAGGGATCCGCCAACTCATGGACCAACACTCAGTCCGTTACCCCACTGTTATTATTACAGACTACGACAAGCAGATGAAGGCTGCACTGAATGAGCAGTTCCCAGACGTTCAGCAACAACTCTGCATCCACCACATCAATTTTAACGTTATGCTCAGGGCTAAGCAGAAGTGGGTTAAGGACCGCAGCTGTAGCAGTAACAGCAGTGGGTCTAATGACGAGGGATATCAGCTACCAATACAAGCAATGGCCACGCTAAGTGATGAGGATGAGGCCTATATCAACACATCTATTGATAAGCCCCCCCCCTCATACGTATCGTGGGGTCCTTATGATGTGGAAGCTTGTTGTTTTTGCTGAGACTGAGCACGCTTTTGAGAAAGCCTGGACCAAGCTCTGTAAAGAGTTTAACGACCAAGGCCCAATCCTCCAGTACCTCCACATAACATACCTACCTTTAAGAGCACAGTGGGCCCGCTGCTCTATCCGAAAATATTAGAACTTTGGTGTTCACCTCACCTCTGGCACTGAGTCAAGTAATAACAACATTAAGAGTTATCTCTTAAATGATCTTAGTCACCTATATCGACTTGTTGATGTTATGTAGGACATGATTGGTGACCAGGAGATACGCTTCAGGCAAGCTTGTGCTGAGGATGAAGTGCTTACAGGCCGGGAGTATATAGGTACTCGCTTTGAGTACCTAGGCGAACTTCGAACGATGCTTTCCTCGAAGTGTCTTGCATTAATTGGGAAGCAATACCGGCTGGTAAAGAAGGCAATGCCGTCTGGCACGAGGCCATTCCTAGCCCCCCTTGGAGACTGTGGTCTAGACTGCACTGTTTTAATTGAGCTGGGTGTCCCATGCTGCCATAAGATCTACTCCTAAAAGTTAGATTTAGCTACTTTCAGTAAATGGGAGGTATACCCTCGGTGGCGTCTTCGAGAGACGTCTTCCTCAGATCCATACCGCCGGATCCTTGACCCTAAGATTGCTGCATCCCTCCGCGGTAGGCTAAAGAACATAGTGCAGCCTGTCCTATCATAACTAGCCTTACCTGCAGAGGGCCAGTCAGCCAGACAAGCCCGCACTACCTATAGCAGCCAAGGCGTAAGTAGTAAGAAGCGAGGCCGCCCACCTGGGAGCAAGAATAAGTCGACGCTAGCTGGGCTTACACAAGAGACAAGTTAGCCAAGTCAAAGCCAGATATCAAGCTCATCCTAGCGACAAACAAGGAGCCAGTCTAGTGTTCTTGGTAAGGGGAGGACAACAGGGAATTATGCAAGTGGACGGCCGATGTAGCCTAGTGTTCGGAGGAAACGGAGTTAGTGGGAAATGGTCTGTAGTGACGATGAATCTTTGCAACCACGTCGTAAAAGGTAGTTAGGTAATAGGCCTTTTGAGGGGTTATATAGTCCCTATTTGAGATTTACAAACCTGGGGTATAAGTAGGCTGTAATACGTACTTTTAGAAATCTCAAATTAGAGCTTAGGTTAGAGAAGAGGGCAGGAATAGCCATGTTAGTGCAGTCACCCTCACCGCCTTTATGGGGAGGTATTGTTTTTTTGAGCCAATCAAAAGGTCGAACAGCGACGCCGGTGTAAGGTCGACGCCGGTGTATCAATTTGCGACGCCGGTATATCAATTCCCTAATGTAGATGCCCGAATTTCTCAATCCGGAGTACTCGGAGGTTGGATACCTTATAAGCACAACATATTATTTTCGTGATTTCCGGTTGCGTTGATCCTAAGTCTCCGGTGTCTCGTGCGTTCTGATTTGCCGGTGAGTCCCATGCTCCACAGGAGCACAAACCTTCTACAATATTACACTTTCTTCTACAGGACAAAACAGTCGCGATGCGGTCGACAATCTATCTTTCACAGTCATACGGAGGAAGAATCTCCATCCAAAATGATTTTCACGCTTCAAAGCGAGGGATGGACAGCGTGCAAATACTGGTCTTCATCGGCGAAGTGTAAGTAGTACGAGTATCTATGATACACGCTGAAACATCTAGTGTAAGCTTTAGACCATCATTTTGAGTTTATTTATCAGCAGGAGCAACTGAACACAGTGGAGACTGCATCGGGTTCCATAAGCCGATACATGAAGAACCACGTAAAGCTCGTTCTTCTGCGAGTTGTATATCAAGCCCCTGCAGACAAACCCGGACACGGGTTGCCCGTTACTTCAATGCGCTGCTCTACACCCGTCGGTGTCTTACACGTCCCCGACTCTGATACAGTGGCCCAGCGTTACAATAAGATGTTGACTCGGGTTCATAACGTCTCCGTTGTCCCGTCGACCCCATACGGTGTACCCGCATAAACTTTCACTTTCTGGCTGAGATTTCCGCCGCGCTGTTCCTCGAGCTTATCAGCTAATAACATGGTTCAGGGGGCCGGCCGTGATAAGGTGACACAACATCATCCAACTCAAGGAGATTCATTTGTAAGAAGTTGAAATGCATGAAACCAGTGTATGTCTGCGATGGAGTGCGAGTTCTCTAGGTATGTATCTAAGCCATGTGTCCACCGAGAAAGCAACGCGCACAGCGGACTTCAGCAGGTTTATCCCAAATTTTGCCTGGCTGTGTTTAATTCTTTTTTTTTTGGCAAGATCTTGCACGCCTTTTCTACCACAATCCTTGAGGAAATGAGTTACAGGATGTCCTCAGATTCGAATACCGTCTGCTCATACAAGGAACTTCTCAATTCAGAAAATGACCGCTACGTCGAGGAAACCGGAATCACCGCGGCATCGCAGCAATCGGCACGCCGCTATACCTGGCTCCTTCCCGTTTTTTCAATGGGCTGGGTCATTACAACGTTGATTTGTACAGCAATTGCTTTAGCTAGCTGGCACAATACCCAGAAACTTGATTCTATCAATGGACTTATCCAGCGAAGCCTTGTCATAGACTCGGACCTCCTAAAATACGCAAACGAACACAGATACCAAGGCCTCCCACAGCCTTCAAACGCACTCATGCAGATGGTAACTATCGATGGACTCGAAGTTCCAGGTTATGAGCTCAAGTACAACGCGAGCTATTGCGACGAGTTCGCCAATCCAGCCGGTGCTCCTTCGCGCGGGTGCGTCCTAGATCGCGTTCAAGGAGGTTGGGTGCCCGAAGTCTGCTCTGACCGAGAGTTGCGAGAAGCTTGGGATTCGATGCCGGATTTCGGATGGTGGCTCGACGAGGCGCGTACTCAGAAAGTTTCTCAAGAGCGTGTGTATCGTGGCGATCCGGAGATTGCAGGCCGTACTGTTTACACGAGCGTCAATTACCACCTGCATCACTGCGTTGCAGTGATGCGTCTTCGCAACAAGAACAGCTTGCGAAAGGATCGCGGCCTGACGTTTCACATGCTCAGCCACCATCATATTGAGCATTGCTTTGATCGGTTTTTAGATTGGCTTACTCCGGAGGGGATCAATATCACAAAAATGCCGACAGAAATACGTTTTTCGAGCGCCGGCGTTGTGGATAACAAGGACAAAAGAACTTCCGAGTGTTATGTACCAGTTTAGCATCTATCAATGATGGTCGATACAGGGAAACATTTGTGTCTTACCCAGTACATGCTCGCGAAAACTTCCAATCTGATCAGTCTTCTTGTAGGCCGTGAATTGCACTGTGAGAATGGATCGAAAATAAAGCAGCAAGAGAATGAAATCTAACCCATTTCACAACATGAATGCATTTTCAAAGGTCTTCGTCTCCGATGGTGATTGAGATAACTAGTCCACGTTTCAGAAATCAAATGAGTCTGGCTTGATAAGACTTGACAGATAACGTACTTGATAAGCGAGCTGCCCAGACAAGCGAGCTGCCCACCTAACCATAATCACATTATAAATCTAACTAAGGAGCAACACTAAAAACATAAAATCAATTGAAGCTACTCTGAATCCTATTCCTCAGATATTTCTTTATTAAACTGACATGTTCGCGCATTGTGGCCAGTGTTTCCGCAGACGCCACATCGCCGTTAACCTATTTCTGTCCTCGGCCGACGACTACTACTCTGGCGCGTTTCCTCCTCAATCTGGGCCGTAGCCTCTCTCTGCGACTGAATGTCCTCTGCCTCAGCTACAGTAAGACTTCCTCCTTGTCTGAGACGTGTTTTCTTAGCCCTCCTGCGTCGGCTAAGTAGGTTATTTTCCTCCCGGAGGATCTGGACCTCCGACCTTAATAAGGCAATCTGGTACATAAATCCCCGCGCTCCCTTTGATAAATGCTCTATAGCTTTAATAATTGAAGTTGGGGAACTATTTTGATAGCGGGAGATCCTCCTTTTGATGAGTTCGGACTAAGAAGAGGCCTCTGTTGGGTTATTTAGCGTTTAAGAAGTCCATGCGGGGGGTGTTATTAGTAGGGACCCTGGGGGTATTGGAGTATGTAACTTGATATCAAGCTTCGAAAGCACACTTTCGGCACTCAAAGAAACAAGCCCGGCCCCTCTGAAGCCTCCCTGGATGTTTTTTACCGTTAGGGTTTGCGTGAAAGCGTTGTGAAATGCAGGGAAGAAGTCCTCCTTCGTAATATAGGTATTACCCCGGCGCATCTTATCCTTAATTTATCGACCATAAGCCGTCTTTAGTGGCCTAAAACACCCAACGTCTAAGGGCTGAAGTAGATGAGACGAATGGGCCGGCATATAGAGTGTGACGATATTGTTTTCCTTGTAATATATCTTAAAGTCCGCAGAGTGGTGACTTTCGTGCCCATCGACGACGAGGAGGCGATAATTGCTAGTTATACGCGGTTTTGTGTGCCGATTAAAGTCCTGGAGCCAGTCTAGGCCTCTTTTATTTGTTGTCCATCCGTTTTCAGACGTTACGATGACCCAGTCGCATAGGAGATCTATTTCTATATACCAGGTAGAGAGGTGATATTGGCCTGTAACGATGATGTACGGCGGAACGCTGTAGCCTGACGAACTGATGGCCTGAATGACTATAACCTATTTACGATTGCCAGGCTGTATCATTTTTATATTTGAACGCCTTTCGGCACTCGTGACGACCATTCCGGACGCAATCTGGCCCATCATAAACCTAGTCTCGTCGAAGTTGTAGATATCGGAGTCTATAATACCGTATTTCGCAATTGTGTTCGCTATAAGCCGAACCTACGCATTTATCGCATCTAGATCTTCGTATTAGGCCCTCTTATAGTCGTACTTATAAAAAAAGCGCGTCCGGAGCTATGGTTGTCGTTTAACGAAGTTTGAAGCCCAGCGCTTCCCAACTAGGGGCGCATCGCGGTCGGCGAGCAATCGATTAGCCATTTCTTCTACACCATTAATCCGGGGAGGAAACGATCGGGAATCCAGGTCTAGGATATACTCAACTAGCTTCTCCTCTTCAAGCTCCGTCAATTTGCGTGAGTTAGGTATAGTATCTTATCATATAGGTGTGCCTTTTAATCGGGTACCTAGGGTCCTAAGGGGGACTAAATAGATTCTTACTGCGGCTCGAATGCTGAGTTTAGGTTTTTTTTTGGATAGCCTTGACTGCTAAGTTCAATTGGGCCTCTTTGCTTTGTGACGACATGATTATTTGTGGCGTGATACGCATTAGAAGTGAGGAGGAAGGATGAACGCGGTTGGGTGGGCAGCTCGCTTGTCTGGGCAGCTCGCTTATCAAGTACGTTATCTAGTTTGAAATCTGCTCCAACTTGATATAGGACCGGCGGACCATTCCTGAATTCCACTTCCAGTACTTTGGAACCACCCATATACAACAGACCAGTACGACACACCAACCCGTGACAGCCGCAGACCACCATCTCGACTTTCCAGCAACACAAAGACCTCTGTATCTCAAGTCAGCAGGAATTGGCTGACGAGTATCTGCCCACTCACAGTAACGTGTTTAACCATCCGCTGATCATGCTGATGTACCCGATTCGACGGTGCCATTTAGTAAAAGCAGTCTGCCGTCCAGTCTTCAAGAAACAATCGTGATGTAAGTAGCCGAGGCTAGGCGCCATGAAAAGGCCGATACCTATGAGCATCCCAATTATTTGGTGGCTTCCTCTAGTAGACGGGACCTGGAGCAACGAAAAGTAAGTACCGCGATGTAGCAGGGTCCAGTAGTATTCTTGAAGTATTGAGCATTGCGTACCTCTATGATGAGTTTTGATGCGTATATACCCAAGCCAATTCCGCATGCAGCAGTAACGGCGGAAACGGTCTGTATTATCCAATGAATGCAGAATGAACTTTCATTTTTGTTGCGAATGATAACAACAGCAGTTGGCATCAACACCAAGAACGCAAGTGCTTGGAGAGCGCCGTGAGCTACGTATGGTGATAACTTTCGGCTCGAAGAGGGGCCACCGTGCTTGCTCGGGCCAAAATCTAAGTTGCGGTCGTTGTTCAAGAGGCCAAGTGGGATTGCCCTGTCTTCTTCGGAGTAACTAGCCTTCATATTCAATTGAAATGTGTCTGGTTCGAGTGATACTTCAGTGGGACGCCGGTAAGAACGAGTAGCTAGCTTCATCTTACCGTAGAAGGTGTGCAAGGTTAAAGGCTTGGTTTGGTCGTCAGTCTGCATCAGCCAGTCGTAATTGTTTGCAAACACCCAGGGCTGTTTCTCCGAGTGTACGCTGAACTTGTTTCCAGACCATGTATCACAGCTGTAGCAAACGATTCCAACGTTATGATACGAGCCGTCAACCGTAGCGTTAGTTACCGAGTATGAAGGTCCATCGTGCGCAACTTCTGGCGGATTGTGAAAGCTGGAGCCGATGCGATTTAGTTGTCGCACAAATCATAGGAGCACTGGGAAAACCAGGTTATTACTTACTGTGTTGTTCGCAGGCTGAAGGTGACGTCTGTGAGTTGATCAGCTTACAGTCTTCCCAACGTCCATTCAGAATAAATGTAGATACCTCCTGCACGCCGGCCCGGGTAAAGGACAAACATCAAAGCTCCATCCATCAATGATCCTATTCCGAAAGCTGCATAGCCTTTACGCTCTTCAAATTTTGCCGAAAGATACAGCTGAAGATCGTTCCCCCCAGAAGAGGCATTGTGATAAGAAAAAGCAACGATGCATTGATCGACGTTGTGTCTCTTGTCAATGGTGCAGTACTGTACTGGTGAGGCTGTCGCGTGTATGGTATTAAGAAGGAGATACACAAGCAATAATGACCAGCAGGCCTGAGAACGCCTGTAGCTAATTGCCTGTATACCCATAATGACCAGCAGCTCGATTGGATATGTCAGTAGGTATACTGACGTGTCGGAGAAGCGAAATGCGTTCAGTTGAACAGCTCACAGGCAGACCTGCAGATAGGACACGAAATGCACACATACACTCGATGGAGAGAGAATTTAGAAATCTCTGATATAACGATATTGCGTGCTGAGCCGGACGAATCACGCAGAGCCTTTGCGTCGCAAACCGGCACCTCGATGAACGGATCCACGGAGTAACAATCAGATCAGACGGTCGCTCTCTTACGCCCTCAACTAATTATTTCGCCGATTTCATGATGACAAATTTTCCGAAGCAGAATGCCGTCGACAGCAGTTTAACTCGCGAGGCCGGGCAGTAAACTCTAATTATGTACCGACGGGGTGTTTGGAGGCCCTGGGCGTATTCGAAAGAAACCCCTGGACGGTAGAGAAAACACCTGATATCCACACAGTGCACTGTTTTCTCTGACTCAACAACGGGCAAGTGACCATCTCGGTGGGGTTAGATAAAGTGTAATTAATGAACTGGTGGCTAAAGTCGGCAAGAACAATGTCCAAAGTACATTGGGCGTACGGCTCACATAGAGACTGTATTGGCGGCCAAAAAAAAACTTGAAGAAAAAGCAGCTTTGAATGAGGAACAGCCCGTATTGAGAGATGCATTGAATGCCCCTCGATGTTGTATATAGTTGACATGCCTGGCGCACTATAAGACAAAGTCCTTCTCTATAAAGCACTTAGTCAATAACATCAACAGTATATCCAATCTAAACCACAGTGTTTTGTCCATATACCAAAATCTCGCTTTGAATCACAGGGGTAAGTTTTGCAACCATGAGGCCCGCTGTGATCGCCGCTCTGCTCGCCTCTTCGGCGTTTGCCCTACCGACCGCATCGCGCTCCCAGGAGTCAATTGAAAAAGAGTTGGACGAACTCAACGCCTCAGAGCCTTGGGAGAAGCGCGAAGCCCAGAGTGTGGGCATCTACGGTGGCAAGGCCACATCGACCATAGACGAAGTTGATATCACTAAACGCCAGAGCGTTGGCATTTACGGAGGCAAGAGCGCTTCCTCCACTGACGCTGACGACGTCGAGAAGCGCCAGAGTGTCGGCATTTACGGAGGCAAGGCGCTTCCTCCACTGACGCTGACGACGTCGAGAAGCGCCAGAGTGTCGGTATTTACGGAGGCAAGAGCGCTTCCTCCACTGACGCGACGACGTCGAGAAGCGCCAGAGTGTCGGATTTACGGAGGCAAGAGCGCTTCCTCCACTGACTCCGACGACGTCGAGAAGCGCCAAAGTGTCGGTATTTACGGAGGCAAGAGCGCTTCCTCCACTGACGCTGACGACGTCGAGAAGCGCCAGAGTGTCGGTATTTACGGAGGCAAGGCGCTTCCTCCACTGACGCTGACGACGTCGAGAAGCGCCAGAGTGTCGGCATTTACGGAGGCAAGGGCGCTTCCTCCACTGACTCCGACGACGTCGAGAAGCGCCAAAGTGTCGGTATTTACGGAGGCAAGAGCGCTTCCTCCACTGACTCCGACGACGTCGAGAAGCGCCAAAGTGTCGGTATTTACGGAGGCAAGAGCGCTTCCTCCACTGACTCCGACGACGTCGAGAAGCGCCAAAGTGTCGGTATTTACGGAGGCAAGAGCGCTTCCTCCACTGACCCGACGACGTCGAGAAGCGCCAAAGTGTCGGTATTTACGGAGGCAAGAGCGCTTCCTCCACTGACGCTGACGACGTCGAGAAGCGCCAGAGTGTCGGCATTTACGGAGGCAAGGGCGCTTCCTCCACTGACGCTGACGACGTCGAGAAGCGCCAGAGTGTCGGCATTTACGGAGGCAAGGGCGCTTCCTCCACTGACGCTGACGAAGTCGAGAAGCGCCAGAGTGTCGGCATTTACGGAGGCAAGGGCGCTTCCTCCACTGACGCTGACGACGTCGAGAAGCGCCAGAGTGTCGGCATTTACGGAGGCAAGGGCGCTTCCTCCACTGACGCTGACGACGTCGAGAAGCGCCAGAGTGTCGGCATTTACGGAGGCAAGAGCGCTTCCTCTACTGACGCTGACGACGTCGAGAAGCGCCAGAGTGTCGGCATTTACGGAGGCAAGGCCTCTGCGGAGACCGACTCCGAGGACACCGCTTAAATTGAGGAAGGAACACTCTGATCCTAGGGCCTCCTTGACATGCAATGGCATCAGTCAACTGCATAGCATGTTGCTGGGACTCGCTTCGCAGGATCAACAAATGCCCACATCGTTCGATAACGAGCAGGGATGTTTTTCAGTGTCCAGTCTTGCAAATAAGTCTTAAACTAGGAAAAAGGGGAAAGGGAAAATAGGAGCAGCGAAGCTTTTAGCCTTATGATAAACGAGAGTCTGTAGTAAATGCGAGTTCCGTTATCCCTAGGCCGCCATGTCCCAGCTGACATATCTCACATGCCTCTCGCCTACCTTTTCTTGGCATCTTTTGTTAGCGAAATAGGCGACTCCTTACGCAAATCCCTAACAGCGGAAAGCTCTTCGTCTTCCCTCCCCGGAGTCCCCTCGGGATGGCCCCGCAGCCGCCGGGCTTCTGGTCCGTGTCGGCTTTATGCGACGGGCTCGATCTAAGCTCTGTTACTCAAGACTACTTATAGTCAAAGCGGTAAAGGATGAAGTGTTTGGAAATCCGATCGAATGTTGACCTTGGACGATCTTATGGGATCGTCCTTTAATGTGACGGTAGTGATACGTCGAGGAGACTAGGTTACTTCAAGTTTCTGCACGAGGAGGTAGATTAGCATTGTTTTTCACCAGGAATTACGCAGAGAACTTTTTCTTAATTAGAAATCCATCGCAGATAGAGTTCGAGCCCAGATAGTAAATGCGAACCTTTAGACGTAATGCACGATTGGACTTTTATGTGTGGCGGCCCCGGTTCCCCTCTCAATTTCTATCCCTCAGTGATTTTGTAATGTTGGTCTTCTTGAGTTTGGCGGGCGGGCTCCTATGAGGTCCGTCTGAGGAAGAGGCGGTAGCTCATAAGGGCACTCAAGGGCTGCATTCGGGGTTTCGTCATGGTCGTGGTCAGGTTAGGTTATGATTGAACCCGTTATGTTACGAACGTCCGGATGTCTACGGGGAGTATGTCGTTCATGGTTACGGTTGTGAGACATATGGCTATCCTGTAGTCTAAATTAAGTGGAAGTTATTTGTTGTCTATGTATTAATCTATAGACCGTGAAGTTGAATGGATCTGATAGCAAACCTCTGCTTAATATACTTAGTAGTCGGGCAAATATGTATATGTCCCTCTCTACTTGTTCTTGAGATCCAGGAGGTAGGCAGGATACACGATATACGAACCCATTGGTCTCCTGGGCACCAAGGTATTAAAGGAAACGAAGAAGCAGACAGCCTAGCTAAGGAGGGCACAACCCTACTAGTCCCAAGGGGACAGCTAGCAACTCTATCAGGGATCAAACGGCTTGCTAAGGAGCGTATACGTCGCCAATACAGAAAATGGTGGATACCCCTCGGGAGGTCAGCCGCAAGGGCGGCAGCGCCTTTGCCGCTACGGCGTTAAATAGAACAACAACAACAACATCAACACTTGCCTTATTTCTATTTTTAATTATGAAGAATTCTAATTAACGGGGCTTACCTAAGGGTTACAGTACGCACGTAACAAGTAGAGAGTTGTTGTTGTTGTTGTTGTTCTATTTAACGCCGTAGCGGCAAAGGCGCTGCCGCCCTTGCGGCTGACCTCCCGAGGGGTATCCACCATTTTCTGTATTGGCGACGTATACGCTCCTTAGCAAGCCGTTTGATCCCTGATAGAGTTGCTAGCTGTCCCCTTGGGACTAGTAGGGTTGTGCCCTCCTTAGCTAGGCTGTCTGCTTCTTCGTTTCCTTTAATACCTTGGTACCCAGGGGACCAATGCGTTTGTATATCGTGTATCCTAGCTACCTCCTGGATCTCAAGGAAGGCCGCTTGTGAGGATTCTGGGACCTTACCGCAAATCCCCTGAATAACGCTGGTATTGTCGATGCAGATGTGTATAGGCTGTCCTTGGGAGGTCTGAAGGGCCCGTCGGAGCCCAGCCCTCGCCCCCTCCGCCTCACCATCAAACACTTCTGCTAAGCCGAGACGGCCGCAGCCCTGGGCTATACGTTTATTATTGCGGTAGATAACAAAGCCGAACCCTGTAGCCCCGTCAGGAGCTTTGGAGCCGTCTGAGTATACGACTGTATGCTGACCTGGCACAGTCTTGAGCCAGGCCTGGAAGATCCTAGCTGCTACTTCCTTCGTCTGTGTAACTATAGGGTCATAGGACCCTGGGAGGTATTGCGGCTGTAGGAGCGCTGGCCTTGGACACTTAGGTAAAAGGCCAGCTGTTCTTTGAAGCCTGGTCTGTTGCCGCCCTGACTGCAGCAGCCTTGGGACCAAGGGATGCTGTTGGTCAACCTTCTGCAGGCGTATAGCGAAGCGTAGTCGCGCTGCTTCGAGGGCTACCTCTTCTGTGGGAAGGCCAGCGTCTCGGATGAGGCTACTGGTCGGTGTGGTTCTCCAGACAGGCAGGATAGCCCTTGCTGCTGCTGTAATAACTTTGCTAAGTCTACGGGCCAGGCCCTTCTGTCCTGTACCAACTGTAGGTATCTGTAAAGCAGTGCTACTGCTAGTATTGGTGCCGCTGTTTAGGGCTGGTTTGGTTAGGCCCGCATACCAGGTGTCAACTCCATATAAGGCTGTTGGAAGGACACAGGCAATAACCGCTTGTCGTACTGCGGCTGCTGGGAGTCCCCCTTTGGTATTTGTTAGGTGCCGTAGGAACTGGGCTACCTTCTTTGCCGCTGCCACCTTAGTTTCGACATGGTGACGGAAGGTGAGTCTCTTGTCGAACCAGACTCCTAGCCATCGTACAGGCTTAGTTGAGGCCTTAATAGTTAGGCCCGTCGCCTGTATATCTGGTAGGTCTTTTGTCTGGTTATATTTCCTGCTGAAGTGGACTGCCT